TTAATCAGGTTCAAGTCAAAGAAGACCAGGCCAGGGGGGGGGGGGAGCAAACTCTTCAAATATTGGGCTGCTTGGGAAGCTCATGAAAAATGGAACGAATGGTTACCAGGGAACTGGAACAATACACTTGAGTTCCCAAATGCTCTGCAATCACTCACAGACCGAATGGATGACTGGAAGTTTAATGTTTTCAGGGACTTAAACAGAAGGAAAAAACAGGATCTTAGCTCGACTCGGAGGACTCCAAAGAGTTTTGGCAGAATATTCCTCCAATTCGTTGATGAAGTTAGAGCAGTCGCTGAAGGATGTGTTTGAGGTTCTATTGACACAAGAAGAAATGATCATGGCCCAAAATGCGAAGGCGGTCTGGATAGCTCAAGGAGATCAAAATACCAGGCACTTTTATGCGGTACACAAAGGAGCAAAATATAAGGCAAAAACTAGAGCCTTCCAGTTAGACAGTGGTGTTTGGTTATCAGACCCGTTTGCACTAAGTAAAGAAGCTACTTTCTTTTTCCAGGAAATATACACTGACTCAAAAGATGTGGCAAGGGTTTATAATAGTCGTGAGAAGTTTCCAACACTATCAAGACAAGAAATGGGCTGGTTGTCACGCAGCCTGGACATCAGCGAGGTGAAGGCAGCTATTTATGAGATGCATAAGTTCAAAGCATGTGGAATTGATGAGTTTTCAGCCAGTTTTTATCAACATAATTGGGAAACCATTGTTGTTTTAGTGTGCAAAATGGTCACTGATGCTTTAGAATGGGGGATCATCAATAGCAAAATCAACAAAGCTATGGTAGTTCTAATACCAAAGACCAATAACCCTAGACGGTTTCAAAACCTCAGGCCCATCAGCTTGATTAATGTGTCAGCGAAGATAATCTCCAAAGTAATTGCCAACAGACTCAGACGAGTGATGCAGACGTTGGTACTTTCAACACAGTCTAGCTTCATTCCGGGAAGGAGTATATATTATTTTTTATTTGAGTTAATATTTTATTTTTATGTGGAATATTAGTTTCATTTAAATGTTTTTAATCTTTATGTTAGGAAGAATAAAATAAATCAGAAAAATAGTGTCTTTATTGCTAAACTATATTATTAAAAAGATTAACATGCTTATATAAATACAATCATATGTTACAACTAGACAAAGATCAATTTTTACGGTAGAGTTTGAAAATAAATAATTTTTTTTTAAAACTCATATAATATACTTTTATGGTCATTAAAAGTAGTTGAGAAAAATGGAACAAAATAGAGAAAAATGAAATAAAAAAATGAAAAGGGACTATTTTGTTATTTTTATATATTTTAGGGGTTATTTTTAAAATTTTTAAAAATTACTGGGATGTTTTTGTATTTAAATTTAATATTTTATTAAAAAACTAACGAAGATCCGTTAATTTGGACGGAAAAAAGGCCGATTGAACGAAATTGGTGAAAATTTCAAATATTAGGGTAAAGTTAGCTAACCGAAAATCTATTGAGTATCATTGACGACGAGGGTAAAGTTTTGGGTATGAATGATATTTTTTCGCTAATTACTCTCGTATAACTAGTGGGCCCAGCTTGTGAATTCCAAGGGTTCATCTTCTATGTGAGAGGGGATCAACCGCCAAAATATAATTAGCGGAGCAACAGATCCAATCCCTTATGGAAACCACACATTGACATGAACATCCACGATCATGACTCAGTTCATATATTTTGAGTTGTGTAGCAGCGTACTCACTTAAGCATGATTAAGTTAATTAGTGTATGTGAAATTAAGTCCATTTATATTGAACAAGTATTAACATTAAGTAAAGAGGGTGGTGAGTTGTCATTGTTGATCAATGATCATGAAAGATTTGAATGTTCTCTATAGATAGACATTAATGTATGATTTGATGGTCCCATACATGATGCCACAACGCCCCCTGCAGCCAAAAGAGGATAAAGTCTCCACGACGAACTATTGAGAAATTTGTTGTGGCTTGTTCATATATGTCTGACCAATCAGCAACGCCAGCCTGGTTACACAGCTTTAGCATAGGGTTTTCATGTGGGATTTGTCTCACACTATTTTTTTTCCATATCCATATGCTCTCTCACTCACATGGCCAATATCTTGCCTCTTTTGTAGGGTACTAGCTCTCTGGTTTGGTGGGGGTAGTTTAATTTTGATCATGGCTCCCGGGCTTGATTTTCCACTTCTTCACCTCCATCATTGAATCACTGTTCAATTACTCAGGCACTATTGTTTCACCCCCAAATTAATGACTTTTCAAGCAAGTACGAACAACATAAATTAAGATGGATTTAATACTAATACATTTGAAACGTAAGAGACTGAGAATCGAATGTAGACAAGTTGATGTAGAGTGAGGGCTCTCTCGGAAAAGGTCTCAAATTCGATTCTCACCAAGTGTATGGCGTAAGAAATGGATTTGAAGGGAAAAATAATTAGGTTAGAATGAATGTCTGGTGCGAAATGTGATCTACCTAGACTGCTTAATTACTACATGTACACGTACGTACACATTGCATGATGAAGAGTTTACCTTAGGATTCATATAGCAAATTGATCTTGAAAAAGTGGCCAAAACTTCGTGGCTGAGACTCAAAAAATTTTCTTCTGCGGCATATCTACCCTAATGGCTCACGCCTCACGGCTAATAGTGACCTGATTTTATCATCCATTTTTACGTAATATACGTACAACATGTTGAATAGCATAGGAAATACTAATTCATAGTCGTGCTCCGCTCAACAAACTACCAACTTATCACCTTTAGTTAGAGTAATTCAATTGGCTGAGGTTTCACTTTCCAGTCCAAAGTAGTCAACTCACACTGTATTATGTTAAGCTTTTTCGCCAGTTTATTAGCGCCGTAAACATGTTATCACTTTCATTATCCCTTTAAGAAAAGAAGACGTCGTAGTACTCAAACTATAACCATATACATCATGCTACTTCATTCAGGATATCTCCATCCGTTCACACGGATATTCTTTGTGGACAGATGGAAAATTTCTTTGTAACAGTGAACAATTTCGTTTTTTCGCATTCTAATCATATAATATATATTGGAATAAATCGTGAATAAATAAAAAGCATTCTGATTTCCCCAATTCTCGCCCTCTTCTTTTGTTCATTTTACTTCTTTACTGTGGTTTTAATTTGACCTTTCGTCAACAGAAATTGAGAAAACAACTTAAAAAAATGAGGGGAATAACCAGCTGTGAGCAGGTCGTGGTCATGCTTCTGTCTAAATCATACATGACGAGCGCAGTTCTGTCTAGCATTATTGAAAAAGAGCATCAATATTGGATTGGCATCGAGGATTTTAAATTTCAAGCGCTGCTTTATAGTCTAGGAGAATATGCGTATATACATGAATATGCATATATATAATAATCGATCCACGATTATGATTAAGTTTACCAAAAGAACCACTAAAGTTGTCTGAAGTTCTTTCAGTAATTACGTGACTACATGTTTTCTTCAGTTATCAACTCCGTATTATTTTGTTGAAAATGATTTTGGAAAAGAGAAAATTCATAAATATCAAATTGTGTATACCAGTTGCATCCGCTGTATATAATTTCTATACGACATATACCATTTTAGTTCTATAAGTATTTTGGTTGTTATTTTTGTTTCCTAGTATAAGATTAAAATTGTATATGCGGATTTTGTTTGCATTTCTACCCCAATTTCAAGGGCAGATGCTGAGATGCATGATATAATAAAATCAAATCTTAAGATCTTCAAATTGAGGATGGACTTTGGAAAAGAAGAAATAGACTTGCGAACCTTTTTAGGTATGTGCCATAGGTAAGTTTATCATCCATATTCTTTAAGATAATCATCGGATAATAATAATTTTGGCAAGAAATTAGCAATAATTTATAAACCCACATTCTTTAAGATAATCAAAGCAACTCCATTATCTCGTATTTTATTTGATCTTCATCGCATTATTTGCCCAGCGCATCAAAGATTCTATATGCTGAACAAACAAAAAATTTAAAAAATATACAACCCTACAAGGACTAGCCGGCCATCTAGCTCACCATGATGCACTGAACTAACTAATGATTTAAGCTAAACTTCAGAAGGTTCGCGATCAATACAATTAAGGGCTATAGATTAATATCCGGATAATGTTATATTAATAATAGCGACTGTCTCTTTTTCTTTTTTTTTTTTTTTTTGGATAAGCGACTATGTCACTGAGCCATACGTTTAATCTCTTTTAATTGTTTTGAATCTAATTATGTCTGTATCGAGATGGAAAAGGCTGTCCACCGTCCAAGCGCTTCGATAATTAAGTTTATCACATAAATTATATCAAAACTAATTGTTAATGACATGAAAATGGCAAAAAGTAAACCACTTTGGGAATTTGATCGTTGGGGAGGCGGGACGTCATTGTCAATTAGCAAAGCAGTCGGCATAAATCGACTCCAGCTAACTCCAAGAAACAAAATGCTATTTCTGTGAGTTGTGACTTGTGACCACAATGAATTTCATCTCTCCATTCACAAAAAATACCAGTATTATTGATTTTTTAAAAATTTCCCAGCATTTATTGACTACTTGGTTGTTCTCTAATCTAACCCTTTCCCCCCTCCCTATCGAAATTGCTCTTATTCATCTACTATGAAACACATAAATTATTACAGGAGAAGTTTAACAAATTAGTACTAATTTTTCATCCGATCTTTAATTATACATCATACATGTTGTGTCAAGGTGCATATAACGCATCACAACAACTCCACCCAATATTCAATATTAGCTATTGAGTTTTTTTAAAATGAAAAATAAAAAAAATTTAAAAAAGGTAATGTATAAGAAACAATCAAACGAGCATATTAGTTTGCTTGGGCTTATCAGGTACACCCACGTGTCAATCAGGCGAAGTTCCTTATCCATCCCACTGCATTGCTGTGTAGACGATCATGATTATTGAAAGTCAAACAAAAGATGATAATGATTAATGAAATTTGTTAGTAACAACATTATATTATACATGAGGTAGTTTTGTATTTTTTTAAAATTTCGAATTTGAACCAAAACACGGGTTACATACTGATGGGACTGATTATAAGTAGATGATCATCCCACAAGTACCAGACGTGGAAACCAGTAGAAGAAAACATACACACACTTCTCTCTTAAAGCCTTTTGCCCCCCCTTTCTTCTCGTATCTTCTAAAGCAAAGCTTTTTCAGAATGCCGATCACCCGGATTGCCATCGGAAGGCCTCAAGAGGCGACTCATCCCGACGCTCTCAAGGCGGCCTTGGCTGAGTTCATCTCAACCTTGATCTTCGTCTTCGCCGGTTCTGGTTCCGGCATCGCTTTCAACAAGCTCACCAACGACGGCGCCACCACCCCCGCCGGCCTCGTCGCCGCCTCCATCGCCCATGCTTTCGGACTCTTCGTCGCGGTTTCCGTCGGCGCCAACATCTCCGGCGGCCACGTCAACCCCGCCGTCACCTTCGGCGCCTTTGTTGGCGGTAACATCACCCTCCTACGTGGCATCCTCTACTGGATCGCTCAGTTGCTCGGCTCCGTCGTCGCTGCCTTGCTCCTCAAGTTCGCCACCGGTGGCTTGGTCAGTTTGTTTTTCTTTTTCCTATGCATTTTTATTTTATCAAAACTAATTCACAATGAGTGGAGTCGGGATGACTTTCAGTACTTATATACAGAATCAATATTTATTCATGAATGTTGATTAACGCCGTTAATGAATTTTTAACAGGAAGTTCCCGCATTTGCTTTGTCCGCCGGAGTTGGAGCATGGCAGGGAGTTGTATTCGAGATCGTCATGACATTTGGGCTGGTTTACACCGTCTACGCCACCGCTGTGGACCCCAAGAAGGGCGATTTGGGAACAATTGCCCCAATTGCCATTGGTTTCATTGTGGGAGCTAACATCTTGGCCGGCGGGCCTTTCAGCGGTGCTTCAATGAACCCGGCTGTGGCTTTTGGACCAGCCGTCGCCAGCTGGGCCTGGGCTAACCACTGGGTTTACTGGGTTGGTCCTCTCATTGGTGGTGGGCTTGCTGGAATTGTCTACGACCTCTTCTTCATCAACACCACCCACGAGCAGTTGCCCGTAACCGAGTACTAAAACGGGAAACATAATGGAGCCTGAAATTTAGGGGCTGTGTATGTACTTTTTCTGGTCCTGAGAATGCCTTGATCTTTTGCTTTCTCTTTGTTTTTATGGGTTTTTTTTTTTCCTCTTCATGGAATTTCGGTTGGATGGATCATTGCCTGATTAGATATGCCACTGTTGGTGTGTAATGTTAGGACATGATGAATCCGATGTAAATTGTTGAATTTGTTGCCAGCTTTGTACTATTCCACTTTTCATCTATGTGTTTATGCAAGTTTCCAACATTTCACCCGGTTTGAATTTCATTCGGGTTTTCGTGCAAATCTTTTAAGTTTATGAAATGATATGATTTGGAAATTGTATGTCTTCATTCAAACACATTTGTCAACATTTGCCAGCTTAAAATTAAAAAAAGGAAAAAAAAAAAGAAGGAAGAGAAGAATATGAATAACCAATTATTGAGGATTAATTTGAACTGAAATGCAGTAGTAGAGCGTATTCAAAATTTTCCCGTCCAAAATCACAATTATTGGATCGACTTTAAAGTACTACCACAATTATAGTGCTTGCTGCAGCCTACATGCTTTTGGATGGTCCATACTGCCATTTCAAGAGAAGAACCACGGGGTACCTAACACGATGATCATTGTTAAAGGCAAAAGAAATTGGAAGAAAGTACTAGAACCTTTTTTTAAAAAAATTTTGGTGGAATTATGCGGTGAGGGGATATAATTGAAGGGTATAGTAAGTATTATGAACGTGGCAATCTGGTCCACCAGATTTAACATATTGATAAATTGACGTCGTCATTGGATGGTCGTCGAAATATGGCGGGGGTAAGGTCGCTTTCTTTTCCAGACATTGAGACATTAAAAAAATGTGAAAGTAGACATCATATTTGGTCATTTTGGTCCCCCACTAATAATCTAATATTACAGTAGTCTACTAGTAGTCTGTAGTCCTGGTGACAAATAATAGGACGTGTATGTTCGAATATAAGAGTGGCACGGATAGTATTATTTCGTGCATTTTAATTTTTAAATGTCTGAGTTCGAATGTCAGTGTAATAAATAGACTAATAGAGTAATCTACATAAAATAAAAGTAAAAAAAAAACAAAACAAAAGAGAGAGATAATATGTTTTTCCGATTCTCTTGTACAATGCCTTCATAGTGCCTTTTCAACATAGATGGCATGAAAATCAGGGGAAATTCACAATGAAAATTGAACGCATCAAACTAACCTAAATCCAAAAACAATCACTGCAAACTTTTTTTTTTCGTTTTTCATACGAAAAGACAGACAAATGTCTAAGACAATCGCACAACTACAAGCACCTGTAAAATATTTCAACAACGTCGTGATAAAACCAAGGAAGTAATGCAAACTCTTGGATTCCTCACGAGTTTAACATCTAGTTATTATTTACTGTAATATTTTTTAGAAATTATAAACTAAATGTTACTTACATTTTTCATGACAATCAAGACGGAAATATGCAGACGGAAATCCGCATTGGCCCAGAATAGGATGTAGTACTAGGAGGTGGATTTGGGTTTGATAGTATCCGTCGTATTGATTATTAGCCCAATGAGCCCAAAGAAACAGTTTTTTTTTTTTTTTTGGTGAATTAAAGAAACAGTTTCCAATGACCTTATCGTTGGTTTACACCCAAAATAACTATTGCTATCATACAATTTGGTAAGAGTCTCGGGAAAGAGAGGTTCTTCATTCTTGTGGTTCTCGTGGGGAAAAGGTAAAGGGAAAAACTAGTACTTCTTCCGTCCCATAATGTACTAAAAGTTTGAATTTTATTTTCATTTCAAAATATACTAAAAGTGAAATCTCAAGTGGACAATAAATTTTTAGACATAGAGAGTAAAAATACACCAGGATATTTTAGTTTGGGATGAAACAGAAGAAGGTGTTCTTTCTTGTTTCCTAATCCGAATTAAAGGGTTACAAAAAGAGAAATGAACAAGTTGATAAGGAATATGTTAGAAGATGAGCAAAGTTATCTAATATGGTGAGCTCAGAGCCCAAAGATCATCCCCAGTATGGATCAGATGAGTGGGATGAACATGGCATGTGTAGGGAATTATGTCAAACATATTAATGAATTGGTTTCATTCAGCCATTTTAGGATGCAAAATCTTGGTGATTTGACTGAAAAGAGTCTGATGATATTTGTAATATCAACTCATGCATGTTTCGATTACAAACTTACAATAGCATTTTTTTAAGATGTGAAGACTTCTTATTACGTAGGAGTAAATGATAAGAAAGATCACCAATTTCGAGTTTGATCATATGTAAAGTTTACTTTCTCTTTAAACACCCGTCATTTTACTTGAGAAAACCATTCAAATAAGGTCATTAATCCAAATTAGCCTAAAAGGGTATATAAACATATGAGTAGTTTGTCTAAACACATTTTTTTGTGGTTCACAAAAAATTCAACAATGAGAATCTTTTTCTATTTGTTCCTTTCCTCCAAAAGGAATGTTCTCATAAGAAATTCCTCTAAAACCTTTCTCCTTGCATGGGATAAATATTCCAAATTATCATAGAGCCTTCCTTTATACTCCCTTCGATAAGGCATTTTGATTTCGTTCTAGGTTTACCTAAGATGTCTTTTTAATTGAAATAAAAACCTTAAGAACATTTCATAATAATTAGAAAAACACAACGAATACGAAAATATAATTTTAAGATTTTTTTTTCTAATTAAAAAGACATCCTATATTAAACTTAAAACGAAATTAAAATGCTTTATAATAAGTATCTGTGGGTATCATCCTTTATGATTCCCCACCCAATTGTGCTACTTGGCTCTAATCTTTTTGGCGAGTCCTTCTTTTCCTCCCCAAATATCTCCTCCTCTTATTATATTGGCTGAGTAAAAATCCCATCAATCATATTCACCTTAAAAAAAAATCTTTTTTCCCTATAAAATATATATAACAAATATTATTATTATTATTTTTTTATTGAATAGACATCTCTGTAAACTTTTGTGATGTACGCCATTGTTAAAACCTTTTTGAACTTGAAAACAAGTGAAAAATATTTGTCCCATTATTGGAGTTGGGAAGCCTACTTGATCAACACATATATCCCATATGTTATTTCTCTTATTACTAATTAATTTTGAGGAAGAATTACATGTGGTTTATATGAGCCTTCAAAAGCCATTGATAAGAAAAACCAAAGCAACATTGTTAAACGTTGTAATTTGCGTACATGTTATGCGTAACAACATTTTTCAATGGTCAAACAAACGACACGGGATTTTTTATATCAGTTTTGTATTGTAGGAAACTGAACATAAGATGATAAATATTTGGTAGAGCTTGAGTCGTCATTGACAGCTTTATATGTATAGGAAAGAGACGAAGATCATTCTCCCAATCAAAGTTGCTCACAGCAATTTCACAGCTTCAATCTTGTTGAGGAAAGACAACAACGGTGTGTAAACCACACCACTGTAAAGTGTAAACAAGTGGCCAGAAAATGAAAAATGGCCTAAACATATGCAGAAAGCTTATTGGACTGAGAGTCAGGCTGACTCACTGAAAATGAGATTTGTGGTGTAATTAGTGCAAATTGCGGTCCATCGAACTATTATTGTCAGAAGAGATCCGAGCTGGATTCTTTTCATTACTCTTTTTCCTCATTGTCCTTTATCAAATGGGGCCGGACCCCGTTAGAGCATTTGACCATCTTATCCACTTATGTATTTTTATTTTTTTTAATATCTTGCAGAAGCAATCATGCAACAACTATACAATTTTTTTATTTTTTTTTTCAATGCAAGTTACTGATCACCGAATTTAAGAATACTTCAAGTTACTGTAAACGATTACTGACATTACTGATCAGACAATTTAAGAATACTTCAAGTTAATGTACACGACGGGTTTAGAACCTCACCCAAATTAGTGATGGATGAATCTTTAGCACTCGACTATATCCTTTTAAGTTCTACTCCCTCCGGTATTCTTAATATAAGGCATTTTGATTTGTCCAAAGTTTTACCTAACATGTATTTTTATTGATAAAAAAATCTTAAATAATATTTTCACATTCGTTGTGTTTGTTTGATATATGATTAGGAAGTGTTTTTAAAGTTTTGTTGATAATTAAAAATGCGTATTAAATGAAATTTAAAAACAAATTAGGTATTAAAAATGCGTTTTGATTTGTCTTCAAATTTCACTTAATACGCATTTTTAATTGTTAACAAAACTTTAAAAACACTTTCTAACCAACCCACTCAACCCTCCAACCCCGATCGGAGGAGTACTTGTACAAATTTTAATAATATCATACTTCAACTACAATAATACCAAATAATCTAATGTATCACAAGTTTCTCATTTATTTTTTTTTATATATCTTTTGACAACTTTTCAGTCATTATCAATTTACTTGGAAGCAAACCAAAAAAAGGCAGTGGCATTTTTTTACTACTACATTCCTTTTCCAACTAATGGACTAGTGGAGTCCCAAAAACAGCATGAAAACTGCAGCGTGCCCTGGTTTTTTGTAAATATCCAATCCATACCCCAAAAACAAAAAGCATCCATCTTTTATAGGCCTTCCAAAAAACTACCGTGCTTTTCTTGTTGTACTCCGCGACTAACCGTTTAATGATCTTGCTTCTTTCTTCTTTCTTCCATCATACTGAGAGGAAAGAACACGACTTCGATCGGTAAGAAATCTATGTACAAATTCAGACCTTTTTTTTTTTCCTCACTTCTTTTAGTCAGTTTTGCGGGCTGTCTCACGCTGGCGTGTCGCCTCGTCATAAGTCAATATAACAAAGGATTGTTTTAGGGATAAGCCAATCTCCAATTGACATATTGGGCGGTTTCTATTTTTGTAAATACTTACGCAATCTTAGTACAGTTTTGCCAAATTTACAATGTCCACCATCAAACAATAATTGGTGTTAATTCCTATTGCTTTCATCATTCATCCTGTATTTGGGTCTCACTTTTTTTCCGGATTTTTTTCAATGTACTTTACTGTTTGTGGCGTCCCCACATCCATTGATATTTTAATTATCTCCTCCTTTCAATGGCATTTTCAGGCCACAGTCTATAAAAATTTTCTTGGATCTTCTCCGGCCGGTAAGGTGTGCTAACAGATGGACACTGCTTTGATTCCTTCCGTTTCATCTCTCCACGATCACGATGACCGCCTTCTGGAGATGGGTTCCGGAGAATATGGGTATATAATTCGTTCCTCTGTGTTTCCCCTCCCTTCTGCAACATTTTGTGGTGACAATGGGATTTCTTATTCAGATAACTTCAAGAAATTGACGTCTTCTTGTGTTTCGTTTGTTTCTGGTTTCAATTCCTAGGTGCTCGCACTATAGAAGGAGATGCAAGATAATAGCACCTTGTTGTGATGAGGTTTTCGATTGTAGACATTGCCATAACGAATCACAGGTGCTAATTTCTCATTTCATTCTTATGTCCCTATTTTGTTTGGAGTTCTTCTTATTCATCCGTGTAATATAAGAAGGTAGATTGATTTATTGCCCCAATCTTCGAACAGAATTCGCTTGAAATTGATCCCTTGAGAAGGCATGATATTCCTCGCCATGAAATCAAAAGGGTCAGTTTTCCTTCATTTCATCTCTTTATGTTTGTTCATGACATCTGCTCTCGTTAATTTCTCAACATAACCATTTCTGGTAGAAAATATAGGGAAGAACTAATTTTACTAATACGGAAGCATTTGGACTGTATTACCTTATATCTTTCTTTTAGCTTACCTTATCTGCATATTTGTATGAATTGCCTTGCGGACAAGTAATGTCATGTATCGTCTATTTGGATACCGTATTTGATAAGGCTCGCTGATTTCCTTAAACTATAAAGTAAGTATCATCAGGGTGAAAAATTGTTCTAAAGATGCAGAACTGTGATACTGACAAGTCTCCTTTAGAATTAGAGGGCCTGTATTTGTCAAGGTGTTTTTCCTTTTTTATTGTACTTCTCCACTTTGATGTTTTTCGCTGCTGGCTAGACAATCTAAAATCTTGATTTTGTTGTACTTTTTACCTTTCAGGTGATTTGCTCTTTGTGTAACACGGAACAAGATGTAAGCATCTCTCTCCAAATCCTTGTTTAGTGTCGCTGCGAACTTTTATGATTTCATCCCTGATTTTACTCCTGTTGAGATGATAATCCGCACTCCTATACGATTGCAGAAAGAGATAACCTAGTGTTGATTCTATATTTGGTTGCAGGTGCAACAAAAATGCCTCAAGTGTGGGGTTTTCATGGGAAAGTATTATTGCTCCATATGCAAATTCTTTGATGATGTAAGTCTCCTGGAGTATTTCTTCTTTCTCAACAACATCAGGGCAAATTCTGTATACTTATGTGGATAGTATTTGTATTCCATTTGCAGGTATCAAAGAATCAATACCATTGTGATAAATGTGGAATCTGCAGGTTCAAATTTCTCCCCATGTTTTGTTTTCACCTAGCTTTAATAACACCCGTCCTGTTATCATTTGTTTCATAAAATCATGCAAAATTTGTTAAATTTTAAGTGTGCTCACTTTCCTCGGTTCAATTTGCTTTCACAGGACCGGTGGCAAAGAGAACTTCTTCCACTGTGATGGCTGTGGTGAGTGATATCACTGAATCTCTCATTCAAAAGTTTAGATACTGATGTTCTTATTCACTCATAATTCCATAATTGGCTTTCCTTTTCAGGATGTTGCTATTCAAATTTGTTAAAGGATTCACATATTTGTATAGAACGAGCAATGCACCACAACTGCCCTGTCTGCTTTGAGGTAATCATAAAAATGGCAAATGTGATAATAATGTGATAATTATCCCATTTCTGATTTTTTTTTTCCTGAACAGTACCTTTTTGATACAACCAAAGATATTACAGTCTTGACTTGTGGCCATACCATACATCTCGATTGCGTCAAAGAGATGGAGAGGCATTTTCAGTAAGACCTTTCCCCTTTCAGTGTCTGCTTTGTGTGTATCTCTACATTATCTTCCTTTGATCTTGTCATTAAGCGTACCACTGATGCATTTCACCTGCAGGTATTCTTGTCCTGTTTGTTCAAAATCATACTGCGATATGTCTCGTGTTTGGGAAAAGCTTGATCAGGAGGTAAGGTGTTACTGTTAGCAGTGTATCTTTGCCAAATCCTGTCTTCTTTTTTAGCATTTCTATTGACAGGATTTTGATCTCTGATTTTCAGGTTGCCAATACACCCATGCCTCAATCGTATCAAAATAAGATGGTAAGCATTATTAGTCCTGGTCAGTTTAAGCCTTGGGCTAATCCTCAAAATAATACTCTTAAGACATTTACAAACATGTGATTTCTTTGTCAGGTTTGGATCCTTTGTAATGACTGTGGGGAAACTTCTGAGGTGCACTTTCATGTAGTGGCTCACAAATGTCCAACCTGCAGCTCTTACAATACACGGCAGACAAGACGGGTATCTGCTTCGTGCTCTTCAAGAATGTAGAAGGTAGTTAGATATGGTAAAATACTGTTGGGCTTGGTCATTCTTGGCGATCACGGAGTCATCTGCTGGGAATTCAGTGATTCGATGTTCTATTCTTTGCCTGCCTGTAGCGCTGATGTAATTTTAGGAACGTAATGTGACTATATGCTAAATCTGATCTGTGTAATCTTGGTCCAAATTTGGCCAAGTTATCATTTTTCATCATGGGGCTGAAGTTAGAACTGGTGGTAAACATTGTAGCGGGGGCCAGGGATGGTTCAGCTTTTTTAAGCTGGCCTGATAATTCTAAACTGTAAACTATTCCAGAAAAAGTTGGATAAGAAACGGTAATCTAGAGTAACGAGTTTGGAGGAAATACTACAAATTATTCTTCTCCGAGTCAAACTTACAATTGAATAGTTAATTCGCTGGCCAGGACAATCCAGCCTTCCATGTTGTAGCAACTAGGAAGGCTAAAGAAATTACAATGATGAAATAGTGTACATTGTGGCTAACAGCCTAATAGCAGCAGAAGCCTGAAAAAAACAAAAGAGTCTAATAAAAACAATGAACTTCTGATGAATTACAATGCCGGCCCATAAAGATAAATCTCTCGGCTGTTATGTTGTTGAAGAGGCCTGGCATTTCTTTCTGCATACTGGGAACCAACCAAAAAAAAAAAAAAAAAAACCATATCAGTGACATTTCCAGACATACAATGATTGGAAAAAACCAAGTTTGACTGTTTCTCAAGAACTTACATCATGTACAGCTTCTCTAAGCAATTTAACTTGGTCCTTTGAAACAGTTCTAACCTGAAAAGTTGTTAAATAATAAAAATTGTTAGGTGGGATGGTAAGAAATCTAGATTCCCCTCATTTTAAAATTAATTGAAGGTTGAAAGTTGAAAGTTGAAAGTTGAAACGTGAGGAACTTTACTTTTCTGTTGATTGTCCAGATGACGCCTTCAGTACAAGGGGGAACAGTGAGTGAACCCATGTACCTATAGAACCTTTTGCTATTCTGTGGAATTTCACTTGGATCAACCATAGACACATTTCTCTCCTCATCCTTCTGGTGGATCATACTGGAGATGTTGCTCATTAACTGCAAAATTCAAGCATTTTCATCGAGTACATATTACAAGTTTACTTCACTGTGGTCATTAATACCGGTTGAATTTGACGTGGGTGGTGATTTTACCTTGGTGAGAAATGGGTCGGGCGCGCCGCTTCTGTAGAGGACACCAACAACGGCAATATTGTATTTGAGATTTGGGTCATCGTTCTGGTGAACCATGTGCAACTCCAAATCGTACCTGTTTTGAAAATCAAATCATCCACAGAGATGGGATATTCTTTACGTTTATGAATTATGACCAACAAAAACATGAACAAAACAAAGCTGAAAAATGTCAGAGTCAAATGATTGAATAGTATGTGTTTTTCACCTCCTGCCATTAATTGTATGCTCAGAAGGAGAATGCCAATGGGCTTGTCTGAGTGGATAATAACTGCCATTGATAACAATTGATCCTGCATCACCACTCCATTGAATCTGGATCACGACATCAATTAAGTCAAAAACGCAAGTCAACACAGCAAAAAAAACAAAGACAAGAAGAAAAAGAAGAGACTTACTGAGATGTCATGGCCTCTGTTTTTAACAGTGGCATTAGCCGGCTTGTACATCTTCTTCTCAGGTTTGGATATGATCTGTACTCTTTCATGGGACATGTCAATGGGGGATTGAAGTTCTCCATTGCCACAAGCAGCCCATTCTTTCTTTAATTGTCCCCAAACTCTTGGACCCTTCCTGCTGTTTTCCGCGTAATCAAATTCCCTCTCGTTCTCTGTTTCATCAAAATCAACAAAAACCCAAGTTGTATAACTTAACCATCCAATATATGATGAATTTAGTGTAAGATATAATCCAACATTTATAAATTACAACATCGAGTTCAATCCTGGTAATTACCAACTTCTTGAGCATTGGTGGCTGATGTTGCCCAGAACGCGAGAATTACCACTAAAACAAGTGCTCTGGCTTTGTTTTGGCTCTTCATTTTTTTTTTCCCCCTTCGCAGGAAAAACACAACAGTATCAGGTGTGTGAGCTGTGAGATTGGTGAAGATGATTGATTGATCAGAGAAATTGGTGTGATGGGCTTCTTTTATATATTAAGAAAGGGAGCCACTGGTTTAGGTGTCACAGGCTGACGAAGGTACGGGCGCCTTTGCTTAACACGGTGGTGACAGGCTGAGGGAGAGATTTCCTACCAGTTTCCTGGATTTATTATTTTTTACTTTTTACTCTATGATCTTCTTTCTTGTTTTTATTTTTGGGTAGGTTATGAAATTCAAAAACAATAATTGATGGCTAATTTGTAGTACTACTATACTACTACTATGTCATTTAGTTCAAAATGGAGGTCAAAACACATGCTAATGACTGGGATTCTAAAAAATTACTTTTTCGGCGATTGGGGTCTTCCATGCATTTTGGAATATGGTTCCACGAAATTAGAAGGAGAGTGATTCCTTCCTTCCATCCCAATAAAATCCAACTTATATACCAACAATTTTGTTTTCATTTTCAGGTCAATATTGTGGGTTTAAATTTTGGTCTGCATAAACGTAACGATCGGAAACCATAATTGTTAACATAATACATATGATGAATCAAAACTTGTTAGTGAGATGTTACGAGTTTAAACTTTACCAAATTAATATCAGTTTCTTGATTTTTTTTATTTATTTATTTTTTTTTCATTCCAGGTGTGGAAGATCAGGTGTTGGCTGTGGTGCTGTTATTATCCCAACAATGGATATCTTCTAGAAACAAAAATGTAAGCTGTTTCGTAACCAAAAAGGAACAAAAATTGCAATAATTTAATCAGAACGGGTTGGAAAATTTTCCATGTAGGAAGATGCTGTCTTTGAAGCTTTATGGTTACACATTATTAATTAGGTCACTAAGTACGCATTTCACAACGATAATCAAGCTTTGATAATTAAATTAACCAATATTGGACCAGTTGGTGGTTAGTTACGCGTAATTCGGAAAAATGTAATTATTAAATTATGATTAAACTAAATCTCAAGGAACAAAGTTTTTACACAAACACATCTAAGCTCCCCCGGTAGTACCTCAATTTATCAGCTTAACGTAGCTGGCTGGCTATATTAGCTCCCCGGAAGAAAAATTGATCTTCCGGAAATCAGTTACTTTCAATCTAATTAAAGAAGTCATGCGTGAATACAAGAAAACAATATTTTAAGTGGAAACATTGATGATGATTGAGACCAGTCTGACCAGAACATTTATTAACTCAAAAAAAAAAAAAAACTACTAGGAACTGTGTCACTGTGTGGGTATGGAGTCATTTTCAAGTCTTAATCACGATTTCCATATTTTCATATATAACAATAATTTTTCTGAATGGGGGGGTGGCATTCCCCAGCAACACACCTTTCAACAATATACCTAACGCCCCGCTCCGTTTTGATATATCAAGAATGTTGTTTTTAGTTAGGATGTAACATTATTTTGATACATAGAAACAACATCGATTAGTTCAATTGGTTTGGTGACTTTATGAAATGCATATTCCATGATTTTGACTTAATTTGTTATCCAAGTGGATTTTCATTATCAAATGCAAACATGTCACAAAACTATTTGATCAACATTTTTCCACCGTCTCCCACGTTCAGCACTGGTGATTAAAATATCAACGCCATGATCAATCATTACATTACAGTTAAACATAAAATTTTCCGTCCACTTTTGCTGCGCCTTGCTGGAAAACCCGGATTCGTTCCTAGTTCTTTAACCTCACCAACGCACTTTCAGTTGCTTGCCATTTTCCAACTTTCCATTATTATTATCTCCCGCCCTCTTCCCCTGGATCGTATTTATATATATCTCAACCATGTATATCCATCATTTTCAGAATTAAGTACAGGAATCTATCTACTTGAACAACCAACCTAATGAAGACCCTTTTCGTAGTGCTGGTGATTTTGATTGTTTCTCTTATGCTAATAGAATCGACGTTTGCCGTGAACAAGAGGGTTTTTGTGATGGTGGAGACAAAGGGCAGCGCAGGTGATCGCAATGTTGCTGCTCCGGCAAAAAACAAGGAATTGATGGCAGAGTCTTCTTATGCATATGTTGAGGCGGAGGAGCAGTCTTATTTGTTTAATCACCATGAGATTCCCAGGGAGGCTTGGGGAAATAATGCCCAAAATCCAGATGACCCGATCCCGGATGCTAGCAAGGACGAGGATGGAGGCGAGTAAAGCCTGCTTTCTATCCAATCAGTAGAGTTATGAATAGTCCAGCCCAAAAGTTCTTCAATATTGGTTTTTTCCCCTTTATTTATATATATATATGGGAAATTCTAGAGTCCAGTTTCTTTTTTTTGACTATATAGTCCAGTTAAAATTCAACCAATCAAAATTGATGGCATATCATGTTACATGGGGTGAGAAACATTGGAACACATTCGCAATAGTTAGTAATTTTTTAAAAAATTACCTAGATAAAATGAAAATTATCTCAATAAAATTGGAATCCATTTACTTTTTTTTTTCAGATAAATTGACTCCCACAACTCAATCTGGATTCATTTTTCAAAGCCATTCTACATCAAGTATTCGATCATCATTTATGCGAGTTAAATGGTGCTTCGATAGTTTTACCTTCGCCATTATGAAGACTCAAAGTTGTACTGGAGCTTGAACATTCGAACTTTAAAGCATTATTTTCCAGAAGCTTAAGTATAGGCATTTGTTTTAGAGTATATAAAGACCATTGGTGAGAGACAAACAATTAATGCTCTTGAAATGCAGCAAACTGCTTGACTGCTAAAAAAAACATAAAAGTAACGCTGAAGTATTCATGGCCAACGTTATTAGGCTGCAAGAACTCAGTATACAGGATGCGTTAATGTTGCATTCTGTAGCTTTGAGGCTATTCTTCTACCTCTTCTTTTTGCGCTCCCGGATGATGAGGGTGCAATGACTTGTTATATACACGAAGCTATTGGATTGGTATCATGAGTGATATGCGATTCATGTATCATTTCTTTGCTGCTAGGCTGGAGCATTTTTCCGCCGTCCGTGTTGTTCATGTTTGGCATTTAGAAATCAACCTAGTCAGTGAAAATTCTTAGTAATGGGATTAATAACACTCGGACATCCAATTGGAACTCCTACTTGGTTTAATGACAACTAAGTGATAAACCTTATAAACTCTGTTTTGTCACTGTATATGAACTTGGCTTTAAAAGATGTTCTGGCATTTCATGAGCAAAGAATCGACATCATGATGGTCTCACCAACTTTTCACAGAATGCAATCATGATTGGACGTTGTTTGAAGCAACTTTCGGAGAAGCAGGGTCTTCTTCGCATAACATCAAGGAATATGGAAAACAGAGGAGCATGTTGATGTTCTCGATTTCATAAATATTACAACAAAGCTTCACCTTCTCAATTAGGACAGAAATGACATGAGACTGGTTTTGACCATCATTCTGAAACCATAACATCGGTAGACCATTCAATTGGTCCTTGCTTGTGAGTCGTGACCGGCTCTTTCTTTGGTGGTGTGACATTGAGCACACTTGGTATTGAAGATAGCCTTAGAATCAGCAAGTGGTGCTTCCTCGAAAGAAATGAAACAGACAGCAAGATCCTTAGAGTTTCCGGTGGGAGAAAGAGCGGCAGCGTCGGGCGTGTGGAAAAATTTGATCATATTGTTATTTGGTTCCTGTAATTAATCAGTTGCCAGTTTTCTGGGGTATAATCAAATGTATTTGGCTATATTTCCTTACAATAGGCCCTAATTTTAATCTTACGGTTGTCAGTTGCTCTAATTGATCTTACGGTGATTGATTTATGACTGAACCGTTTAGTCGACTAGACAGTAGTTACGCCCATATATATATATATATATATAATACATATATATATGTTCAGTCGACTGAACGGTTCAGTTAAATAATACAACCGTTAGATAACACAAGAGCAATTATCACCGTAGGATTAAATTTAGGTAATACAGAGGAAAAATACTCCGCAACACACTGAATCACTTCTGTGGTAAAGCAACGACTATTTGCCCAGATCTGATTTTTTTTTTCTTTCTCTTTCTTGACAACATAAACCTCCTTCATTCTCCGTAAGCCCCCAAAAAATCCCACGAAACTTTGTGCCTGCATCTCATGAATCATGAAAGAAACTCAAAACTGATCATCGATATTTCTAATTATTCCCAAAGTCCGTAATTTAATTATTTAGTCTAGTTTTATTTTTTCTCTGAAGATTAATTTTAGAAGAGTTGGTATTCAATCATATTTTATTTTTCTGGGTTTATTGTGATTAAATATTGATGTTATAAATTATAGTTCTTTTATCAATTTAAACTATGTTTTCGTTTGAGCACATGTAAGTTGTTTAGTGTTATTGCCGAGGTCTAGAAATTGATAAGAAAGTACAAGGAGTCAAGAACAGTGGAGAAGTGATAACCCAATGTTTCTGAACAGATTCGTCTATTCACAGAAGAAATTCGACGACTTGCTGATTGCCTAGTGATCATCAATAGGAATTCAGGGCAGAGGGGCTTAAAAGAATCTCCGTTGATTTCTGTTGTTAGTTTGGGTGCTTTGGGCTATGGATTCATACGGTTAAAGGCTGCATCTGCAGTGTTGATGAGATGTGCTTGTGATATTCCAAAAATCAAACAAGGTCTTGGGGAAAAAGGAGTGCTTGTTTATGTTAGCCTTACTTAGGAATAGGGAATGGTTGCATCATGTAATGGTATTCTAGTAATGGTATTCTTGTTTCAAGGACAGATTTCTTTTTCCATTTGAATGCAATTACAAATTTGCACGCAATTTGATTGTGAACTATTTAAAAATCCATCAGAAAAATTTGTGTGTTTTACATCATGAAATGTTGAACAATTTTTTCCCTTAATCATGTTTGAATGATTTTTTTTAAAAAAACAGATTAATTAAAAAAACTAATGCGATGTAAAAGAAGACGCTTCAGGAAGTTCTATCTTTTCAAAGTTGATGATAAAAGAGTAAATGGAAAATGGTGCTGCCGTGCTGGTTTATTAAATCATTGTTATAGAAAACCCTTAAGGTTAATTTAATTTATCTTGGTTTTTTTTTTGAAAATAAAACATTAACTTATTTCATTAGTAGATTACTAATTAGTAGAGTTTTGTTAAGGTGTTGCATACCCTATAATAGTTCGTGGTGTGTCTTACTTTTATTGGTTTGAATTTGATTGAATTGTTCAATAAAAAAACAACTAAACCATAGAATTTCCCTATAATAACAATAATAATCATAATAATAATAATAATAATAATAATAATAGTAATAATAATAATAATAGTAATAATAATAATAATAATAATAATAATAATAATAATAATATCGGGAGTGACTACAGTCCAGTTGACTAAACTGTTCGGTCATTAATTTTAACCGTTAGATTAGAATGAATCATTGTGACCGTAGGATTAAATGTGGTGTATCATAAAAGATAAAAGGCCTAAAAACACAGAATAATTTATATGAATTATACGATATTAGTTTCTCCCACAAGTTTTATTTATGTCAGGATTCCTATAAAAAAACAAAATCATCCATATTTCATCCACTGATGTTCTAATCTTAACAAACAGACTTAATCCTTAAAAAAATAACTTTTTTTTTAATGACAGAGTTCAAATAAATCTATCCCAATTCATTTTTTAGTCCGTCTGTTCATCAACTAATAGAACAAATTTGGCATTAACGAGCAACTGCCATGTAGAAGACTGTAATTTTTAAAGAAGATCAACTACTTTCGATGTCCACAGAAGAGATTATCGACGTATCAATTAATGGCGCTGACAAGGCTGCCCTTGTGTTATCTTACTTTTGGGGACCTTGGAAACAAGAAATAGAGGGAAAATAAAAATAAAACTTGGGCAGATAGGAAATTGGAAGAGTTCTTAAGATGGAGAGTCCAGTATATTAAAGAGGGAATCCGGGAACTCTATTTCGGTCCTGGTAGCTCAACTTCTTTTAATGCTCTTGGTCGCCTTAACCTTGGATTCCTGGGGACAAAGACCAGAGTTTCGGAGCTCATGGAAATACCCATGCGAATTTTCATTAAGATAATTTTTTAATTTATCTTCAATGACTTATCGAATTAACATGTCAATAATTAAATGGTTTGTTAAGGTGTTGTACACCCTATAATTAGAAATGGTGTATCTCACTTTTATTGGATAAATTTTAACTAGATGGTCCAGTCAAAAACTCATCACTGGACCATAGAATTTTTCATATATATATATATATATATATATATATATATATATATATATACACACACACACACACACACACACTAGATGTTAAACCCACGCGATGCGCGGGGTTTATTTATATACATTATAAAAAATCAACAAAAAAAATATAAAAAGTGTAAAATATATTTGGAGTCCATATTAAGATATATTACACAAATAAAATTAAATAAAGGCGTAATTGTAAAGATAAAATAATGCATATTATTTGAAATACAAGTGTTCACTTGATTTTTATTGAAGGAGAAGAGTTGGATAATAACACCCATAAGCAGAGTAAAATAAATAAGATTGTATTAATGTTACATATTGAATGAAAAGATAAAATGATTGTACGCGTAAAATACATAATAAAGTAATTATCAATAGTAGATGGTAGATTATGTGTGACTGAAATATGAAGTTTAAATAAAGATTGTATTAATGTATTATCAATAGTAATTAATACAATCCTGAGATGCTACCTCCAAAAGTATTCGATCTTCTTGTTCTCAATTGCCTGATAGGTGTATCTAGGTTCTCGGATGGCAGTATTCATGAGTTGAGTACGCTCAAGGTTCATTTCCCAAGTCTTGCTACCTAATAATTGTTCTCGCCCCGTTTAACATTGAGTTGAGTTTTTGACCTCATTCAGAGACTCGTACATTAGTAATGATCTTTATTTATGCATGCCATGACATAAGGAATTATGCGAGTGAATGAATTCAAACTATGCATATCCTGTTCTTAATTTTTGTGATTCTCGATCAAGACAACATACGCTTGTAAGAATTGCGATATGAGATCAATGTTTTGTAGTTCAATAATAATACTTGTTTCACCGAGCCGATTGCTTGGTCTTTCACCGAGCCGATTACCATGTCATTGGATATGACATTCATACTAGACGAGAGAAAACAATGTGAAACAATTGGCGGGTGCTTATGTTCCCACCCTCTCGAGTTTCAGCGGAATTCTAAATCCTCTAAAACCAAATGAAAAGAAGCTTAAAGACCTTCAGACGCCTCACGTATATGTTCTTAGTCTACTTTGGTATTACTCGTTAGTGTTACTGGTCTATGAAATTCCATACCTATGTTTGTTTAGTTTAGTTATTTATTTACCCTACTACGTAATTGTAAATTTGAGTCTCTAACTTTGCTCTCACGAAACAAGTATTATTATTGAACTACAAAACATTGATCTCATATCGCAATTCTTACAAGCGTATGTTGTCTTGATCGAGAATCACAAAAATTAAGAACAGGATATGCATAGTTTGAATTCATTCACTCGCATAATTCCTTATGTCATGGCATGCATAAATAAAGATCATTACTAATGTACGAGTCTCTGAATGAGGTCAAAAACTCAACTCAATGTTAAACGGGGCGAGAACAATTATTAGGTAGCAAGACTTGGGAAATGAACCTTGAGCGTACTCAACTCATGAATACTGCCATCCGAGAACCTAGATACACCTATCAGGCAATTGAGAACAAGAAGATCGAATACTTTTGGAGGTAGCATCTCAAGATTGATTAGAATAACTTGAAATTAGAATCTCAAAAAAATAACTTAAAAATTGGAATCTCGAGTTATCGTTATCTATCATCTCGAGTTTCCGCAACCATGGATTAGTTTATCGTTAGCTAATGAAGTTATAGTGGTTGCTTCCCTGTCATTATCTAATCTACTAGATTTTGATATCAAATCCTTATCATTAAAAAAAAAAACAAAAAACTAAACTAAAAATAAAAAGGCCAAAGGTCAATGGTTCAGCCTCAAAAGTCATATTTAGATTGTACTAAGAAGTAAGCAAAAGCCAATCAGTTCTACACTACTACTAGTATACTTCCACCTTTTACAAGTGAAGTGAAGCCAGTGAGTGAGTGAGTCATCAGCACTTTGCCAACACGGCAGCCAATTCAGCACAATGATGAACGTCTAAAAAGCCTGGTTGCCCACTCCGAGAGTAGAAAGGTCAAGAAGATGGGCCTACCAACTTCTGAGAGTCAAAAAATTGGTTTCGGTGGCCCGCTATTTTTGTTCAATCCAAATTAAAGTGTCCATGACCCAATTTCCTTAATGGCCATTATTCATTCACTCCCAAGGATTTCTCTACTACAGTATGCCATTAATCCAATGCTACATCCTTTGATCTTTTTTATTGTTCTTTTTTCTTCTTTTTGGGTGTATGAAATGCAGTACTCAGCTTTTACTGCAGGTCCTACCATCTTAGTTAACTGAGATTTTAATTTATTTTTCTACATAAAAAACACCATCGAACAGGTTTGGTTACTTTAAGGTCATATATACACACTACACTAGTAAAGATACTACTTCTCAAGTATCATATCCGGATTGCAGAAACATACAAAAGAAAAGATTGTGAATCCACAGTGATGATGTTATGTTTGACCAATGAACCCGAATTGTTCATATCAAAAACCTTCAATACTAGTATAACATGTGTATGCTTTTCCTTAAAGACACATTTCCTCAACCTGTTGTCTTTTTTTTTTTTGTCAGGAAAGTCCAGAATTTATGGGAAGATGAACGTGGTAAATGCTGAAATTTGTGGCAGGGGTGGAATGAATTCTGGGCAACGGATGCATCTCAAAAGTTGGGCGTATTTATTTGGTGCAGTCGTCGCGTGAAAGACAGTGAAAAATGCCCAATCAGAGAGCTTATTAAAGAGAGCAAATAGCAACTGTTTTTGGGCCAGAGTAGTTTCTGACTAGTATAAATTTACAGTTCCAGTTTTAGCAAAATTATAACGTGCCCTTGTCTACACTGAACTAGGTCGGAAAGGACCAGAGATTTTGGATTAATGAGGCTTTGTTTCTTTGTCATAATCTTTCAGTTTGTCCTTGAACTGAAAGTGAAAAATGTGCCTCCTCAAATTTCGAAGTTCCACATTCAGCATTGTTACCAATCATCCATCTATTCAAAAACTTTGAGAAAACAATTAGAGAGAGGGAGAGCGATTGCCGATTAGTAATGTTTGGATGTTTAGGTCAGTAGGAAATGTATAGTAATGAGTAAATAGATAGTAATCATTGAAGGTAAATCAGTATGTTTTGGACAAACAAGCATGCCCAACAAAAAAAAAATGCAGGGGAATGCCAAAAATTAAGGTAGCTTTTACCTATGCAAGCGAGTTAATTACGGAAATGGTATAGAAAAGCTCAAACTAGCCAATAGGAGAGACAGGAGGGGGCATAAAAGTTGCAGGGACCGTGAAGTCCATGGACGACACTGGCATGAAAAGAACAAAGGGCCGTCCAATCCAATCCAACGACTCAACGGAAGGCTCCATTTTTTTCCTTGAAGAATCCCCAGAAAGAAAGGGAAGAAAAGAAACAAAGCTCATCACTGATCCCTATCAGGCTACCACCAAATGGAAATTGGAGATCCATGTATATATTGCAAATAAATTATTAATTGGTTTAAACCCTGACTTTTCTTGTGACGTAGGTCCAGTAATTTGGACCGAGCTCAGTTTGTATTTGTGGGAGTGGAGACCCACCTTTCCCGGTTTGTGGATTTATCCACCAGAAATTAACCAGAAACGTTGAAACTCAAGTGTGAAAAAAAGTAGCCGGCACATGGCTCGGTTTAGCGGGAAACCCCATAAAGCCAACGACTAGTATCACAGTAGCCCTTTCATTCCAGAGTTCTGAGTTCACTTCAAATCCGGTTCAGCACATTTCTACAACTTATCTCACCATCCTGACCAACCCATAAATCAATTCATCATAACTTTTGAGGATTTTGCAATGTTTTATTGGTCATGTTTCTGGTTCTTAGTCCATCAATCACATCTGCATTTGGAGAATTTGTCCTTTTTTTTTTTCTCTATGTAATTAGACATGGTGTTTGATCTTTAGTTATTAATTAATGCTAACCTAAGACTAATACTCTAATAGTGCTATGGTGATACTCATTAAACAAATAATACTGTCACCACGTACCGTAATGTTGGTCAAAACATTAACGCATGCTAGCGGCTCAGTACCAGGAAGACTGTGCAGGGAGCCACTCGAGAAGAATGATACCGAATTGTACATGAGGAAAAAGATTACAAAGCAAATCCTAAAAAAACTACCTTTTCTTTTGAAATAAATCTGAATAAAGATACTGTATAAAGTAAATTGTGTCGTATATTTTAGTCGTGTTCTTATTCGGGTTCAGAGCTGATTAAACCAGTCATTGATCTTTAGTGTTGACCCGACCCAATTGTTTTGTTAATGTTTGTTTGCAACATATGCCCATGTCCAAAAGTGCCATTCTTGGGGAAATACACAAGAGAGGATCTTTTTTTTTCCGATTCTATTTTTTCTTCCTTCCCTCCAGTTCTTTTTTGTACCTTTTTGAAACAGTGGGTATCCGCCTATTTTGGCCCTTTAGATTCTTTTTTACTATGTATGATTATAAATGATGGCAAAAGGAGACTAATGCGGTCTCTACTTCCTTGACTGTTAGAGTAGGAGGAAAGAATAGCAGAACAGTTGAAGCCATTACTACAGCTTTCTTCCCCTCCTCCTCTTTCCTCCATTCAGCAGCAATTGAGACTCCAGATCTGCCATTTTACTTCACAATGCTGCTGCTTCACACTAATCTTTGAGCTGCATTTTGTGCACAAGTTAACCAACTAAACCGCATTGTCTCAAAGATTCCGCCTTTAAGATGTTCCAGTGGACCTGCATTGTCTTCTTTCTGCTTGTAAGCTCGTTCTTGTCACTTGGGTCAGCTGTTCACAACCTTACCCTTCCTGGTCAGCATCCCTTCCCTGAGTCTGTTGTTGAAGACATTCAGAGGTATATTTCCCTTCTCAGCCTCTTCTACTATTCCACCATTCTTAGCTGTGTTCCAAGCTTTTCTGAAGAGACATTGACATTTACCAGTATATTATTGTTTTTTGGTTTAAGGAAGTTCAGATAGGATGTCTCCATTTACTTTGGTTTCTTAAGTCTGAATTAACATTTTGCTGAGGATAAACATACAGTATAGGTAATGTCTAGTTTTTAAGAACCTTTTTAGTAATGACAAGTTGACAACTTAAGTACAAGAAATGTGCAATTCTTTAGTGAATAACATTATGTACAAGAAATGTGCAATTCTTTGCTTCTCCAAGAGATTTCTCTGGTTGGCCCTCCAGGGTATATATTTACTGTTGCTTAATCTTCAAAATAGTTATTGGCTGATTGCAATGGTGTTTTAATTTCCTGGAAATCATTGGTCCCTTTATCTCTGGCCCCAGTTGTGTAACTTTACTCTTTCACTAGGAAACAGAAAGAAAGTTTTCAACTTTTACTTTTGTTCAAGATATTTACCATAGCATCTTTTACCCTGTTTCCCCTGTTTCAGTAATCTTCATGTTATACTGTAATAATGTGGTTGCCGGTTGGTCTGTATTCCTGAATTTGCAATTAATTTTTTGGCGCAGAAAAGTAAATGTATCAATTTCAAGAAGACAAATGTTAATGTACGAAAGCAATGACCAGCCATCATGTATCACCGGCAACCCAATCGACGACTGCTGGCGCTGCGACACAAACTGGCAGCTCAACCGGCAACGCCTCGCCGACTGCGCCATCGGGTTCGGGCAGTACGCCTTGGGAGGCAAAGGCGGCCGTTACTACGTCGTCACGGATTCCTCCGACAACGACCCGGTTAACCCGGTTCCCGGAACCCTCCGTTACGCCGTCATCCAAACGGAGCCACTCTGGATCGTCTTCGCCACCAACATGCTCATCCATCTGAAAGAAGAACTTATCTTCAATTCCTACAAAACCCTCGACGGCCGTGGTGCCAACGTCCACATCACCGGCGGCGGGTGCATAACGTTGCAGTACATAAGCAATGTTATAATCCACAATATTCATATCCACCATTGTTACCAATCAGGGGAAACCAACATAAGGTCAAGCCCAACTCATTACGGGTGGCGAACACTTTCCGACGGTGACGGAATTTCCATTTTCGGAGCAAGGGATATTTGGATCGACCATTGCTCTTTGTCCCATTGTAAAGACGGTCTAATTGACGCTGTGATGGGTTCCACAGCAATCACGATCTCCAACAATCATTTTTCCCACCATAATGAAGTAATGTTACTGGGTCACAGCGACGATTACTTGCCGGATTCCGGGATGCAGGTTACGATTGCTTTCAACCACTTTGGAGTAAAGCTGATTCAGAGAATGCCCAGGTGCAGGAGAGGGTATATTCATGTGGTCAACAATGATTTTACCAGGTGGGAAATGTACGCCATTGGAGGAAGTGGAAATCCCACCATTAACAGCCAAGGAAATCGCTATACTGCGCCGGTTGACCGGAATGCCAAAGAGGTCGTACTTTTATCCACTTTTTCAGTTCTCATTTGATTTGCTCTGCTTCTTCTTCCTCTCATATATACATATATTTTGAGTTTTTTTATATATATATATATACTGGGAAGCTTTTACTTAATACAAAATGTCTGACGCCTCGAGTCGGAGATGGACAATCAAAAGATAGTGCATATAAGCTATAGTAGGAGGGGATAGACAAAATTATATTTTGAGATTTGATTACATTTTTTCCTTTCTTGGTTGCAAAACGTCACAAAAGATGGTTCTTTTTGTGTCGAATAATTGAGCATTGGATTCTGATTTTATTATGTTTTGATTGGTGTTGGCATTAAGCAGGTAACGAAGCGAGTGGAGACTGCAGAAGAAACATGGAAGAATTGGAATTGGAGGAGTGATGGGGACATATTGGTAAATGGAGCCTACTTTGTCGCCTCCGGCGAGGGTCTAGAAGTCAAATACGAAAAGGCCTACAGTGTGGAGCCCAAATCTGCCGCCTACATTGATCAGCTAACCATGAACGCCGGAGTTTGGGGTTCCAGGTCCTTTTTAATTACGTTTTTGTAATCTACTTTTTTTGGCCCATTGCTTCTTGGGCCTTGGTGGGTTGTGTTTGTTTGTTTTTTTTTTTTGGGGTCTCATTTTGGTTTTCGATTTTAACAGGAGGAGCCATATGGGGAGGTGGACGGCCGGTAACGGGACGGTGGGGATGGATTTGGGAGGTGATCCAGATTACTTGGATGACTACGACGGCGATGATGATTCCGGCAGCTTCAGATCCCTTCCTCATTCCCCACATTTTAACACATTAATTGCTTTGTTAACGTTCATGTGTTTACAATTGGCATTTATGTTTTCTCCGCAAGGACTTTAACCTAGAGACCAAAAGGAAAAAAAAAAAAAAAAAAACCCCATCAAAAAAAGTTCCAAGTTCAATTTCCTTAATGCAATTTCGGCTGTGTGTGAAATGTTTTATTAGTTTTTTTTTTCTTCTTTTGCTTTTAATGTAGAAAAGTATATAAAAAGTGTACAAAATTAGGTTAAAAATATTAAAAAGCACCTTCTCCAGGTGTATCCAAACAGATCCCTCGGGAAAATTTTGGTTCCTGCGCGTACATTTTCTACCTAATTTATCTTGAGCAAGACACTTCCGGTGTGAAACTATGAAAAACAAGGGTTTGCAAACAATATACGCAAGTGATGTTATGCATTGTGGATAAAACACCGTTTGTTAGTACTAAATTACTAATAGTACTTTGTAATAATGTAGTAGCTGTAGTATCCAAATACTCCTGGTGCTCCACCGTGATTTTGAGCACTTTTGTGATCTACATTTGTATACTTGTACAAATTTACTCGTTGATTAACTACAGTTTCAATCTAACTTTTAAGGAAACTTTAGAATAGTAGCTACAATGACATAAAGTGCTAGTTCTAAAAAATTATTCAAAAAGTGATAAAAGGGAAAATCGTGCTGCATTTAGTATAGTACTTTTAGGAATGCAATTTTAACATGAACGATGAAAAACCAGTTGGAATCTTTGAGATATACATTAGGGAAGATTGAAGCAAGCTGTCACTCAATAAAACTAAGTACATTGCGAAGCATCGCGCCTTCAGATATCATATTCTATCAGACCTAGTTCTTATAGATCTCAGGGGGACATCCCATAAACGCCGAAAACAAGTATAGAACGTTTGTCTCCACCACCCACAAAAGGGTTAAAAATCTTGGTGTGTTATAATTTGTTTGTTTGGTGTTAAATTAAGATTGATATCTTTTGTACAATTAAGCACCACATTTTTGACTGGCGGCCTTTAAACACGCTTTTTGAAGCATTTTGATCAGCTTTCTAGCCAATCAGAGGAACTATCTTTTCTGAATTTGGTATTTAATAAAAAGTTATTAGGAATAGACATAATTAATGTGATCTGACGACCTATTCCAGTATCCGATTTGTTGATTCTCCCCACTTGCAATACTAGTCGTCATGAAGATTTATATAGATAGCGCTGCTATGTGATCCTTTGCCTTTCCTTTTTTAAAATTATATACTTACAACACGTTACTATTTGAATCGGGTAGGATCATTTTCAAAAAGTGAAATTATATCAACAAATATTTTTGATCATTGTTATTCCCTCTGTCCCAAAATTATTGTCCAGTTTGAAATTTCACTTTTAGTACAATTTGAACTAAAAATTAACCTAAAACTAGACACTAATTATGGGACGGAGGGAGTACATGTTTATGCTCAATGCTATATGATCCTTTCATTTGTATTTTTGTTATCAATTTCGTCAAGTTACTCAACAAGCAAAATAAAAAGTAAATTATTATTGATTAAGACAGTGAAAATCATAAGTTGAAATTGTTATACTAAAATGATTAGTGATTGATGTTGTATATCAAACGACAAAAAAAAAATGATGGATTAAGTTTTGCAAATACGAGATTTTAACGTAGGATTTTTAAAATATTTTTATATGTGTTACATTAATCATTTCTCACAATTAGAATGGCAGAAAAATGATGAATCGATACCGCTGTGAGGTAGTTCCTTCCTTCTGTAGGGTTTCCCTTTGTTTGTTTAAAGATTTCATTTTCCATCTTGGTTAATCAATTGAATAAGTACCCCAATACTATATAACAAATGCATTATCTATCAGCACGCTTTTCCTTACTTGTAACTTAATTTAAACCAACTTATAAGACGACAACACTGTTTTTGATTTAGATATTTGCTTTCCTCTACAGAAAAATAATGTAACGCATGATCTAAACGTTGGCTTCATTGGTTCTTTATGGATAATCTTTAATCGACGATGCAGTATGATAGTGCATCTGTAACAAAGGCGAAAGTTTCTAGTGTTCTCTAAATTAATACTCCTTCCTTCCCAACACTCCTCTCTTAAACTGAAAAAAGGGTCGTCGGCAGTAATAGAAAAATATGTTATGCAAAATTTAACTCAATATTAAAATATATACTCCCTCCGTCCCATAATTATTGTCCAGTTTGGATTTTCATTTCTAGTTCAAATTGTATTAAAAGTGAAATCTCAAATAAGACAATACTTTTGGGATATGGTGAGTATATATTAATGTCTACAAAAGAGTTAAGGGATGATAAGTATGAACAATACTCAGAGAACAAGAATTGTACTTTATTAAAGGTGCAGTGTTAAAACCTAAAAAGCTAAAATTAACAAATGGCCTACTAGCACTAGCAGCCCCGTTGCTGCCATCAACCGAACAAGTACGGTTAGATAGGTTTTCAATAAAAGTTAAACTTATTAACTTTATTTTTATTTTTTCCTTTGTCTTAAACAAGTCCCGTGTTTCTCTTGTCCTAGCTACTACTTTCTATAATATGTTGAGGTGACGGAACAATTAGCATTTATAAAATTGTAATCTTTTGAGTGTAACCAGTAATGGAACTAAGGGGATCACTAGCAGTGACTGCGCTATAATTTGACTGTAAATCAAATTGTTTTTGCATTTTCAAATCTTGCAAAATTGAAAATATCTTTATTTCGCCACAGGAAAATGACAGGAAAAAACTTCCTCGGCAGAAGCTAAGAAAAAGAGTTGACTGACACAGAAATGTACAATTTACAAAGGATCAGATTTAGGGTTGGCAAAATCCTAGATGCAAGAAAGAGATTATGGGATTTAGTCCATATCCCAGATGGAAAATGTACTATCCCAAATCAAACTAATCTCGTCACCAAAGATTTCCATTCTGGAACAGTTTGACGAAGTCCAATCCAAGAGTACCCTGTTTTCATACGGCGAATAGGCTAATGATCCTATGCTGGAAAGGGCTTCCACTGTACGGGAATCCTCAGTATATGTCCTCGTCTTATTGTCATCTGTACCAAATTTGTTGTAATAATCTCCGGTGTCAGAACTCGATGACGCGCTGAAATCTTGACTTTCCATTCCAACTGGAGAATTGTTCTGCTCCCAATATCTGTCTGTAGGATTATTATTACTTCTGATTGTGTGTTCTGCAGAAAATCAGGTATAATTCAGTTCAGTTAATGTACGAACGAAATGGTCAAAGATTAATTCAAGAAAAAAAAAAAAAAGATGATCAAAGTAGATGATGATGATGATGATGATGACCTTGTCGTAAAAGTGAGGCTTTCTTTCTCAAATGACTCCTCCAGTAATTCTTTATTTCGTTGTCAGTACGTCCAGGCAAACTTCGAGCAATCCTTGACCACCTGCATGCGCATTAAACCACTTAAATTTTAATCACTTTGCCTTTCTTTCTGCATTAAACTATTCAACCATCTTAGCATACTGTTTAATAATGTTATTATATCAACCCAACAAACAAAAGAAAAAAGGAAGTAATTACCTATTACCCCATTGTTTGTGAAGCTGAATGATGAGAGTCTCCTCTTGCTGAGTAATTTGGCCATGTTTGAGATTTGGGCGCAGGTAATTCATCCATCGCAACCTGCAGCTCTTTCCGCTTCTTCTCAGGCCTGCATGGTCGCATAGTTTTACTACTTTTCAAGAAGAAGGGAAAAAAAAAATGGAAGTAAAAGCCTAACAAGTAGTTTAATTTTGATCCCTGGAATATGGAAACAGAGTAACAGGCTTTTTACCAGATGCTTTTGCTAATGAGTCCCAACGTCGTTCTCCCAAAACAGAGATGGCTGCAATTAAGGCTTCATCTTCCTCTTCCAGCCACGGCCCTTTACGAAGTTCTGATCCTGTTTCTTGCTGGCCTGTTTGATGAAATTGGTGGTGATTCTCCATGATATTGATCATGGTTCTTTGGTTTTTGGTTTTTCAATCAGGGCATCACTGGCAATCCCTTCTTATACAAGTTCCAAGGTGGCAAAAGTGTGAGGGATTTTCTATTAAGAAAGGAAAAGAAATGACCCGTAAATCTTATATGGCAAGAGTAAGTGGGTTGGATAACAATATTAAATCATTGTGGAAGCTCCACCACTAGGATTACCTGTTGTAATGTAATAATGCTCATGACCTACGAGGCTTCGATCATTGGATTATCTCCTGGCTCTTCTTTGAGTTTTCCTCAATTTTAATTGGCATTTCTTAGATCAAGTTTATTACTTTAGTTAGTTCGTTTATTATTTTACATCACTATTTCTGGTCTCTATACAATCTGACCCAATCTACGATCTTCAGCTACAAAAAGAATGTCTTTTTATTCCCATGATGGCGTTCGCATAATGCTTTTGTCTCTATCCATTGTGCATGAACTTATAAGCTGGAACTTAGAAGTTGTCTTTGTTTATGTGATCGTATTTGCAGAAAAAAAGGTAAACTGGATATGGTCATGGCCTACACCCTTTAATCTTTCCATTAGAATGCAACCATCATCACGTGCGGCTGCCCGACATGGGGTTTATTACGCCTTCAAGAGCCATTCCCAGTATGAAATCATAGTTAGAACATAATATTAATGGGGCTGTATATCCTGTAACGCGTTAATTAGTGAACACATCTAAGTTCTACTGGTGGATTAGTTACATTTTGTGTAGTGTTTACAGTTTTAGACGGATCAGTATAGTCTTTCCAATCCTCAAAGTTGAACTGAATTGAAGGTCGGTTCTTTCAGGTGCAACTTCAGGATGTGACATGAAGTAAAAAATGAGATATGATACAATCAACTTCAGAAATTCATGTTGTCTCTCTGAACAGTGGGCAGTGGATGGAGAGGGAAACAAACAAATCCTTCTCCATGAGTAGCTCTTAGTGTACAAAATTGCAGAGTTTCATCAGTTACAGTTTGACTAGTCCGGAGGCAGATAATAAAGATTCCCATCTTGTTGCATCTGCAAGGTTTATGTGAGGACAAGTGTATTCGGTCACAGCTCAAAAAACGCTAGCGGTCAATGAAGGACTTGTTCATAAGATCAACTGCAGAATCCATGAACTGCAAAACCCAAAAACAAAAAAAAAAAAAAAACAAAAAATAGAAAGCAAAAGTTAAAACATTTATCATAGTGTTTATAGGGCTCAAAGTCATGAGGTAGACAGCATTGTTCTCATAATCTTATTGAAAATATATGTAAAATACATCTAACACAGGCGGAAACTACGTGCTGCATGTGCTGTTGAAATATCCGAGGCATTGACTTCTCAAGGATAAGGAGGAAAAAGTAAGTTATAAATAAACTTTACCAATCCGAATCAGGACTGCAAGGAAGCTATAAACCAGAAGTTAAAAGTTGCCAGCTCTTAATCAGGTCTGTCTGCAAGTATAGGCCATGTATAACTTGGGTCCGGATGTGGTGTAGCTAATTGCTTCTACATAGGGAACCTTCCAAGTTCCAAGCATGACTTCTATATGTATTTAGTAAATTCAAACTACGGTGCTCACTACCCATTCTAGTTATCAGTTTCCAGCATCAATGTCCTAAAAGTACCAGCGTATTTCCCTACAGAAGCTATGGCAGTATGTGTACTTACAGTCTCCAGCTAACACAAACTCCCCAGATCATAAACTCAATTCCTATAATACGGTAATACAAGCGCCACAGTTTCTCTATACTTTATTTCAATAGCGAAAATGGATCGTATTGCATAATAAGGAAATCAAAGCTAGTAAAAAAAATTGACAGAATGCCAAACAAAATACTGGAGTGTAAGATTGCAACAGCACCTTTCCAATCGACTTGAGCTCCCGTCCAACAGGTTCCATAAACTTGAGGTCTATATCGATAGGCCAAACCTACCAAAGAAAATAAGCAAAATTACCACAAAGGATCAAATTGTAGTAGTATAAAATTACTAGACTTTGAAAATTGATTATGAGCTTCCATCATTCATCAATGCAGGACTTAAAGAACCTCTAAAATAGGAAATGATCATTTTCACAAGTTTTCATCAAAGCATATCAACCTGTAACTAGAATTAATTAGGAAAAAGCTTTATCTGTGTTCTCTAGTTCTACTCGTTAATCTATTCCATATTGAAGAGGGTAAAACACAGGAAAAAACATATAATGTAAAAGGGGAAAAGGAAAAAGAAACAATGTGGATTTTCATAATATTTAACCATTGCAAATAGTAACCACAAGAGATAAAGACGGGGAAAAAATTAAGAAGCACAATCAAAACAAGAGAAAAAAAGAAAAGGAGGTGGAAAAGTAGGAAACCTTAAGCCCCAATAATTTGATGGGCACAGCCTGCCCAGGTACAATGCAGTCTGGACCAGCAGCTTCCACTATGGCCTCCCGACCTAACCCATTCCCAATTGGATTTTCGTGCTGCGAAATTTCCAACAGAATTTCTTAATAAACATGAAAAACCCCAATAGCACACAGATAAAAATTGGGTAGAATGACACGAAAAAGAGAAAAGAGAGAGGGGGAAAAGGGGGGAGAAGACGAACCTTCATGACGGAAAGTGCATAATCGGAATAAGGAGATTGAGAGACACGAAGAACAGGGGAGTGGTGAATTTTAGGGATTGGCCGGGCGGCGCCGTAGGAGGAAGCCCTCCACGGCACATCCTGTTGAAGAGCTGCCGCCGTTCCTTTTTTGGACATTTAATTTGTTGATAATTTGTTATTATTAATTGGAAGAAGCTCTCGCCGCCGGTTACGAAGATGATATTGAGCAACCAAAGACCGAAACAAACTTAGAAGTTGGATAATAATCTCTGGTTTTGTTGGTGATGAAGAAAGACGATGAGATAAAATACAGACAATAAAGATAAAATAAAAAAAGCCCTGGGTTGATGAGTGATTAGTAATGAGCTAAGGGAGGAAGAGGGAGAAATGAAATTAGCCAGAAGGGCCCGACCCCACTACCAATCTAACCCGTCTACATCTTACCAGTATTTTCCAAAATTTAAAATAATATATATCTATTTCTCGTTACAAATTTACAATCACCACAATTTTTTTTTTATTTTGAGTGAACCTCAAAACAAGTCATTAAACTATTAGATAATATTTTAATACATGTCATCAATCAAATTTATTTCTATAACAGCTCACTTTACTAAGGAAAAAATTTATCCGAGATCATTCTGTTAATTTTGGCCGTTAAATAGTGATGAAAATCTATTTTCCACGTACTTTTAGGTTCAGAGATATTTTTGTCATTTTGTCATTTTTAAATTTTTTTTTTGATTAATTTTTTTTCTAATTCTTCTTCTTATACTTTCTAATTTGTATATGCTGGTAGTATAATTTCTAAATTTTAAAAATTAATTAAAATTTTGTATTTTAACTTCTAAATTGTAAATTTTTTTTAAAAAAATTAGAAACATGAAGAAGAAGAATTCGAGTTGAAATAAACATAAAAATTAATAATTATCGTTTTAAACCAAAAAATAAACTAAAAAATTAGCTAAAATAAGTTGTTTCTTCTAGGTTATTTAATTGTTTTCAACTCGATTTAATCATTTAATTATCAATTTTCACGTTTACTTCAATTTAATAATAATTATAATACCAACATATACAAGTTAGGAAATAAAAAAGAAGAAGAATTGTTTTAAAAAATTAGAATATTAATATATTTAAAGAAAAATACAGAATTATGAAATTACTCATGGACCCAAAAGTATGTGAAAAATAGTTTTCTGTCACGATTTAACGTTCAAAATAGCTTTCAGCTAAGAGAAGTTGTTTCCCCTAGGTTATTTTGGGAGTTAAATCGTGACAGAAAATTACTTTTCACCTGCTTATGGGTCTAGGAGCAATTTCACCAATTTATATATATTTTAAAATATTAATATTTAATTAATTTTTTTATATAATTTTTCTTCTTTTGCTTCCTAACTTGTATATGTTAGTACTAGTATAATTATTAAATTTTAAAAATTATATGTCATTTGTATTTTAACTTCTAGTTTACAAAAAAATAAAGGAGAGAAATTCAAATTGAAGTAATGTGAAAATTAATAATTAAATGATTAAATCGAATTGAAAAGAATTAAATAACCTAGAAGAAACAACTTGTCTTAGCTAATTTTTTAAATTTTTTTTTAGTTTAAAATGGTAAACTATTAATTTTCATGTTTACTTTAACTCGAATTTTTCTTTTTCATTTCTTAATTTTTTTAAAAAAATTTAATAATCTAGAAGTTAAACTACAAAAGTAAATGAATTTTTGAAATTTAGAATTATACTACCAGTATATACAAGTTAGGAAGTATAAAAAGAAGAATTGTTAAAAAATAAATAAATAAAAATTTTTTGAAAAAAATTTAAAAATAACAAAATGACTACCCCTGAACTCAAAAGCATGTGAAAATGGATTCCCATCACTATTTAACAGCCAAAATTAACAGAATGATCTCGGATGAATTTTTTGCTTAGTATGGTGACATGTTATATAAATAAATTTGATTAATGACATGTATTAAAATTACCTAATAGTTCAATGACCCGTTGAGGTTCACTTTTTTATTTTTTAAGATATAACCCTACTAAAATTGCTCACAAACTAGAATTAGTAAACAAAATAGTACTTGTGTTACGGATAAAAGCATGTCTATTTAGGGAGGACGTACCACTTCAAACACAATATTATTCTCAATCGGACAAAACTAGTTATTGTGACCAAATATGGAGCGTGCATTTTTATGCCTAACAGCTTTTAAGGCCCTTAACGAATCACAATTTTCACAGCTTTTAAGGCCCTTAACGAATCACAATTTTCAGATTTCTTTGAATCAATCCTGCTGGCGTAGCCGGTTGAATCTGTCATGTACAAATTAGAGAATCAGCTCCAAATCAAGCGAAAGAGCTGAAAAAATAATAGCATTCAAACACTATAGAGCAGGGAACTCCATTGGTTGGTATTTGGTATCGTCACGACATACTCCAATGTGCAAAAGACAGGAGGGATGTACGAAGCAAAGCAGCTGAACGACCTACCTTGATTGATCTAGGTGATCACTATTGGAAACCCAAGCCACTTGCAAAAAAAGTATAAACCACTTCAAGAGTCTCGTTATCAGAGGGTACACTACAAGAGCATTAAAACTTCTCTGATATGGTGAAAAAAATGTATAACAAATACATGAGATACTACAAGAACCGTTCTTAATCTGGTGAACATAACCACAAATATGAATACATCTAAATTACATTGCCTGTTATACCACCCTGTTAACTTTCAGTGACTAGGCAAATTGAAAATTTAGACAAAAAGAGAGGGGAGGGGGGGGGGGTGTTTGGGGAAGAAAGAATACCATCGGAATGAGAGGAGCCTGTCTATGGATCATGCATCCATCTATTGCTGAGCAATCTATAACTGAAGACAGCCAAAAGTATCTTGCGACATCACCACTCAGCCACCTTGCGCTGCTGCAGCCGCTAATCTTTTCCATGTTAATTCTCGTTGTTCTGCCCGCTCCTGTGCTTTAGCTTCGTTCTCAGCGTATTGCCTCTGGCACTCCTCAAACAGATCAGCATCCATCTCCAAAAACATTTTTCTGACATTTACAGTCAAACCATGCACCGCTTGGTTCCAGTGAGACTTTATGTTCTTCTCCAGAGCCTCAAAAATAATTGGTAAAATTACGTTCCGATTCTGTGCGATCAAGCTTACTATGTGCTCATTGTTCCACAAGAATAAAGCTCGTTCTGCAACCTAGAAACAGAAGTAGGTTCAGAAGAAATGTCGTACAAATCTCTTCATCAGATGTCACATGCGAGAGCAAATTAAAGTACATGGTCAATGAGAAAGTGCAATGCACAATAAATATCTCTGGCTTTCTGTCATATCATATGCCTGAAAAATTTTCTAAATGATATTTATGCTTCAAAAAGCCAGATAACCCAAATTACTTTTAAAAGGCTCAAACGGAGAGAAGCACAACTAACCATAGTTTATTCCGATTCTCATACCATTCTAGCGTATATATGTCCTACAAGTATTGTAGAATGCAAATTCCCATTATGAGCCATCATGCATAATTAAATGCCGAATTATTAGGCAAAAACTCAACCTTAAATGTAGACCTCAAGAGTTTGTACTGCACTGTGGTAGGATGTCAATGACCAAAGGCTATGAAAGAATTATACATAATTAATTCAATATGTAATCAGCCAAAATAAGAAGTTTAGGCCAATGATTCACGAGTACAAGCAAAGCACTTTATACCACGGATTCAATATAAAAGGAGAATTGCGCCATAAAAGTTGTATCTGTGCTGTCTTCAAACAAGAAAAACTTCAATTGTTCAGTTTATGCACCCCCAAAAAAAAGGAAACAATCATGACTCTTTCTAAAGTTTAATCAGAGTCCCGAGTTGCTCTTGGTAATTGGAGCAATTTATGATCGCAGCAACAAGAATAACAACCATAGAAGTATAATTCAGAAAGGTTGGCCATTGAAATCCCACCATAAAGAAGTAAAAAGTATTCAAAACACAATTAAGGTAACGTGTCAGCAATAAGGTCCACCAGCACGATATCTGCAGCCAGATTTGCAGCAAATATAATTCTTTGCTGGCATAGAGGATTACTAAATGGCTGCTGAAACAGAAACCCAGCCGCAATGCATTAATGGCATAAATCAACAAATTAAAAGGAGAATAATGTAGAAACAAAATAAGAAATTCAACCAACGAAAAACATTTCCTGCTATTAATATTTCAATATGCTGTTCGTTTTAAACAATAATTTCACACTTTCAACTTTCATATTTGGTTGAGAATAAACCACCAAAAAAAATTACAATCCCTATCCAATGCAGCCATAGCCAATAAACTAAACTTTCACAAGGCTTCTAGCTTCCAACAACTGAAGCTGATTGATAATTATGTCAGACTCTAAACATCTTGGATCACTTAATTGAAAGTCAACAAGTTATTTCATCTTGAAGGAAAGTTATCATTCATGGAGTGATGCCTCATCATGTCAAGACTAAGTCGCCTGTTCTCGACAAAACAATATCCGAATTCAACACAGAAGGCAGGATCCCCAATGGATGGTATGGTGGGGCGTTCAAAAGTGTTCTTTCATTAAAAACAATTACTTTATGAACTTTTAAATAAATTCTCCACAAGTGTCACATAGTAGAAAAGACATAAAATGAGTCAATGGTGGAATCAGTGACCAAACAGCCAGTTATCAAAAGATCTTTTAGTCAATTTCAAAAGGTTATGAAACATACAATTCTCTGCGAGAGACAAAAAAAAAGTACAAGCACCCAAACCAATTCTGACGTGTTTTTGCAGCAAAATCTTGTCGTATTAAGCAGTTCCGATTTTGAATACTATAACTGACTGTCACGATAACGTAATCAAAAAAAGAAAAGCAATTGTCATTATCATAACTTTTTAACAGAAATTAAAATCCATTAATTCTTCTATCTTATTGGATAAATATGTATCAACGAGCCACAACAAATGCCGCACAACTTCCACAGCTGGGTCACTGAACATGTTTTCAGCCACTTAACTTAAAATCAGCAACAGATCATGGAAGTTAAGTGATTGATGTGAGTGACGTAAGGCCTCTTCAAAATAATATGATGGGATATATGGAAACAAGTAACTAGCAATGCACCATCGGTTAAGCTGCAAACTGCCCAAAAGTGAATTAAAAGGGAACAGATGTACAGTTACACATTTAGCACGCATATAGACATTAAAGTTCCTATTTAGTTGATTCACGACACGAGAAAGGTTAGTGAGCATGTACAAATAAGGATCATAAAAACAAACACATCAATCTGTTTCACACGTGCAAGCAAATGCCATTGACTTTAACTCAAATTAACTAGTAAAGTAGCTGGATACTGTAATTACCAGACACCACTAATCTTCAAAAGTTGGCACAAACCTGAAAATGAGAACTGTTGAGGCAACGAGCAATCTGTCTGAAAAGTGGAACCATGCAACGCTGAAACTCGGCTGCTTGAGTTGCTTCCAGTACTTCTTCAAGTTCCCCTAGAAAAAGAACTTCCTTTTGGCAATTGGTTACTGGCCAGTATTTCAATAAACCCCTAATAACTGTGTCCGCCAGCTTGTAATCCTTTTCTACAAACTGAACGATGCAGTATGACAATTGCTGATGATACAAAGCAACCGGCTTAGGCTTGTGTAATGGTATAAGTGCTCGCACAAGAAACAACTTATGCTCCTCTTTCATTGGCAGTGCAAACCCGTTAATTATACTTCCAAGAATCTCCAACAATTCCCCAATCCCGCTGTGTCTCTCAGTCTCGTATATAAACCGGTAGAAAATATTATTAATGGCTTTCCGAATAAATGGCCTGTGAACCATGAACTTCCCATATATTCTATGAAGGATTGTCTTCAAATATTCCCTTTCCCTAGGATCCTCAGAATCAAACAAGTCCAGTAACTTCAAAACAAATGAATGATCAATATACCTTTTAGCAATCTTGGTATCAGTGTCGGATGAAACCACATATCGCAACAGCAATTCGTATACAAGTTGCAAATGCGGCCACGAGGGATCTAGATAGGGTTCCTCCTCTTCAGGGTCTACATTTTCAGAACCGGTGTTTTCATGTGAAGCCGGAGGGAGGCACCTGAATATGTTGATGGAGATCATCCTTACCATTTCTTCCTGATTAGTCTCAGTGATTTTCCCGGACCCCGATTGTATATAATCCACGAGCTCGACCAAAGTTTGCCTCTTGATTTCTTTCTCCCTCACCATTTTCAAAGTATCCGTAAAGTCAAACTGGAAGCAGCAAATCTGCAGTTTCCTCAAAAACAAATTCTGACGCTCAGTCACTGGAACATCCCTGAATAACGGCAGGTTCTCAATGGTACCGGAAGGTGCAGCTGCAACGACGGAGTTTGTTGACGGAGCTTGAACCGAACTAGCCAGACCTCCAGGGCGAGAAGCATGGTTAACCACCACATTGGAGGTGGAAACGGAGCCAGAACTCCGAGACGGCCCGTAGCCGTAATCGGCGCCTTCTGATTTGGACACCTTCCGGTGCCCTCTCTTTATAATTTTGTTGAACATCTCTCCCCCTCCCGGCCAAATCCAAAAACCCTAACCGTAAACTAAGTCACAGAATCATACATAAAGAAACAATTTAATCGAATCGAACGATAATTGGGAGTAATTTTAGATCAAAACCCTAACAAACATCCAATTCTCTCCCATTAATTTCTATGTGGCTAAGGAAATAAACTTCAATGGCGTGGATCTACAGTGCGAGACTGAAAGCAGGAATGTCAAGGCCTGATTAACCCGGACAAGGAGGAATGGCGCGGATCGCCGGAGACGTGATCCGCGACGGAGCGATAATTTTTCCCGGCGATCAAATTCCGAGAATGGAGGAAAAATAAAGAAAGAAGATATATAAATTTACATATATATCTATGTAAATTACATTGGTAGAGATAGAAAGGGTCGGGGCATGCCGGGAAGAAGGGGAGAGGAGAGAGAGTGAGAGAGAGAGAAATTGAGGCACAGAAATTCGACGGAAAGTTGAAATAAATTAAATTAGAATTGCCAAAAGTAAGCATCCCGAAAGCGAATGATTATTAGTATTGTAATTACAGCTTATTCTTATGGTTCTTTTTTCTTTTGCCATCTTTTCCTTTGAGGAGAAAATAATTCTTTGGGGGGAAATCATTTTACGGTGATATCAGAAGAAATATAATGCTATATTTCAATTCATGTAAGAACGACGTTTTTTTATTTACAGTTTTATAATATTATAAAACTATATTAAAAAACAAAAATATTAATTTGAAAACGAATTCTGTCATGATTCATGATATTTTGATTTGAGTGAAAAAAAAAATACATTAAACAACAATTTTCCTCAAAACGTTGTCCTTACAAGACATATTTTCAGAATATTATTTGTTAATTTTGGAAGACATAACTCTAAGTTAACCCAAAAATTGAAAGACAAAACTCTCTCGATTAGGGCAAACGGGAAAGATCTTGAACTTGCAAAATTGATCAAATTAGGAAAATATAGCAAAATGGCTTAAAGGAGAAACCATTAATATTGGTTTGTTAATTTTAAAGTGGTCATTTTTCTCTAATTTGTGGAAGATCGGTGAAATTTCGCCTATGATTATTGTTGGTATAATACTTCCATAGTACTAATAATCATAATGTTAATATTTATGTTGAAATTAGCGCGCACCAGTTTAGAAAGGTAGTATCATGCAATTTACTCAAATATCAAATAAATGTTGCATTTTCTCGTGGGGAGTATATTTTGTTATGTGTGGTTTAGAATGGAATGGACATAATTACACACAATTTGGGTATAGATAACTGTGGATATACACGTGGGCCGAGGTCAAATATGGGAATGCCAGTCGAACACATGGGATTGTCCCTTCTTCGAGTCCTCCGGTCTTGCATTTTGATTTCGTCTTAAGTTTCATCTAACATATCTTTTTAATTGAAATAAAAACTTTAAAAATATATAATAATAATTAAAAAAACACAACGAATGTGAAAATATATTTTTAAGGTTTTTTTCTAATTAAAAAAAATCTTATGTTAAACTTATAACGGAATCAAAATACCTTATAATAAAAACCGGGGGAATACTATATTCCCAGACCAGGCCAGCATTAACCCCGATCAACAATGGAAATGCACTTAATATAAGTAATTTTCACCAAATAAATTATTAGTAATTAAATTCAACCAAACCAAAAATTTAAATCACTAAAAAAAAAAGTGAAAGGGTTTTGTTAATTGGAGTTGTTGAAGTTTCACCAAAGAATGACAGATAAGTCATCCAATAACTAGTGCATTTGGTATTTTCTTGGCTAATACCCTTTTCATGCATTAAGAAAGGAGCAGAATAAATAACTTCATTTACATTTCAACAAAAATTTGCTTTAATGATAATATTAAAAAAAACTGATGTGGTTAGTAACGTAATGTCTATTAAACAATTTTAATGATACAAATGAGACTTTTATTATGCGACACAAAAAAAAAATGCAGACATTATTTTTCGTAGTAGTATTTCGGTTATCAATGTTCGAAAATATGAGTAAAAATTGATAATAAAATTTAATGATGAGATTTTGATGTGAAATTATATATCATAATAGTGAAATTATATATCATAATACTAATAATATATTAAACGAATGCACTATAATATTGCGAAAATACGACATTCCTATATTAAGATAGCAAGAGTGTAGCAGCCGCACAACTATGTGACAGTTTCAAGCAACAGAACAACGGACCACCAGACTGCGGTCCGCATGCGCGACTTGACTCTCTCAACTCTCAAGTAAAAACCAAGGAGATTTAAGCTAAACTTCAAAAGATTGATTTTTAAATTAGGTGCGTTAATTTGACTCATCCTATCATTTGTGATATTTCTTTACTCAGTCTTCCACTTATATAATACTTAATCAGCAGCACCAAGACTTACTCATTCTTCTGGTTCTGTCTTTTGTGTGTATGGCTTTTGATATTGGAGACATCTAATCCTAATAATGGTTTTGCATCTTCTGAGTTGTGTTAGCCTTTAATTTATCCAAATGATAATAAAGTGATGAGTGCATGGGTTGTGGCTGCCCCATATAAAAGTTGAAAAAACAAACAACAATGCATATATTTCAACGTTTTACTTTAATTTATTTAAGGTCTCCACGAAATCTTTGAAATGATATTATTTGGATAAAATAGTTCTTTATTCAAATTTAGGCATTTAACAAATTAGGTACACATATCTAAGTGAAAAGGATGGTGTAACAATAGTAAACACTGGACAGTTTACATTAATACTAGTGTAATTTTGTTCAATCCACCATGATGTTTCTTTGGTGTCTTGTTGAAGTGAAATTTTTCGAGGTGTGAGATCTAGTTTTAGTTTATGTACAATCAGGAAAGTAGTTAGGATTCAAGTAGAAGTAGAAGAGGTGCATAATTTAACATATCACCTCGCTGTCAAGTTATTATGTTGTGTTCTAATAAAATTTTATCTTTCTAAAAAAAAAGTACTAGCCTATTTAGTTTTCTTTTAAAACATAAAAACCTTTTTTTTCCGCCTATTTGTGTTTTTAATTAACATTCTTAATGATTTTACAAGCTTGAAACCAATTTATAAGGCAATTTAATCCTGAATTCCTAGATTGCACCCCTTGGACTTGGTCGTCGATCTCAATGTTTTCAACAACCCGGCAATAAAGCCGACGATAGGTAATCTAGGTTGATGAGGACAAGAGACAATTGAAGCCAGGAAAATGCCACAAGCTTACGTAGGTTTGTACTCCATTTAGGTAGTAAATATCCAACTAAATTTATCATTCCAATTGAATCCAACATCACAATAATAGCTGAAAATGAAAGAAGATAAAAAGAGAAAAACAAAAAAAAAAAGGAAAAACTGTTTTGCATTTTAAGTTTCAACATTCAACAACCACAAGTCAGAGCAATAAAAGAGATATTCTATAGGCTCTAGGTTGCAACTTTATGTTCAATCTCCAATTCCCCCCTGGTCTCAGGGTCCACTGAATTTGCTTGCTCTCTGAACTTCTTATAAATATCACCTCTGTAAAACCCCCTTGTTCGGAACACCAAGATTAATGAAACGATGCATCCAAACAAGGTGGCTCCGGCGATGATCAGAAAAGCTATTTTGTAACAGTCTACCCCAATGCACGTTAAACTTTCCCCTGCTTTTCTGACCAATCCCTTCGCCGCCATTTGCCTCAGAGCTTCTTTGTCGTAGAAATAACCGGCGATTCTGACATTTAGTACGTAAACGCCAACTGGGCTAGCTCCGCCGCCGAGATTGTACAGCGTGGAGTAGTATTTCAGGCCAAACAACTCGGAGATTATGGCGAATACTAATGGCCACAGAGCTCCGAAGCAGAAACCCATTATCACCGAGGCTGCGTACAGAGAATTTGGTAATCCAAATGCAATGAGAAGATGGCCTGAACAAGAGAGAAGAAGCACTAAAGTCATCATCAAAGGACGTGGGAATTTGTACTTTGCCAACAGAATTTCGGAAGCAAATCCGGATGTCACGCGTCCCAGGTAATTCCATATGCTGACAAGTGAGATAAAAGTTGAGATGCTCTTGGCCGGGTAGCCTAATGAACTTCCGATTTGACCCAAGTTGTCAATTGCTGTCAAAGTTCCTCCGATTCCGAATGTTGTGGCGGTGAACAGAGTGATCATGTCTATGCTGAAAATTGCTTGCAGTATGGTATAATCATCCCCTCTTTTTGGTGGCTTGAATATGTTGCTCCAGCATGAATCCTGTTTTTCCTGAATCTGTGGAGCAATTGTTGTGTTATTATTGCTTTCAGCTGGTTCTGGTGAAGATTTCTCTGCTTCTGGTTGCAGAGCAGCTAATCCAATAACTGATTGTGGGTTTTGATCTGCATATAAGAATTGTTGCTGCTTGGTTTTCCAAAGTTTGAACTCTTCCATTATAACAAGAAGCAGGGGTGCGAGTAAGAGTAAAAGAAGCACAACTGTAGCACTTCCTGCGAATGCTGTTTTAGGAAAATGAACCTTGCTTTGAATGATAATCATGATCATAAGAAAACCGGCGAGAGAAAGGGATACGTAGAGAAGATTGTAGAAAACACTGAGCTCATTAGTTTGTCTGACGACCTTCATAATTCGAATTGTGCGGAGAAAAACGATGGAAACAGCGGCCGGAAGCCATCCGATGAGGAAAATAAGAGACTTTCCATCATAGCCGTAAAAAGCATGAAACAGCTGAGTGAGTATTGCTCCACTAAGGCCTACAAATCCCTTCAAAAGGCCTAGAACCACGCCTCGGCTCTCCGGGAAGTTCTTAACGCAGGTGACTAATGCGCCGGTGTTGGCGAACGCTTGAGAACTCGCCGCAACGCAGATGTAGAAGCACATCTGCCACACGGGCGGCTTCGCGATCCGGCTTGTTACCGCTAACCACATCATGAAGTATCCGATGAAGTTCATTACGGCGCCTATGAGGAGGACCACCCAAGGAGGTGTGACTTCATTGATCAGCCCTGAAATGATCCCAACGTTTCCACCCAAGTCCTTGAAGAAACTGATCAAATTCAAAGTTGTTTGATCGTATCCAAGTGAATCTTTGATCACTCCTGAGTACAGACCAAACATATAAGTAGCTCCAGCCATGGCCATGATTAGGTTGGAGGCAAGTACCATGAACCATCTTCCAGTAATTACTTGGAGGCTGAAACTTCCCAACGCTCTGTAACCACCATTTCTCCTCATCTGTTCAGCTACCACCATGTTTAGTTTTCTTTTTTAACTGTCTATAACTTGGCTGATTCTGAGTTTCTAGTGCAAGTCAGTTTTGGAATGCTGAAATTATTGAGTAGGCCTGGTATTTAAAACCAAGTGCACTTATATCCTTGCAAACTCTTTGTCCAGAGGTCCAAATGAAAAGGGACCATTGACAACATATGTCCCGAACAATCAATGTATCAACTTGATCATGAGAAGGAGTTTCAACTAGACTGGAGTTGACTCATCTACCTGTTGTACCTGTCAATCTGTCATTCTTAAAGAAACGTGGTCATCCTGCTTTTTTGGCGTGGCACTACACATTATGTCATATTTAGGCTTCCATTTTTACAGAGGATCTTCAACTTGTAGTTTGCCAAGTCAATCGTGGATAAAGATTGAAGTGATATTCATTTTGCTGTATGGTTGAGCAGCCAGAAGTTGTGATTTCCCTCTTCCTATTGGGCTCTAAAGGATAAGAACTTCTTGCCGAAAGTAGAAAGTGGGCAGACAATGCAAGTGTTGTCCGTATTTGGCATTAGCGTAAAAAATCTTTCGGCATCCACATTTTGCAAGCTTTAGTTTAGGCAAAAGACACATGTTAGGCGAAATGGCAATTGGCAAATGAGAAATGTTCTCCCATGATTCAGGTTTTGTGCTTTTAGGGAAAAGAAAGACTTAAGAGCAGATGTATTTCCTTTCCTAGTGTTATCAGTTATCCCGGAGCAATGCAGAAGAGCTGGAGTGATAATCCTCAAATTGAAGTGAATATCAAGAGGACTTGTAGTCTTTTGTACGTGTGCATCTGCCCAACCTCAGCACAATCTTTGCCGACAGAAATGAAAAAACCAGGCAAAAAGTACTACTAGATATTCCCTCCAGTTGTATTCATTAGCCACAAATCCAAACCGAAAGCCAGACAATATCACTAGTACCAACTGTTCAAGAAAAAGTTTCACACCAAGAAAATATATACTGCACTTAGGATCTGACATATTGACTGATTGACTTACCTTCCTGTCCTAGTAAACAAATGGGGATCAGAAAAATCTAATATACACATTGATGAGGAATATATATTCGTATCTAATTAGGCAGCTGGGTGTAGTCATTTGTAACGGAAGCGATCCGAGGATCTGCAGCCTGGTCTTTCTCTTTGAATCTCCTGTAAATATCTCCTCTATAGAATTTCCGAGTCCTCAAATACAGAAACAAAGAAAGAACGCAACCAAGAAATGTTGCTGCTGTTATGATCAGAAAAGATAACTGGTAACATTTTACGCCATCGCATGTTAAATCTTCCCCTTTTTTCCTTATCATTCCCCTCTTTACCAATTGCTTTTCAGCTTCCACGTCATAAAGGTGACCAGCAACCCGAACATTAAACAGATAGTTACCAAATGGACTAGCTCCAGCACCTAAATTAATCAGTGTGGAGTAGTATTTTAAGCCAAATAGCTCTGATATGATGGCAAAGATCAGTGGCCATTGAGCTCCAAAGCAAAACCCCTCAATCAAAGAGGCTACATAAAGCGAATTCGGTACTCCAAACGCAATGAGAAGATGGCCAGAACACGACACAAGAAGCACGATGGTTAGCATCAATGGACGGGGAAATTTATACCTGGCCAAGAAAATTTCAGAAGCAAAGCCGGCAGCTACACGCCCGAGATAGCCCCATATGCTCACTAGCGATACAAATGTGGCAATGCTCTTAGTGGGATAGCCTAATGACTTGCCAATTTGGCCAAGATTATCAATTGCGGTTAAGGTTCCACCAACTCCAAATGTTGTAGTAGCGAATAACATCAGCATATCAATGGTAAATATAGCCTGGAGAATCGTGTGATCTTCCCCTCTCTCTGGTGGCCTAAAAACGTTGCTAAAGCAAGAAACTTGCTTATGTTTTCCTGGTGATGATGATGCCTCAGTTTCCGCCCAAGTGGATTCATCAGGTGACGGAGTTGAATTTTCAGAAGTGACTACTGGAACATGGGAAGTAGGACCAAATTCAATTCTCCGTTTCTTCTTCCAAATTTTGAACTCTTCTACACTGACAACTATTAAGTGTGCAAAAAGCAGAGCAATCACAATAGCAGCACTTGCCCCGTACTCTAATCTAGTAAAAGATAGCCAATTCTGGGCAATGATAATAATCATCAGAAAACCAGCAAGGCTAAGCGAAACATAGAGCAAATTGTAGAATATTTTGAGTTCTCTTGCTTGCCGGACTACCGGCATAACCCGAATTGTCACGATAAAAGCAAAGGAAACAGCAACCGGAAGCCATCCAATGAGCAAAATCAGAGACTTAGAATCGTGGCCGTAAAAAGCACGATACAGCTGCGTGATGATTGCTCCACTTAGTCCAACAAATCCCTTTAACAAACCAATAACAATACCCCTGCTTTCTGGGAAATTTTTCACACAAGAAACTAATGCAACAGTATTAGAAAAGGTTTGAGAATTCGCACCTAGAAATATGTACAAACACATCTGCCAAACTGGGATGTGGGCGACTCTTCCAGTTACGGCTAGCCATATCATGAAGTAGCCAAAGAAATTCATGGCTGCCCCTAAGGACAGAACCAACCAAGGAGGAGCAACCTCGTTGACTAGCCCAGAAATGATCCCAACATTTGCGCCCAGATCCTTAAAGAAGCCAATCAAATTCAACGTTGTTTGATCATACCCAAGTGATTGTTTGATATCTCCGGAATAGATTCCGAACATGTAAGTAGCCCCAGACATGGCCAGAATAATAATGGTGGCGAAGAACATGAACCATCGGCTACCGACCAAGTGGATGGCATAATTCCCGATACCCCTAAGCTTATTGGCCGGTAACCCCATGGTAAACAAGTCTGTGTTTGATTCTAGCAACAATTGAAATTACTTTTGGACTATAATTGCTGAGAATTATGGCGAAATGTACATCTGATTGTTTGTAGTTTGTACCACCGCTGAAGCAAAAGAAAGTTTAAGAGTGATGTGAACGAGGAATTGAACAAGTGGGTCCTTAACGGGTGAAAATTTCCATATGATTAAGCTGAATATTCAACCGTCGGTCGGTAGTGATTTCTGACATAATGTTGCAGTTCAGACAACTCTTTAAATTGGGAGGATAGTTTTATCCGTAAGAGACAAACAAGAATGTCCTTGTATAATAAAGTTCTTGTTTCTAGGAAATGAAACGTGTGGTAGTAGCTGATTTGTTGGTTAGTCGTAAGGGATACATAGTCATATGTTGCATTGATTTTTTTCCCCTTATATTTCCAAAATATGGGAGGAAGAATCGACTCCATTGGCTGACTTACCATCATAATAAGTAATAATAACCTTGTCATCAGTAATTATCAGTATCAAAATCATAATGATAGCAGTTATTATTACAGAATCAATATTTTCCAAATTCTCACATACTTTAGAAAAAAAAAAAGAAAAAGAAAGTAAAAGATCTTATATGATCCCTTAACAGCGACCAGTACTTTGTCCACAAATTAGTATTCGTCCGTTTTACAAAATTAGTCGACACATTGAGTTTTGAGTATAAATTTAAAAATTTAATGTGAAGTATTTTTTTTTGGGACGGAAGTAGTAGTATTTTGCAACTTCAATGTAAGTCTGATCTTTGATCAGTATCCTAGTAAAGGATTCTGTGTGACAAAATTTCCACTTACTAGGGTAAAAAACAACGGTAAAACGCAAAAACAATGGTTGGATGTTACGTGGATAGACAGTGAGTGGATTCTTTCTCCGTGGATCTCAGATCACATAAGCCCGTCAAAGTAATAATGGGCCGGCAAGTTAACAAGAGGGCACATTTCGTGCATAGTTCTTGATATTTCTACTAGAACTGCTGCTATCACAGTTGTAAGCTAAACTGGAGGAGTTCGATAGATCCTGAAGCTCCATTACATGAAGATTTGATCAGAAAATGCCCAAAATTCCTCATCTGCTAGATACTACTAATTGAGTAAATACCCCTCCATCCTATTTTAATACTTCACTTTGAATTATTAAAATTGTACAGTGGGAGAGTAACAGTTGATGTGTTATACACTTCAAATTAATTAAGCTTGCTCTAGGTTAGTTCTACGAGAGGATTCGTGGCAGTTGGATTGGCTGCCAATTCAGTGTTTGTGTCAGCTGAATTTGGCTCCTCCCTGAACTTTTTATAAATGTCTCCTTTGTAAAACTCCCTTGTTCTATACACAAGAATCAATGAAAGAAGGCAGCTAAACAAAGATGCAGCTGCGATTATAATAAAAGATCGTCTGTAACACTCTCGACCATTACACGCCAAGACCTCCCCAGCTTGCCTAGTTAGTCCCTTCGCTGCCAATTGGTTTCTTGCCTCTTTGTCATAAAGATGACCTGCGACTTTGACATTGAGAGCATAAGTTCCAACCGGACCTCCCACAGCACCAAATTGGAACAAAGTGGAGTAGTACTTCAGGCCAAAAATTTCGGATATTAACGTGAAGAGTAATGTCATTTGTGCTCCAACACAAAATCCAATTATGACGGAAGCCAAGTACAGCGAATTCGGAACAGCAAATGCAATGAGAAGATGGCCAACACATGCAAGTAGGAGTATCAATGTGAGCATCAATGGTCTTGGAAATTTGTACTTTTGGAGGAAGAATTCTGAGCTAAAGCCGATGGATACTCGTCCGAGGTAGTTCCATATGCTCACTAGTGATACAAAAGTAGTGATGCTGTTGCTTGGATAGCCTAAAGCTTTTCCAATTTGACCCAAATTATCAACTGCAGTTAGTGTGCCACCAATTCCACAAGACGTTGTCAGTAGAATGATCAACATGTCCACGCTAAATAGCGCTTGCAGTATGGTGTAGTCCTCTCCAAATCCCGGAGGATGGAAGACATTGTCTAGGCAACCAACCCTTTTCTTCGGTGCAGGTGTTGGTGCCACTGCTTCAGTTGACATTGAAGTTTCAGATGCTGGCATCTCTACTTTCTTGTAAGAACTATTATTAGTTCTAGAAGGCATCAGACTCATGCTCTTCTTCCAGGCAGAGAAGTCTTCCTTTCCAACAACCAATAGTTGCGAAAAAGCTAGAATAAGCACAACCGCGGCGCAAGCAATATACTCAATCCTGTTGAAAAGATACCTGTTTTGGGTAATGATTATGGCCATAAGGAAAGCAGCAAGGCAGAGAGAAATGTATAGCAGAGAATAGAAAACCTGGAGTTCGTTCCCCTGCCTAGTAACCTTCATAAGCCGAATTACAGGAAGAAACATGAACGTAACAGCAGCTGGAAGCCATGCAACAAGCAATATGAGGGCCTTGGTATCATTTCCATGTAGAGCATGATAAATTTGAGCCATCATCGCACCACTCAAGCCAACGTAACCTTTCAAAAGGCCTAAAACAACGCCTCGACTCTCTGGGAAGTTCTTAACAGCCGTGGTGAGACCGCCTGTGTGGATGAATGATTGTGAATCGGAACCAATAAATATGTACAAGCAAATCAACCACAAATGGGGCTGGTCAGTGCGTCCTGTGACGGCTAGCCATATCATGAAGTAACCGCAGAAGTTCATTGAGGCCCCAATTGCGAGAACCACCCATGGTGGGCAAACTTCATTGATTAGTCCTGATATGATCCCAAGGCTGCTTCCCAAATCCTTGAAAAATCCGACAGTGTTTAGAGTTGTTTGATCATAGCCTAATGTTGTTTTAAGGTCATTGGAGTAAATACCAAATAGATAGCTGGTACCATTTACGGACATAATTAGGAGGGAAGCGAAAAGCATGAACCATCTGCTGGTGAGAAGATGTAACCCAAAATAAGTCATCTCACAAAAATCAGTAGAATGCAGAATGAGGCTGAAATTGGACAAATGTGATTAGATTCCTCCTCAATTCACAACATTCAGTGAGGTCCTTGATTTTGTATGGAACATGTTGATCAAGGTTTTGGGTTTAAAAATCAGCAAGGGAAACCCCCTTTGAATTAGTTTTCTTTTTCTCCATTAATTGATTAATTTCTCTCAGGTAAAGGACACAAAATCAGCAACGGTCAAAGTATATTATGTGATTTGTTGCCATCTGAAAAGTCATTTAGCTGCCGAAACATTGATGCTGCAGCCGCTCGTTCGTCTGTCATTTGTGCCACCCGCAAAAGATTCTCTAAGGTTCAAAGGCTGCCTCCAGGCATGAGACCAACGTATAGTCCGTCATATGCTTAAAATATAGTCCTCCGTCTGTCACAGAATGGGCTGTATTTCAAATGAAAATCGAAATTGAACAATCATTTTAATACGGAGAGACCGATATTCAGCTTTGTTACTCGTTAAACAAATAGCATTGCTTATAGTTCAATTGTCAACGTGAGAACTGAGAAAGTAACTTACGGCTCTTTCAACTTTCTAGTCCTTTCCTCTATAAATCTGGTGACTTGCAGCAATACAGTAGTCCGGCTCAGATTAACACTTAAAAAAAGAGGAAGAACCGAAGAACACAAGCGAGATGATGAACCAAAAATTTGAAGGAATTAAAATCCATCCACCAAATATGCTATGGCTACAGTGCTAAACTTAGCAAATCAATGCCCTAAGTAGTGAAACAAGTTTAGCCTGAATCGAAGGCCAAATCTGACGTTTATTAATGAATTAAATTAGAGTCTCACGACTTCTGTAAATAGTTTGTTTATTATACTATCTCATCCAGTCTGAAAATTTGTGGAGAATTCAAGGACCTAAAAGTTTTAAACACATTGGAGATCGGTTCAGGGTCAAATACGGAGAGGTACCTAATAATAAATTCTTCAAATATACAAAACCCTAGAAATTGAACTGCACAATTTTGAACTATGATTTGTTGGGTTCCACCACACGGATGGAATCCCTTCCAAAAATTGGCGTATGCCACTATTTGCAGCGAGTACACGGTATTCTTTAGTAAAAGGCGAAAGAATAGTTCGCTCTGTACTCACTGCGTGGCTGCGTGATTTTATCCGTGGGTCTGCTGTAGTTTATATAGACTGGCTAATAGGTTTGAAGCTTATACGGTGTCGATGTGGGATAAACTTCTGTCCCATTTTGCCTTTCGACTGCCACGTTTGTTGACCGAAAACAGTCAAACAGCACACGGCTCTCAATTTGCAAACCCAAGTCGGAACCCAACTGCGGAAAGAGAACAACTTTGTGAACATCAAATCAGCCAGTGTATGTTAGTCACTATCAGTCTCCATATTGAATCAGATTTATATGTTCCATTCTGGTATCATTATGCTTGTTCGCAGCATCTTTATGTTCTTGTTCTACCTCTTTCCAAGTGGCAACCCCAGATGCTGGAAAGTGGAAACACCCATTTTGAAGAGTCCTCCCGGAAATACTTAATTCCCTCTGCAGTCCGTGGACTCTTATGCATCACGACATTTTTAATCATTGAACTCCAAACCCCATTCGTCATGATGATGCATACCATCTGATCAACTATTTCTTTTTTTGTCCTTCAAAACTGTCCAACACTGCTCATTTGTTCTGTTCTTGCAAGCTTGCGTGTGTTTGCTTCTTCAAGTTATGAACAACTTCTTTTTAAGGGACAAAAAAACACGGACTTTTGTTTGGAGACGAGACTTGCTTCAATGAATTAACCCACAATTAATCAGTAAAGGGGTCATTTTCTTTGGTGTAAATAAAAAACAACCAGCTTATATCAATTCAGAATCTGTAAATAGAAATGACCTCTGTAATTATGTTGGCCTCCAAGTATTTAATAGTAATTCATAATAATAGGTTTCCAGAATTTTGACATTGACAATTGCCTTAGCTGTATCTGCACTGTTTGTCCACTGCATGTAATTTTCATACAAATTCCAGTGGTAACGGAGTTTCCAAATACTAATAAAATATCTGTACTGTTTAACATTTCTTCTTCCTTGCATACGTCGAAGTTACAATGAGTGACAAGATCCGTTTTCACCTTCACCGAATGCTCCAAGGCACTGAATTTGACTTTCACTGATGTAAGAACGTCGCATGAATGGAAAGCAGTAGTAGTTGACAACGTAGAACACTTTGGTGTTTTGACTCAGACTCCGGCCGAATTCTGCCAATTACCTCATTGGCCTTATGTTTGTTGTTCAGTATAATGAAGTTTGTTTTTGTCTTGCCAATACCACACTGTACAAATTTGCGAGTAATTTTTACGGTAATATGAATACAATTTAGCAGCTTGCTGTAGTCCTACAAACTCAAAAGCAGAGCGCCTGCTTAGGCCGGCATTTGATTCAATCCTTGTCCTGGTGCTCATATATATTAAAACATATTATTGTCTCCGTTCTTAGTTATATCATTCAACTCTACTTGGTAATACTGTTGAAATTTTAGTCTTTCAGCAATGGAGGATCCAAAGAAATTAGAGGAAGGATTAGGACATGATACCAAACACCAGTCTATAGAGCAAGAAGAATCAAGAAACTTCGATTCAGCCAGGAGTATTTCCATGTCCCAAAATGATTCCGCCAAGGCCGTTGTCGCGAAAGATGGTCCTGAAGAGAAGAAGATCAAAGAAATACTGCCACAACAACCAGAGCAACAGGAGGCACAAACAGTGGTGACAAAGCCAAAAAGCAAGAGGATTGCGACCTTGGATGCTTTCAGAGGACTCACTGTAGTGGTATTATGTCTACCTTTAAAGTTTTTCCCCTGATGATTTATATAATGTTATAGTACATTAAGACATTTCTTAGATTCCGAAATTATGAATGCATGGAATTGTGCAGTTAATGATACTAGTGGATGATGCTGGAGGAGCATATCCACGGATTGATCACTCCCCTTGGAATGGATGCACTTTGGCTGACTTTGTAATGCCGTTTTTCCTCTTCATTGTCGGTGTTGCCATCGCCCTTGCTCTCAAGGTTGAAGATAAGATTAAGAGTAGTTCATTTTTGTTTCGCTTTTCTAGTTCAGTTCACGAAAAAACTGAGCACAATCAATTTTACTGCAGAGAGTACCAAATGTGAATGCTGCAGTTAAAAGAATAATCACCAGAACTCTGAAGCTTTTGTTCTGGGGAATTCTACTTCAAGGTACTAACACATCGTGAACTGCATGACAGTATAGCACTAACATGTTGTTCGGTTTTCAAAATATTAATAAAAATGAATGCGATAAACAGGTGGATACTCTCATGCACCTGATGAACTTGTTTACGGTGTTGATATGAAGAAGATACGCTGGTGCGGCATTCTACAGGTGCTTCTCGAACATCATGAAACCGTTTGCCCTTACTTCAGTGTTACATTGTCTATTCTTCACATGGCCTGAAATTCATTTGTTGTATGATTATAACCTGTAGCCTGTAACATTATGTATATGTTCTTTTTCAATGTGACAGAGAATTGCGTTGGTATACATGATTGTCGCCCTGATTGAGACCTTCACCGTGAAGGTTAGGCCAGTCACGATCGGCCCTGGTTTTTTCTCCATTTTCTCGGCATACAAGTGGCAATGGTGCGTTGCAGCTGCATTATTCTACTTTCCCTAATTATCCACTTTTTCATTGTTAACTAACTGGATTATGTAATTACCATTGTCCAATCCAGGCTTGGAGGCTTTATTTCTTTTCTGATTTATATGATCACTGTATTCTCCCTGTATGTCCCTGACTGGAGCTTCGTCGTCAAACAGGACAATAGTACCGAAAGATACACAGTAAGAAATAATTTTGTGTACTTATTCTGAGCAGTTTGAGCCCTTTGAGGTTTTCATACTTAAGCTAAGACATGAGAAATGGACATTTGACACTGAGGTGTTGTCAAACTTGAGGTAAAATGTGGGATGAGGGGACATTTTGGACCAGCTTGCAATGCAGTTGGGTACGTGGATAGACAAGTTTGGGGAATCAATCATCTGTACAACCAACCAGTTTGGGCACGTTTGAAGGTAATCGAAAAAAAACAGTTTTATTTTTTCCGTGTAAAATGAATTCCAGGTTTCATCAATCAACTTGTTTACTTTTTTCATCTGTCAATATATGTAGGCTTGCACGGACAGTTCACCAGCTGCCGGTCCATTCCGTGAAGATGCACCGTCTTGGTGCCATGGTCCTTTTGAACCCGAAGGCCTGTTAAGGTCTGTCCCTTGTAGCTAGCTGAATTTACTCTTCTGGAAATGTTGTTTGAGGAGTAGAACTAACAGTTTGATTTGATTAAATTACCTTTAGTTCCATATCGGCTATTCTCTCTGGCACAATTGGAATTCATTATGGCCACGTCTTGATTCATTATCAGGTTAGGATCCTGTAATAAACATCTTCACTCTGCATCAGGATGGTAATTAGTTGATTTTCATGAGGGATTGACAAAATTTGGCGCAGGGTCATGCCGAGAGGCTCAAGCATTGGGTTTCAATGGGAGTTGGATTGATCATCCTAGCCTTTATCCTTCACTTTACAGATGGTAAGCATCATAAGTTTGTACATTTGTTTTTTCTCCATTTTGAGTGATATTAAATGTAAGATAGTATCATTTTTACTCTTGTAGCCATTCCAATGAATAAGCAGCTCTACAGCTTCAGTTATGTATGCTTCACCGCTGGTGCTGGTGGAATCGTGTTTTCTGGATTCTACTTGCTGGTAATACTTGCGCCGTTTTTTTTTTTGTTTCATTGTAGTACTGTTTACCTTTCCAGTGCAAGCAAAATCCTGAAACCTGAACCAAAATGTATACACAGATTGATATTTGGGGGATTCGGAAGCCATTCTTGTTCCTCGAATGGATAGGAATGAACGCAATGCTGGTGTTTGTAATGGCAGCGCAAGGTATATTTGCAGCCTTCATAAATGGATGGTGGTATGAAAATTCCGATAACAACCTGGTAAGTACTACCACTACGGAGTGTGCGCTATCATTTTGTTTGAGATCCCAGAAAGATGTGGATGAATGAACAACCTTGATTTGATTCCAAATGTTGATGTGTTTTCAGGTGAACTGGATCCAGAAGCACGTTTTCAACGACGTATGGAAATCAGAAAGAGTAGGAACAATTTTGTATGTGATTTTCGCAGAGATAGTGTTCTGGTCTGTGGTTGCTGGAGTTTGTCACAAGTTAAGGATATACTGGAAGCTTTAGGACTCGACTTAGGTTGTTTTAGACATGGTAAAAAAAATTGAAGAACGTAGCACCATTCTGGATTTCAGATGTATTATTTGTTGAATTATACTCTTCCGTTTTGCTTTCTGTAAGTGGTTTTGTAACTGAACTTGCAAGTTTGCAGGACAATCATCTTCCATGAGCTAAATGAGATTAGCGCTGCCATCATTGCTCCAAAACAATTCTGACATTCATAGCTGAATTTTCAGCTGTCTGATTAAAAAATCAGAGATTCTGTCTGTTGGCTCAAAACTTCAGCAGGGTAGCAAGGAAGAAGCAATCCAGAATCACTGAAATTGATTCACTTTCATCAAGATAATCTACAGATTTCTGCATTAATATTACTACTTGAAAGACAAAACGTTAAAAAGGCTACTAGTCATGCATCTCCTTTCTATCTACTTTCCCTCGTATTTACATCCCATGTGAGGTTAGAGATCATGTAATAACTAATAATATAACACAAGGCTATCAACATTAAACATCCGGTAGACAGCAGCTATGAGAGTCATTCGCTGTACAGAAGGCGGTGGAGCTTCACTTCATTCAGTCCCAACCCATCAACATCTTCCAAACAGCTTCCTCGATCATCTCCCTTGGGACAGATAAGCCATCCCTTTCATCAAGTAAAACTCTGTAGACTTCCCATTCTCGATCCCCAATCATGTACCGTCCAATTTCTGCCTGAAATGTAGGCCTCGTTAATATACTGGTGAAATGAAGAAACATGAAAGGAGAGGTCTATAGGAGAGGGAGTTGGCAAACCGAGGAATGCACAAAGATTAGGAATTACCGAAAAGATGCTGGTGTTGAGCATTTTAAGAGCAAGGGTGATGTCAAAGAAGACAAGCGGACGCCCCTTTCCAGATAACTCAACAGGGTTTGCAACCAACAATTCCACATCAGGACCCCGGCTGACTATTGCTACTCTCAATGGACGACATAATTCCATCCAAAGGCGAGAACGTAGTGCACTCTGCTTGCTTGGATCAACTATTTTTTTGCCATCTGCTTGCATGATAAAGAGGTCGAGTTCACATTCTGTCTTTCGTTTCGCTGAGAATCGGCCATATGATATCTGGTGGAGACAATGATGCAAACTAAAGATTTAATGGAAAAGAAAGAGCATAACATCAGAACCAAAATATTTTCTCTTAATACTGCAGGACAACAGGACAGTAAGTAATAAGGAAAGAAAGTTAAGATGAGCAGGTTAAAAACGGACATGGAAGACATAGCATGGTATACGATATAGCAATGAAACTAATGATGGGAATCCTATCAGGGTAACAGGAAAAGAGAAAAATCCAATGCACTAGACTTAATGCAGCTCATATTTTACCATTTTGGATATAAGCAACTACCTGGATTTTGTAATCCTTTAATGTTCTCATTATGTCATAAAGGAGACCTTTGTGATCATGGCAAACTATCTGCACCAGCGTATGACCAGGACTTAATGAGTTATCCATTGTAATAGACACTCCCTCTGGGGAAAGATATCCATTTTGCTGCTCCTCAAGCAATTCTACATTAAACATTCCATCTGTAATTTCATGAGGTAAGAATGACTGCCCTTGAGAACATGCAGTAGCTTCAGGGCCAACCATTTCTATGTCACAACTGATCATGGCATCACCTAGAGCTTCTCTCAGATGGTCGTAGGTGTCCTGTTGTCTTTTCTTTGTCGCCAAAAGTTCCCTGGAAAAGGTGAGTAAAAGCCAGCTGTGAGATTACAATCACGAGGAAGTCGACAAAAAAACTCACGGAAAGCTTGAGACCAAACGCTCACGAGAAGGAAGGCTGAAATGTAGTCCTCGTGATTATTCACATGTACCGAAGATAATTAACGTAAAAACCCAACAAGGTAACGACAATTTTCTAACTATGTTGACTGATAAGATTCTAAGCGTTTTTAAATTGTGAGGGACCCTACAACACAATTCTAGAAGCATGATCTTCATGTGAACATCAAACTCTTGATTGAAATAATTCCGTGATCACTGAAAATGCTTGGAAATGTACGCTAAACAGAAGCAAGTCCTTGGTCATTTTCAACAACTGGAATCCCTAAGTCTTCCTCAAACATTCCCAAGATTTTATTACAGAAGAACCATGCCCATGGATATGTGGCTCTTAATCTTACATTGAACAAGCAAAGGCAAAGAACATTCAACAAGCCAATATACAATAAGAAGGCATGAGACCATAGTTGAGCTTTACTTCTAGACCATCAACAGGCACTGCTACTACTTATGAACTGGCATAGCGTGATGATGAGCTCGTTCTGTAGAGGCATCATCTTTCTAAATTGCAATCAACATACCCAAGTAAATCAATAAGAAAAAACCAGCTGAAGAAAATTTCCGTAAATCGAGAATACCGAATAAATCAACTAGACCAGACAGATCAGCAAATGATCTGTCAACCCCAAGGGGTAACACCACAAGTTAAATCCTGGTAAAGCTTTCAATCTTACCTTGTATCAGTGAGGAAGAACAAATCCATTACTTTCCCATCCGGAGTGGTGGATACCTTCACTTTCTTAATTACAAGCTCCAATTCACATAGGACCTCCGTCACGTCTGGGATCATAATCAAAAACCACAAAGACAGATGTTCAGAAATAGCTAACTGGTACAATCTTTCAAATTCCAACTCGAAGAAACCAACACTATCACTGAGTTTCGAAAGAATAATTATCTTAAAAGGCTAGAAGTCCAAATATGGCATAGCCAATTAGTGCTGTTAATGATCATAAACAATATTCAAGTATAACAAAGGTGTAGAGTATGCATCAGAGACAGAGAGAACTAAAAAGCGTTACCATGCAAAAGGCCTCTTTTATCATGGCAACAGAGCTTTAAAAGGAACACATCAGGAGGCTTCTGAGGCTGCAAATCAGTCTTATAGTATGAAATGTCCGAAGCTGATGAACAAGCAGGGCATGCTTCCACCAGTCTCTTCTTCAATAGACCCCACCTAGTTGTCGGTTTATCCAGTACCCAGAATACTATATAACACCATTTACCGTCCGTAGATACATCTTCATCAAAAACAAATTAAACACCAAAAATCAGCAACAATCTCAAACACTAAACCATCAATTGTGTTCATCAGACAATCAAACAAATAAAGCAAACAACCGGTTCAATTATTCAACACAATCTACACAAATTTTCAATTCCTTCTACAATTAAAAACGAATTCTGAGTTCCAAGATGTGGGAATTTGGATAATCAGAGCACCTTAATGAATTCCAATAACAAGCCCCAAAACAGAATTATGCGTGCACGAACACAGTTAATTCATTCAATGCGGCCAAAAGAGCAAAGTGAACAAAGACTGTACATTTGTCTATAAATAGAAAAAAAAAAAAACAAAAAACAAAAAAAACAGGGGAATTGAGAGTGTAATTCATACCAACTCTGACAATAAAAAGACCAAAGAAAAGAATGATGCGACAAAGATCACAGCCCAAGCCAGTCTTGTCAGGGCAATTCACGGTTATGACACTGGGCTCGCCTTCTTTCTCCGAATGCCTCACAATCACCAGGTCATCATACAGTATCCCCATCCCTTTCTGTTAGTCCACTCTTCCGATTAAAGAACAAAGGAAAAGGAAGTATCTTTTTTAAGGTTACAGATGACAGTAAAAACTTGTCTGCTTCAGATAACATAAAGAGTATAACTGAGCCAGCAACTATAGAAGAAGAGAAATGACTGAAGACCCAATTTTTCTGGGTTTTATCTGATGGGTTTCGGTTTCTCCAAGTGTTTGCTCATATAGAGAGTAAGGATTCAGAAGGCTGTAGTTTTCAGTGACCAAACATGTGGAGAGGTTATAGAAAGAAAAAGGTGCCAATTGCCAGAAAATGAGTGAAATTGGGGAATGGAAATGGCAGATGAATTGAAACGGTGATGCTTGCGTATGCTGTGCTTTGATATTAAAAAGGTTTTGTTTGGTGAGAGTATTCTTTTAGTGATGGGAGACAGGCAAATGGAGATTTGTTAAATTTTTGATGTCTTCAACTCTTCTTCCTCGTTATTTCCTCTCTTATATACCTCAGGCTTTCATTGTTTGAACAGTCAAACTGTTTCAGTGGTACAGCACTACACTATTATAGTAATACTAGTAATTTTCTTTACCTATATAAACATGGAAATGTTCTAGGTTTTTTAAATTATTCATTTTTTTTAAAAAAAATAATTGTTGGCTGTTCTACCATCAAAAAATAAAAATTAATTATCATTGCTGAATTTTTATTCTAATAATTTTTAATCAGAGGTGGATCTTTTCAGACAATGGATATATGCTCAAAATTTTGAAGGTGAAATTTTTTTTTTAATAAATGGAGTTATTTTTTGTGCTAGTTTAGCAATTACTTCATAATTACATTTTTAAGAAGATCATTAGGTCAGTGATCGTTTATTTTTTTTTCGAGTCAATTAAATAGGTCTTATACTGATGAAATCCCAATTCCGTCATCTTCCTTTTAATTGGATTATTATACACATAACCAGCAATATTGGAGTATTTAATTTATATTGCGGGGGAGGTAAAATTTTCAACAAATGAAAGTTGATTTGACCCTTTGTCAATTCTTAAGGTTATTCCCAAACAAAATAGTCCACCTCAAGTTTTGAGTTTTATGCTGTTTTTAATATAAATTTATAAATTTAATGTGGATTATTTTTATGAGACGGAGGTAGTAGTATAGTAATCAGTAAGAGATTATATGACAACAAATTACGCATTATTCATCGTCACTGTTTTAGACAATAATTTTTAGGCGACTTCTTTGAAGGCCTTGGACGGATATTGACTAACTGTTCTGAGTCTTGAAGCTATGATTTAAAAATGCATTTCAATATTTTTAACGCCAATCAATCAACTCATATGTTCTCTATCCAAAAAGAAAAAGGTGGAAATCTTCAAACTCTTGCAAAGGGATTGAACCAATAAATTATTTTCAAACCGGTTTAGAATCCTATGGCCCTTGTTCTAAAATAATTTATACTCCCTCCGTTCCATAATTATTGTCCACTCTAAAAAATTTTGTCCCAAAATTATGTCTAATTTGACTTTTTATGGATCAAGTTACACATTTGTCTTTAGTAAAAAACATTATCCATAAAATCTTAGTGGTTAAACAATTACTTATGTATGGGTATATCCGGTTGTTTAAGGTAAAATATATTTAAGTTTGACCAAAAATAAAATCTTTCATTTTAGTAAAATTGGACAATAATTATGGGACGTAGGGAGTATTAAGTTTTCCAATTTTACTAAAAAAACAGTACATATTTGAAAATATCATTTAAAATTTTTTTTAAGATAGAGTTAGTACATTTTTACTAAGAGTAGTGCAATGAAATCAAGGTTATGTAACTATTCTATTGCGATTTAATTGTCATGATTCATAACTTCATTTCTCTCTAATTACGGAATCGTTTAGTTATGAGATTCCAGACGTAAAATAGAAGAGTAAAATTTGACACTATTAAGTGTGTGTCCGAAGTTCATACGTTGAGGATAAAGATTAGAGTGAACCTCAAAACAAGTCATCAACCATTCAACCTTTAATATATTTTCACTCTAGGTTATCAATTAAATTTATTTGTAACACAGGTTATCTTACTAAAGTTTTAATCCATTTCAGATTATTCTATTAATTTTGGCCGTTAAATAGTGACGGAAATCCATTTTTCACATATTTTTGGGTTCAGGGGTATTTTTGTCATTTTTTATTTTTATTTTTTAATCTTTTAATTTTTATTTTTTTTTACAATTCTTCTTCTTATACTTCCTAAGTTGTATATACTGGTAGTATAAATCTAAATTTTAAAAATTTACTTTATTTTTGTATTTTAACTTCTAGATTATAAAATTTTTAAAAAAAAATTTAAGAAATGAAGAAGAAAAATTCGAGTTAAATTAAACAAAAAGATTAATATTTACCATTTTAAACAAAAAAAAATTAAAATAATTACCTTAGACAAGTTGTTTCTTCTAGGTTATTTAATTTTTTTCAACTCGATTGAATTATTTAATTATTAATTTTCACGTTTCTTATTCCTTTTATTTTAATAATCTACAAGTTAATATACAAATGACAAATTAATTTTCAAAAATAAATTTTTTTTTATTTGTATCTTAACTTCTCGATTATAAAAAAAGGAATAAGAAGCGTGAAAATTAATAATTAAATAATTCAATCGAGTTGAAAAAAATTTAATAACCTAGAAGAAACAACTTGTCTTAGCTAATTCTTTTAGTTTTTCTTTTTGTTTAAAATGGTAAATTATTAATTTTCATGTTTACTTTAACTTGAATTTTTCTTCTTCATTTCTTAAATTTTTTTTAAAAAATTTATAATCTAGAAGTTAAAATACAAAAAGAAAATAAATTTTTAAAATTTAGAATTATACTACCAGTGTATACAAGTTGGGAAGTATAAGAAGAAGAATTGTAAAAAAAAAATTTAAAAGATTAAAAAATAAAAAAATGACAAAAATACCCCTGAACCCAAAAACATGTGAAAAATGGATTTCCGTCACTATTTAACGGCCAAAATTAACAGAATAATCTGAAATGGATTAAAACTTTTATAAGGTAACATGTGTTACAAATAAATTTAATTGATAACCGAGAGTAGAAATATATTAAAGGTTGAATGGTTGATGACTTATTTTGAGGTTCACTCTAAAGATTAACATGAAGAATCAACACCAAGGTAGTAATATAATTGTCTTTTTTTTTTTTTGAAAATGGGCAGAAATATAATTTAAGCTAAAGGGACATATACAGTATTTTATTTTCTATATCAACAATTTCACCACTAAAAATTGTAAACTAGATTTTCATATTCTTACTTGATTAATACATTCAAACATATATTTTCATTTTTTTCCGTAACACCGGGAACCCATTATAGGTAAATAAAACCGACGCTCATTGTAATAACTTGCAAATAACAATAGGAGGTAAATAAGTTTAAACAAGCGCGGTGCAAAATCGATAATATTTCTCATATTTTAACACAATTATTTTTTTTCAATTTTCAATACAAAAATACTACATACTAAAAAAACATTTTGAAATCCGGACAGAACCTTAGATTCAGTGAGACCTCATTAGTAAGTATTTTATACCAACGTTCAGTAACAAGATATTTGTCTACTTTATTGTATAAAAAATGAAAAAAAAAAATAAAAATTGAGACGTCATTAGCAAGGCAGTATAGTAGGAGAGTATATGTGTATTGTTGTGTAATGATGATGTGTGAAGGTGCATTTTATCGTTTACGGAGAACCTGGAAGGGGCAAACGGGGAAACCACAAATATCTCCCGATAAAATGATTAAAAGAAAGGTTTTTTTCCGTTAAAGCGTGATTTGGCAATCGGGACGACAATGGTATATTCGCGTGATTGGTCCCCGCTTTTATGCAGCCGCCATCACGTGTCTTATTTCCTGGACTTCCTTGCTCCCCCCCTCACGTGCTTGCTTATCTTCCCCACTCTATTTTCAAGAACGCCGATGACCCCGGATAAAAATTGTATATTTATTCATTCTTAGAAAAATAGTTTAATTTAGATTTAAGGAAAAAAAATTCGAAAATTTGATTTTACTATATTTTAGTATACTATTATCTAAAAATTATCATAAAATAATAAATGAACATGATACTACTTGTTTCACTGTATCATATTAATTTCATTTTCGATTTGATGAATTATAAGTCATTTAATTTATAAATTTTAATTTTCTAAAATGAATCATTTTTTTTTCCTAGACATAGGAAGATTACTACGAATATTTCAAAAAAAACCTTCGGTTTTTCTACTAAATAATGAAGAATAGTTTATTTATCGCCCTCAGACAATATTTTTGATAACACCGTCAATGATATTTTAAAATAATATTCACCGTCAATGACTAATCATCTCTAATTTCCTGTTGCATTATCCATACAAGATACAAATTAAAAATTAACTTAAAGTAAATAGTTTTTGTTGTTAATCCTAATCAGTATTTTTCTATGCCAAAAAAAAATGAAACTGAAAAATATTAGTTCAAAATTGTAATGGTTTATAACCATCAACCACGACCAGAGAGGGTATCTTTAAGGAACGGGTTTGGAAAAAGAATCTCAACATCTATCTGCTTCGGCCAGCAAAATGCATTAAGCTATTTTTATTTTTATGGGTTGATGAAAAAGATTAAATAAAAAAAGGTTGATAATGTCACAATGACTAATGGTGATGACGTGTAAACGTTAATTATTCGATACTTTTTAATCCACAAGAAAAAGTAGGGATGGGATCTAGCGTGGGGATAGGATCTTTGTGTATTTGGAATTGGGATAAAGGGTTGGGATTCTTGTTTATGTTGGGGGAATATTCAAGGTTTTAATTTTTTTTTTTCCTTTACACATCAAGTCGTGGTTCGAAATTATTATTCTGATTAATCTAAATTCGAATCAAGAAATGAGTAAAATTTTTCAAACAACTTAATAATTGTTACATTTCTAGATTCAAACCCAAATGACATATAATTAAAGTAATTTAATAATTTTTTATCTTTCTTTTTACCAAAAAAAAATTAATATCTTTATCTCTTAGACTAAATACTTATTAGGAGAAGAAAGAATATTCAAGTCTTTATTTGGTGGTGATGTACGGATATGCGTATGAGTCAGGCAGGCAGAGCATAGTGTTCTTTTGGATTAGATTTTGTCCGAGTGGCGCACTGTGTTTTTTTCTCCATTCTTTCCAACTGTTCGGAACTACATAATGTTGGAGAATATTTGTAATTTTGTATCACTTCTACCGGATAATTATTGAGTTTTTTTTTCCCCCAATCAATACACTCTAATTGTCTTTTTCTTCCTTTTTTTTTTTTCGCATCAATACACCCTTTAATGTCAATTGGGTGTCAACTAGCTAAGTAGGAGTATATACTAGGCGACAATGAAAATCAGCTGGTCCTTCTTCTCCAACGTCGCTGTTAGCGATTTCAAAATATTACTATTACTCATGACAATTTGTACATAATTTCTCGCGATTTGATAAATTTTTACAGTGTTCGGTCCGAAATTTCCATCAGCACGTGTACCATAAATTTTATGTTCCTAAGGAGGGGATAACTCAAACTATTATTTGGTCGTGATTCGAGGGGAAAAAAACTGTTTTCATGTCTAATATTTGAAATATATCATTTTTAAAGTTTAATTGTAATATATTATCACCATACCGTGATATATTTTGTATGATTATTGTAGAAACATCAATGATGTAGAAAATATTAATTACTCTCCTTGTTTTAAAAAAATAATTTATATTAAGTTTTCAAATTCGTACCGATTACTTTTTTCAATACGAAGAAAGTATTAAATATGAAGAGCTCGCGGATAAGCTCGTTAACTCAGAGGAGTTTGTTATTATTATTAATTTTTTTTTAGGTGTTCTGTGGACAAGGAGGCGTTGAATGAAGGTGAAAACTGAACTAGAGAGATAGTAACGTTGCCAAATCAAAATGTAGCAGCAAGGGGGGAAAAACCTTGTTCGGGGGAGCACAAACAAATTACACATAAAACTACATCATCAAATTAAGCATGATTTTTTATGTGATTGGTCACTATATATAGCTACATTTCACAAATCATGCCCACTTGAACCGTTCATAGTTTCATTCATAATTTGCATGTGTTGGGAGTGGGCGATAGCGACGCACATCACACAGAAACGAGCCTTAAGAAAACTTCCATGCTTCGTTCTTTATATACATATATGTACCCATATTTGCCAATAGAAAACAACATCTTCTTAGGTCATGGAAGAAGAAGTCATGGGGCTCTATCTTTCTCTATCAGTTTGCACGAATCAGATCAGGGATTCGGACGAAGCCTAAATTTAGGTAAACAATAATGCATCACAAGTTGCTTTCTTTCTTGTACTTTTTATCACTACCGCCACCAATTAACATATAACCACGAACTTATTAGATGAAATGAAACTCGATTTGTCTGTCTTTAAACTTTAAAGAGTACAGTTGCATTATGGTATTGGAAAATCTTCCCCTAAGGTATCTTTTCTTAAAAAAAAAAAAGAGAGAGAGATTGGAATAATAAGAGATTAATTTTGCCATAAACAATGAAATACTACAATATAAATTTAAAAGTTCTATAATGTAATGATTTTGTCACATCCTATCATTCTAGATAGACAGAGGCGAACTTTTTATTTTTTATTTTTAAAAAAAAATCCACCCCAGTGGACTCTATTTAAATGTGAGTAAAAACTCTTACAACTCCTGATGTGAATCAAATCATGACTTATTACCAAGAAAGACAACAACCTATCCATTAGATTGTCATTCAATTCTAAAAAAATGTGTTTGTGAATCATTACTTCCGAATCATCAATCTCATTCATAGAATTAAAGTTCTTCTTCAACGTCGTTAGAGAATGGATATTGTACATATATTTGGAGAATGTAATGGATTAGTTAACATTTTAACGAAAAAAAGTTTTCGAATTATCTTTATGTGTATATTTTGTCAAACCCAACGAATATACTGCAAAGTAGTAGCATTTTGATAGATAGAGCAGCTGAGCAGGTGTATAGATGCTCATTTGAACCCAACTTATATAAAGTTATATTTAATTCTGATGTCACTGTCCCCCAAAATGTCCAATTAAAAGGCTCCACATTGTTTAAAAACCCAGAATATATCTTTGATATGTATATAAAGAAATCATTTAATGACACTTCGTATTTTAAATGGATGTTAAGAACAAATTGTTGAACTAGATTGTGTATGGGGAGTTTTATTTCTGGGTTTTAAAAGATGTGGAGCCTTTTAGTTCGACACTTTGGGGACACGTGTAATCAGATTAACTATGGCTTTGAACCATTTAAAGAACATATTTTTGAACCGACGATATAAACGTCATCCATGAGCTTAAATTCCACGAGTTACTAATGTCATCTATTAGCTAAGAGCTTTATTATTTTGTTACTTATTGTTTTTCTCTTTCGTGTTTCCTGATTTGGTATCAAGGTAGCCGCATCACATGGAAAGGCCAAGCGCCCGCTCCCCCAATATATTACCTCGAGCGAGTTTAAAGCTTTAAATGGTCTGTTGTGTGTATTATTATAAAGAATAATTAGATGTTAAATCAATGCGATGCACAAGATTTAGTTAAACACAATACGGTTAAATCATTGAAAAATAAAATTGTGACAAACACAAATAATGTTAATGAATTGTGATAGTATATATGATATGATTAAATATAAATTATAAGAGCTACTTACAAATATAAACATATAAATTTGTATGTAACGTTGAATTAAATATTGTGTAAACTGTAAAAAAGTTAAATCTTAGTGGTGATGAAAGTAGAGGTCGTATTATGTTTTACAATAGTATGAAAAAAATTAAACAAATTAATATTGTACATAAATTGTATTGATTAAATTTATAAGGACTTTATTTGTTATTATAGAAAGTTATTTTATTTTGAATTCATAGAATAATGACACATAGGATTTTTTCCTATGTGGCACTCTAGGAAGGATACACCCAATTTCTCTCTCTGGTTTCTCCATTATAATATACTATAGATAGATAGATTAACCCAAGAAGTACCATAACTTCGCCAGCTATATTTGTTCACCACCATAAGTTCAAAAATAACTTAAGTCCCACCAAAAGTTGAGTTTCTGTCTTCTTTCACTTTTTCGTCCTGTTATCATCAAAATGCCAACAGAAGTCTGACTTGCACGTGCCTTTGTGGAAGGGGGCAATTTTGTTATTTAATCACAATAAAGGGCACGTGCAAGGCACACAACTATAAAATTGACCCGGTTCAAGGTCGACCCGCATGACCCATGTAAAGGCGGGAATTTTTTGGGTTGGAGAGGCGGGAATCACGTGTTGTTGCACGTGCAGCTAAAAAAAAGGAATATAATTTTTTTCTGAAACATATACTCCAAACTCCAAATTCAGAAAGGGTCAAAGTGAAAATCAAAAAGGAAAAAATCACTTCGGGATATGGGGGAGAAAGGGGGAAAATTCTAGGGTTTTCAATTTCACTACTGAAATTGAAATTTTAGGGTGCCAATCGTGAGCTTTATAGATTTTAGGAGTTTCAGGGGAGAAAAAAACTTACAAATTAGGGTTTACATGTTCGAATAGGAATTTATAAAGTCAGATATGTGGGTAGCAAATTGGTTTTTTGCATAAATCGATTTAAAGATGTGGAGGGGCAGGGACGCCGACGGCGACGGCGACAGAGACGGCGAAGGCAAAACTCCCATTTACGGTACGTTTATTTATCTTGGGTTCGTGAATTTTTAACCCGAAATCTGGGCATACTGTTTTTGGATTTATGGTAGTTTCTGGGTTTGTTATTTTGTCGTATTAGGGTATCTAGGAATCTGAGTTTATATTTGTGAAATCTGGGTAAGTCGATTTCTGGGCTTCGAGTTTTATATTATCTCCTGCCTTTTTTTTGTGAAATTCTAGTATGTCGATATATGAGTGTCCAGTTTTATATTACTATCTGTATTTAGGTTTTGGAGTATTAGATTATTTTCTAATAAAAGTTGTGGTTTTGTGCTCTTTTAGACATGAAGGACTTTTTGGAATTTTTTTTGTTTCTCTTTTGTGAAACCCTAGATAGTGGTTGTTGATATATGAACATGTTTGGTGTTTCTATGTTTATTAAACACATTTGCAGTTTGTATAACTGGGTTTCTGTGTTTTTGTGCCCTTTTTGAATTAGAAAATGTCAATATGTTTGGTTTTGAAAAGAAGCTGATAACCTAAATATGTATTGTTTAATGCTTCTGTAAGCATCTCTATTAAAAGGTGGTGACTAATGTAAGTTTTTGTTTTGTTTTTTTCAGGTGAGGGTTCCAACCTGATTACAGTTAAACTTTGCCATGGGGGTAGATTTGTTAAGCTAAAAACATACACTTATGTGGAGGGTGAAGTTGAGTTTTTTGACCGAGTAGATTCTACTACACTTACCAAAACTGGAAACCCTTGTTGATAGGACTAAGTACTGCAGGCCACATAAACTGTTTTTTAAGGATCTAAATGTGGAAAGGGACGAAGGATATAGAGTCATTGGAGGGGATGAAGATGTTTATGACTTGGTCGCCTTGAAGAATGAATTTGGGACTGTTGAGGTGTTTAGGTTAGGAGTGAATGAGTTCGATCCGTTCATAAAAAAAGGTCAGTAGGATAATGTTCATTGGGATTCTGAAGATGAAGAGGGCAATGATTCAGATTATATTGATGAGAGTGATTATGAAATGTCTGACAAGGATTACGAGGATTTTAGGAAACACGTTGATGATAAGGTTGAGTCTACACCATAGTGCTCTTTTAGACAGCTAATTAGTGGATCTCAGCATTCTGGTAAGTGTTCAAATAGGGGTGAAGATAATGATTTAGATGAAAATTATGAGTAATGTGATGACTTATTAAGTGAAAATAAAACTGAGGATGAAGATAGTGAACGTCCAGTCCAGAAGGACAAGGTCTTTAACCCTGCAACAGACATGAAGATTCCCAAATTTGAGCTATACCAAAAGTTTGGAAACAAGTTTATTTTGCTGGATGCATTGAGAAGACATAGAATTGTTAATCGGAGAATCAATGACTTTAAGAAGAATGATAAGTTGTTTGTGCATGGCTTGTGTAGGCATTGTAACTGGGAGGTGTATGGGGTTAAAATGGACAGAGAGAATGAAAACACTTTCCAGATCAGGACAGTGAATACCAAGCACAGCTGCGGAAGAGTGTGGAGTACCAGAAACGTAAATTCCAACATAATTTCTGACTGGTACGTAGCAGGTTTTGCTGCTGATCCCAATATCAGTGTGAGTACATTGCAGTTTAGGGTAAAAAAATGAGCATCAATTGACAATCTCCAGAATTCAGGTCTGGAATGCAAAGAGAAAGGCTTTGGAAAAGGTTCGGGGAAAGATTACTGAACAGTATGCTGAATTAGAGAGCTACATTGCTGAGGTTAAAAGGTCTAATTCTGGGACATCCATTGAATTGATATGTGAGGATGATGAACCTGATAGGCTCAAGAGGTTATAGTTGTGTTATGCAGGCTGCAAGAAAGGGTTCAAGGAAGGATGTCGGAAGATGATTAGGGTTGATGGGACATTTTTGAAGACACAATGTAAAGGGATCCTTCTAACTGCAGTAGGAGTTGACGCAAATAACAACATTTATCTGGTAGCTTTTGCAGTAGTTGAGAGTGAAAACCAAGATAGCTGGGGCTGATTTTTGAGTTGACTGATAGAAGATTTAGGGATCACAAACACTTCGAATTGGGTTATTATTTCTGATAGGTAGAAGGTAACCTTTTTTTGTGTAACTGGTACTTATGAAATCTGTTGATTCTGGTTTTGTTTTTGTTTTTTTAATATATTTTAACTTGCAGTAACAAAACATTACAAGTGTTATTTTATAACTAGTAATAACAACCTGTTTATATGATTTGTTTGTAGGGTCTAATTCCAGCTGTGAATGATAAATGTATCACATAGATTTTGTGTGTGTGGAACAACTTTAAGAAGGAGTTCCGGGGAGTCGAAATGAAGCAAAAAATGTTTAGCATTTTTAAGGCCACTACTCCAGAACTTTTTCATAAACTGATGGATGAATGAGGGTGGAAAATGAAGGGGTATGGGAATGGCTAAGCAGAGAAGAAGCTCATCACTGGTGTTGGACATTCTTTGAGTTTATTACCAAGTGTGATATGCTTGTTAACAATATTTGTGAGGGGTTTAATAGAGCAATACTTGGTGCTAGAAAGTTTGAAATCAAAGGTATGCTTGAGTGGCTTAAAATTTATTTGATGAAGAGGCATCAGAAGAAGAGAGAATAGATTCAGAAGACTGGTTTTGTGGTTGGCCCAAAGATCTTTGCCAGATTAGAGACTTACAAGGAGCATGCTGCAGCTTTTAGTTGTAATTATGCTGGTGATGGGAAATATGAGGTGAAGAATGCCTATGAACAGTATGTTGTAAGCTTGAAGAATCATACTTGTGCATGCAGAAAATGGGGAATTAATAGGTCTCCTGTGTCCTCATGTCTGTTGCATTTGGGAAGCAAACAGAAAGATTGAGGATTATGTGGAGAAGTATTACTCAAAGGAGATGTATTTGAAGGCCTATACTCCTGTTATAAGACCTGTAAATATGCCTCTTTTCTGGCCAAAACCTAAAGAGGCACCAATCAAGCCTCCATATTTTAGAGTCCTTCATGGTAGGCCAAAGAGTAGTAGGAATAAGCCCCCAGTTGATGTGCCTCTTAAGACGAACAAGAGGGGCTCCTTAAAAGCGAGTAGGAAGGTTAGACCAAGAAAGCACAAATGTGGTTATTGTCGGGGCTCACACAACAAAAAAACTTGTCTTGACTTGAAAGAAGCTAGGGCTGCAGGAATTAAGCTGTCTACTATCCTGCCGAAGGTATAAAAATTCTAAAACCCTAAATTTTATTTTTCTCTTATTTTTCTTCTTTTTTTTAATTACCAATTTGACTCAGTTAACTCAGTTTCTATGTATGGTTAGTTAACTCAGTTTCTATGTTTTATGCCTAGGGAAATCCTCCTAAACCCGAAAAGATGCGTAGGCCTCCAAAGCCTAAGAACAACCCAGCAACTATTGGAACCAGTAAGCTCCCCAAGAGAAGGGGCAGAAAACCAACAGCAAAATCAGTGTGCTTGCAATCAGACGGGACATTTCTAATCTATATGTCCAGCATTAGAAAAGCGGAGAGAGATGGTGAAGGCAATTGAAGAACGGCAGGTAATTGTGTTTTTACAGTAGTTTATATTCACAGACTACATAATTGTGTTTTTTCTTAAAGAAATTTGTTTTTTTTTTGGTATGTAACTAGCGTCGGGCACTGAGTGAAGCATCTCTGAATTTAACTTGGACTCATGAAATAGAACAGTAAGAGCCAGTGGTATCCGAGTGTGCTGCTTGTGATTCAACTACTCACACTGTTGAAACGTGTCCAATGTTAAAATATTCAAGGTCTCTGGAAGAGGAGCACCCTCGTAGTAATCATAGTGGTGATAATGCTCAGTTTGAAGAGGTAAATTACATTGTTTTTTTTATATTGTTTTTTATATTCATCATTGATATAGAAAAGATATTTACATTCTTTTTTCTAGGCGATAAGCACACCAAATGCACCTCCTGGAAGTCAGGAAGGGGATGATATTGATTACTGGCACCGAGAATGGGTACATGATGCTGATGATTGTCCCCAAAATTTTGTAAAATGTGACTACTGTCCTCAGTTTGGTCACACCAAAGAGGACTGCCCAGAATTTGGGGTAAGATTTTGGTGATTGTTAACCTTATATATGATTTGGTTAAATGTGACTACTGTCCTTAGCATGGTTTTATTGTTAAACTTATATATGAGATGGTTAAATGTAGCTAGATATTCAAAGGGAGAAGAATAAGGCTGAGGAAAGTACAAAGATCTTCACTACTGCCTTAGATGAAATCATCAACACCCCTGTTGCACCAAAGGTTAGAGACAAGTGTTTGTTAGTGTAAAAGGCATTATTACAATTTATGGGCTTCCTGGTCACTTATTTTTGTGGTTTTGATGTAAGAAATTGAAATTGTAAAAGAGACTCAAAATTATGCTGAAAACATGAAGGCAAATGCTACTAATGTAAGCCAGGTGAGCCTCTGTTGAAAACTTCAAGGGGTAATGCTTATAACTTATTTGCATGTTTGTTTGGAAACTAAGTTCTGGTGATGCATGTGTGCTTAATGTGTTGTAAATTTTTGAACTGTACAGGTGAAGCAAAGAGTTGATTCTTTCACACCAGCAATTTCCACTCGTGCGAAAAGAAAATGGTGGAGATCTGAAAGTAAAGAACCAATTCTGGGGGATGATATTGAGAGAAAGAAGGCATCTAAGACTCTTTTAGCCTCAAATCCAAAATGAGCTTCCACTTCATAGTACTAATGTGTGGTTTAGATGTGGTTTAGAGTGTTTAGGCAATGGATATTTTGTGGCGATGTTCTGGAATTTGCATTTTGTACATGGAACTTGTAGTGATCCAGTCCATGTTTATCAAGACACTACTATATTTTGGGTATATTATGTTTGGTCCTTTCTAAACCGTTGCTCAAAACTTTGAATCTGATTATCGTATTTAAAGGTGTTCATTTGTCGTACTTGTCTTGTTAAAACTATTTGACATTGTCGTATCTTTAAACTAGATTATGGTAATCATAGGTAGTAACTTCTCATGTTAAAAGTAATCGAATGTTATAAGTAATCGCATATACATTTTCACAAACGATGACATGTTTACTGCCTAATTTGATATAGGACCAGCACTACTACTTCTTGACAATCTACTACTTCTTACACAGTACGACCAGCACAAGGAAAAAAAATCATGACATTAACAACAAATCTTGCAAATAAACCAAATATAATCGAATCCAATTTCGATTTGCACTTGCAGCATTCAAGCTTTGGTTTCTTCCCAATAATTTCGTACTTCCCCGATAAAAATTCTTGACTAATCTGCTCCATCCCATCCTCTTTGTCTTGCCTAATTTGATCAATCCCATCTTCCGATTCAACAGTAGTCACATTTCTTCTGCGCATCCCTTGTGAAGTCGGCCCAGATTCGGTGTTGGTGTGATCAAACCATTTCAAAAACCCATGAATTGGACATCTATAATAGAGAAGCCCTGGATTATCATGAGATGCCAATTGAATTAGGATCGCTTTCCTCCGACAATTGCCACAACTTAAATTCGCTATCACCATTTTGCCAAAAGAGACTGCTTGACTATGATTAGCCATAGCCAGCCGGATCTACTTTTAGAGGTAAACAATTTGCACTGAAAAGGATGGAGAGAAGATTGCTTTCCGGTAGCGACGTCGACGATTCCTTCTGCTTTCCACCTACGTCGGCGTCGAGGAAGATTTCTTTCCGGCTGCGGTGTCGAAGATGCCTTCTGCTTCACAATTTCACCAGTTTGGATTTCTTCCTTCTGTTTCACAATTTTATGATTTCATCCGCCATCTTCAAATTTTTTTTTCATTTTGTGGTGGTGGATTAGGAACGGGAAGAGATGGTGGATGGCTTGACCCGATAGAAATTAGGGCTTTTGGAATGGTTCCCGATTTGGGAATTGGGATATGTTAATATATAGAGTAAATTCAATTATTATAAATAGTAAATCGATAAATGTAAAATTCACGTTAAAAGTAAAATTCGATGGTCAATGTCTGAAGACTCAACGAGTCGTGTGCCCTTGCACGTGTCCACTACAGTGAAAACTGACAAAATTGCCCCTTCGTTAAATGCACGTGCAAGTTAGGCCTCCGTTACATTTTTTACGGAGAAAGGACGGAAAAGTGAAAAAAGATAGAAACCAAACTTTTGGTAGGACTTAAACTATTTTTCAATTTATGGTGATGAACGAATATAGCAGCCCAAGTTATGGTACTTTTTTTAACCTTTTAGTGTATTATAAATTTATAACACAATCTTTGAACAACCAAAGAGATAGATGCATACATGATAGGACATTATCGGTTGAACATATAGCAATGAATACTAAGTATTATTCCCTCCATTTTAAAATGTAAGTCAATTTAAACTCTACACGTAAACTAAAAGAACAATCATTTAATAATTAATTTGTGTGTTAAATTTTTATTTTTACCCATTATTAATTATTTTGGAATTATAACCAATACTAGATGAAAAGTGATTAGCATTATTTAATGGGACCAAAGTTGAGAATTTAATATTTAATTTGCCTTAAAATCCTAAAACGACTTACATTTTGAAATATTTCTCCAAACCTAAAACTAACTACATTTTGAAATAGAGGAATTAATTATTAAATAATCATTTGTTTTTTGAAGGAACGAGGTGATTCTTCATCGTATTGCACTTTGCAATTAATAATGCCGATTTTTTTATTTTGTACGTAGCAAACCATGTAAAAATAGAACTCCCCGCTCCACAATTTGCTCTTAACAACCATTTAAAAGATGAAGTGTCATTAAATGAGTTCTTTGAAGTTTGAACGGTGTTCTGGCTGCACCGGTGGTTTGTCCTGATGTATGTAAACGTTTTTTTTCCTTCATTCATCTTTCTCGATCAATCTTGTTAAAATTAAGCATTTTTTGGGGTAAAGTCCTTAACCGATGTATACAAAAATAAAAAAAATAAAATATAAAAAATGGTTACCAATGGTGTCTCAGCAATTTCAAACTGGTTGTGGTCCGCTGGTCCTGACTTAGGTGCAAGTTGAAAAGGTTGCGACATAAGGAAAAAAACATAATTATATAGAAACTAGTAATAAATAATTTAAAATAAAGATCTCTTTGATGGTAATGTAGTTACAAGCTCAAATGGCCAATTTTCGTGTAGCACATGGAATCAAAAGTATCTTATGACCAAGATACTCCGCAACACTGATTGGCCAATGGATACCAGATTGTGAACAACGTAATCACCCACTTCTTCCCTCCATTACCCATCTCTCCACCAACAATAATCCCCATTTTAGAAGTACCACCGTAAAAATGGTAGCAACGTTGCCTGTTTAACCAAAATACCATACTTTGGGTGAATTATACACAGCTTCGTATGCCATTGAAGTTTTAAAATGTACTATCATGTAACCAACAGTTTGATGACACATCAACTGAGCGTCTCACATCATAATAAAGATACTAGCGTACTAGTAATTCAGGCTGCCGAGCCTGAACCTAACTTTGCTGACTTAAATGGCTGAGACTTCAAAAGGGCCAACAGCCAGCTAACTTTTTAAGGTTTGAAAGAACTAATTGAAATCCGAAACTTGGAAAACAATTTTCATGGACTGCTTTGCAAGTGAAAAGTCTTTGTTTAAGATTTCGTCGTTGATACTTCTACTACTACTACTACTACTACATACACCACCTAGTATCCTTCAATGGGAACAGGTTCAGATTCCATTTCAAAACCACCAAAAAAAAAAAAAAAAAAGAGTTGGTTAAGGAAACCCAGAGGAAAAGCAAAGGACACAGGCATGAGAACGACAACTAGCTAGCTGGGAAGGGACCAAACATCGTAATCATTCAATTAATAAATTCACCATGAATCGTTGAGATATGAATCACACGTTATCAGTGAAGCATGGAAGTGACCCCAGGTTAAAAAGTATAAACAAAGGATTACTAAAATCTTGGGAATTCTGGGTGGGTTTGAATGTGGAAATTGTGAGATACTTGAATATCCCCCCAGTTGATGCTACCGGGCGAAAAGTATAAATAAATACTATAACAAGTTGCCTTAAAATATATAGTGGAAACCAAAAGTATGGGAAAAAAATAAGTTCAAAGGACAAAATGGCTTTGTCACCCTCCAACTGATACACTCTAAATGGAAGTTACCAGCAAATGTAACCTATTGACCAAGACTTTAACCAGGGGCAATAAAAAATACTCGAGCACGAAAGCGACATATTACTGGCTATCCGACCGTCTGATGGTCTTTCTTCAACTTCAAACAATTTCAGAATAAAGTAATGCATAATGGAGATCAACATCAACTAGTAGTATACTACTGCTGCAATATTGTTTGGCGTAAAATTAAACGTTAAACAGGTTTACTCAGATTCGATCTAATGAGTAACTCTTCCTCATGAGCAGGGTTAAAGTTAGCAACTATTTACATAGCTCCTTATAGCAGAACATTACCACTTCCAGGAGGTCAGGTAAAACACATCACCAGTGACGCACCTTGAAAATTGATGCAGCCACTATATCCTTAATGGATCCACTTTTCAGTAATTTATTTAGATGCTAGGAAAAAGTTGTACAATGAAAGGGAAAAAGCTACCCCGTAGAAAACTCAAAAACTTCTCTTTAGATACCAGCAAGAAGCAGTACAAGTGCAATATGCAGTATGAATACTTATTGGAAGGCAACTAGTTCACTTTATACTCTATAAAGTTCTAGCTATAACGTTCAACTAAAATCATGCTAGCCCCAGATTGCAGAATGGAGTCATTACAAACTTATCGAGCGAGCTAACAATGTATGTCGGAAAAAAGATGGCTAAAGGGAAGACCATAAATAGATTTTCACACATCAACACAAGAATTTTTGGCCTTTTAGCAAGTTTCATCTGCTATATTTCGTAAGAAAAAATATTCTAAAAATCAATCAAAGGAGCTATAGTTTCAAAGTGAGACTGTGAGAGAAGCAACACAAACTAAGGTTGGAATTCTCAATTCTACAATGGCTGCCAAGGAATTAAGATAGTTTCTATAATTCATTTATTTGACAAATAGCAGCTATTGAAAAATGATATCACTTTGCAGAGCTCAAAATCTACGGTTTGATGAAAACATAAAAAAAGCCCGTGTTTTCTGCATTACAAAAAAAAAAAGGACTAGAAAATGAATTGTAACTGAGACATGGCATATTTTTAACCAAACTTTTAAAATGATTGATTAGTAGTCTAGTACAAACCGTCTGCTGGCCTTCATTTGAAAGAATGAAAGCTAACCAAACACCCAATTATAGAAACAGTTCCAAATTCAATGACTTAGGAAAACTGATGTGAAGTAGCCAAAAGCCGGAGTCGAAATCATAAGTGCCTTGTAGTACAGTTATGCATCTAACTCATTCAACACCAACACCGCGACCCATCAACTTCAGCAAAAAGTAAACCAGGCTCTTAAGGTACCATGGATGCATGCACCCATCTATTACCAATTTAACCATGCTTCAAATCAAATGGCATCTAATAGCTGTTCATATGAGTTTTCCCTAAGTGGAATAATAAACCTTCCAGTCACAACAAACAAGTAATAGAAGAATCCATCCTTTACAGGCTTAAATCACACTTTTACACCTCAATAGCCTTCATCAACAAGAAAGTCCATGAAATTTTGCTCAATAACAGTTATGAAACAATTATTTATCTAAATCATAACATACCATATACTCCATCGTTACAAATTATATCAGACATTAATCTTTCTTGCTCTCATCAAGAGGTACTGTTTTATGGACATTATCTGCGGCAACAGGATCTGATGTTGAAACCTGCTCCAAAAAAACGAAATAAAGGAACTGTCTGTGAATAAAAGACATGGAGCAGTTGGTGAGAGAAAATCAACATAAGTCATATTTCTTAACATACCCGATTGCATTCAAACATCATTACCATTCACCTCAGTGAGGCACCTTGGTGGAGATATAATTGACTGCTTACACAAATTAACTTTGCTAAATGTAGATACAAACAAGAACGACTTTTGATAGTAGAACTGTGCCTTGAGCCATGATATCTTATTTAGCTGAGTATACCTAGAGTTAAACCAAGAACGCCGGCTAACTACTCTTAGACAAAATTGTCTGACCAAGAACAGAAAGATGCCCACTTACCAATTCTAAATGTCAGTATAAAAGGTCAATAAGGTTATGTGACAAAACATACTAAGTTACCTAAATTCTGAAAAATACGGAAATCATGACGTACCAAATAGTGCCTAAAGCAAATTGCAACACAATATGAAGGACTAGTACACAGAAAACAGAGGAAAAGCTTTCCCAACTATGTCAATGGTTATGACTTGCAAGTGGCAAACCTTATAGCTCAATACCTAGTTTCAATAATACCTACCCTTCAGTCCCTCCTTCCAATGTGGCTAAGACACTACAACTTAACTATGTGTTGCTTTTACTGAACCCTGAAACTCTCCGAATAATAAGATAACAGTTCTCGCTGTCACCTATACAGTATACACTTGATGAGCCCTATATCCCACAGAAACTAAATGTGCATACTGATGAGGAATCAACACACTAACAAACATAAGCCATATGCAGTACAAGCCCCAAAGTTGACCACGAGCAAAAGGCTTAATTCGCTTTGTAGGCCAATGACTTGCCTCCCTTCCCTATGAGAAATTTAACAAGTAGAACTTTCGAATAAACCCTATAAATAAACTTTTGGAGGTTCCTCATCACAATAAGAGATTCCTAACCCTTAAGTCTATTTTTCCCAGTCTAATTTAGTTAAGAATGAGTACTAGAATCGTAGGCTTTACACGTACGACAGAGAAAGCAGAACTCTTGAAGCTAGCTACATGTAAAGTGAAATAAGGACTGATACTAAATTGTAAGCACAAATAAGTCTTATGATCCGATGGGTAGTAAATGCACCAACTTTAAAAGAAAAAGTCAAAGACATCAGGAGCTGGGTGCAACAGAATGTAGGCAGATCGATGAACAAACAAAAGTACGAACTGATCAATGCCTGTAAAAATACATCACTTACAGAATTGCTATTGAGCTGGTTTGCAGAAGGCTTGTAAGGACAAGCTGGAGGTGCCCTCTCCGGTTTCCGATATTCCCAACCCATTAATCTATAGAACCGTGCCTATAACATGGAAAAGGGCAAGCAAATAAACAATTCTTTCTGGCAAAAACTGAATATAAGTATGTTAGAAATATTTTGAAGAAGGATTACAAAGGGGTGTACCATAATGAAATCGAAGAGGACGGGCAGCAAATTCACGATTGGCACCAGGAACAGCGGCAACAAACAAGCTAAGCACACCTGGTTTCATATATTTGTATTAAGAAAAACAAATCAGAATCACCAACACATTCAAGGAGTACCAAATTAGGAGAGATGGATGCGGAGTCGAATTTCACCATGTTTTCGATTGTTGATCTTGGGTCGATTCTTCTCTTCGTCGTCCTCGTGGAAGAGTAAACGCCAACGTCCGACGAGGTTTTCTTTCTTTTGTGACTTTTTATACGTTTTCTTTTTCGCCCTCGGCATATATACAAGCGCTTCGCTGTTTTATTTTATTTTCCCCCTTTTCCCTTTTTTCTATAAAGTATTTTTGTTTTTCCATTTTTTCTAGAAAACAACATTAAGTAAAAAAAGCATGAACAAGGATGATTTCGTCATTTTCTAAAAAAAGAAAATAAGAATTCAATTTAGTTAAAAATAATTAAATTACACTGAAAATGTAAAACTGATGAATTTAATTCTTCTAAAATGAATATAGTGCCCAGCATTTTGAAATTTAAAAATTGATTTTGAAAAAGGGCTCTAGACTCCTAGTAGGATCTAGAAAGGCACATTTCGAATATAGAACAGTGATAATTCCCAAAAATCAAGTACCTCTGTCCCAAAATCTATAGTATATATTATATTAAAAGAGAAACCAGAGAGAAAACAAAAAAGAATTCTAAAGGTGTCATATAGGATAAAATTCTATGTGTTATTTTTGTAATGGTTGAGTCAAAAAATATTTACAACAAGTATACTAATAGTCTTTCAAATTTTATGTAAATAAAGTTTTATCAAATGGTATTTAAAACTATAGTTTAAAATAGAAAAATAAAAATTAATTAAATTTAATCGTCGGGATTAATGAACATTAATGCACCAGAATTATTCTCTCCCCAAAAGAATCTCCAAAGTTACAACTGGACTCATTTAATTAATTTCTTTAAAAAAAAAAATCTCTCTCCCAATCATGTAAATCAATAGACTACAATTCAAAAAACAAAAAAAAAAACAATCATTCAACATTAATGTTATCTTTAAAATCTTCTCCCAAAAACATGACCCTATATTTTTCACCAATAAAAGAAAAAAAGGTGGATGGGATTTAATTATAATTAAATGTTATCTTTTGAATTTCAAACCAATGCATTTATTTGTGTAATATCATATTTACCCAAATAAATATAATCTTTTTTTAATAATATCTCAAAAGTTGTTATAAACTTTATTTTTATCACTGAAATTTTAGATAATCAATTATCATTAATCCCAATTTATCTTTATTTATTTTTACTTTTGGATAGTAAAATTTTGAATAGTAAAATATACTCCAAAACACCTGCATTACTAATGGATTATAAATAAAAATAGTAAAATTCATTTTACACTTTTTTTATTTTTTTTTTGTAGATTTTTTATAATGTATATAAATAAATCCCGCGCATCGCGTGAGTTTAACATCTAGTTAATGATCAATGTGTACTTAAAATGAAAATTTAAATTGGACAATAATTTCAGGACAAATGAAGTAATAATTGATCATAACTTTCTTTTAGAGAACCGCTACGTATTCTTATAGAGATTATTAAAAGCCGATGTTAGTAATAACCCAAGAAGATATCAAGTTGTCAAGGTGCAACCTTACATGCATTCATCTTGAAGATGAAACTGAATTCAACATTGTCTCAGAATTTTTTATCCATTCAACATGGTATTGCTTCTGATATTAAGCACGCTATATAGAGGCCGCTCCCCGGTTGTCGTTTACAATTGGCATTGGCTAGTCTTGGCCTTAAAGCAATAAGTTACATGAACCATCACAACTTTTTATAGCAATCATTAGCCAGAGATAAATTCAGCAGTCAACTTCTGTAATAATATGTACCCAAAGGGCAATAGGAACCTTTTTCCTTCCCCCAATACCGAGCAGTTTAGCTGTCTCCTTTGCAGGGTACTTCAGTGCAGCGACAAACAGGTCTACCGGAAGCTTCCCATCCATTATATCCACGTTCAAGTATCATAATGTTCTTTATCCCGAGATCAGCTTTGGTTTCAGCAAGATAATCAGCAAACCCTCTTGCACATCTTGGTCCACGTACCTATAAAAAGGACCATCTTGCGGTCAATTAGCGATTCAAGATTCAAGATCCAAGATAAAACTACCCTTTGGTTTCGATTTCAGAGATTGACATTAAGAAATATAACTTTTGGCAGAGGATCAGGAAAGGTCAGAGAGTGGAGACACTGGTAGCCTAACATGTAAGGTGTAAGATCAAAGGAGGCAGTCAAAAAGTACCAGATATATAATTTGCTGTAAATTTAGTTAGGCACACAATTCTGGTTCATCTTAAATTTGGAGAATGGATGTGCGGTGCTGGACATTGAAATTGAAAGTTCTCGTCCAGACATATACTTCCACAATCTATGTAACAACTACACAGTTAAAAGAGATGTTTTTTTAACCCCCCCAAAAAAAGAGAAACATGCTTGCTCCAGAAGGCAGACAAGTCATGAAAGGGTGGTTTTTTACTCAATATTGGCTACAGATCCTAAACTAAGAGCAAGTGCTATAATTCTGCATTCAACACCTTCATCTCATTGATCATTTATTTCTCCACCATACCACAAGACCATATTCAAATCGGGAAGATACGATTACTGGCTTAAACACTAATAAAAACAATAAAGCTACAGAAAAAGAGCAATTCCTCAAATATAATTCCGCAATGTAGACAATAGAAGATGAGTTTGATCACAGTTTACTTACAACAAAATAACTGTTTGAGATCAGTTTCAATCAAGTTAAAACCAAGGTGCAACAAGATGGAAAAACAAGAATTCTGATGAAAGTTGCTTGTTCACCGAGACAGCCACACCACACAATTGAACAAAGCTCTTCACGCTCAACAGGAGCAAATGTCCAGAAATCCTTATTTACGTCTCAGAAAGGCCAAATATGAGGCATAACACAAAATGCTACCAATATAACCAACATATACAAACAAAACTACTTACAAACACCACCAAAATATTCTTTTAACCTATGAATTAATGCGAGAGTGCAACCACACTTTTATGGAGGATTAGTAGATTATGGTCAATTCTACTTAATTTGGCTGATATTTTATATTACAAGTAAACATGCAGTAAGGAACCACAAAATGAGGACATTTGGTCCCAAATTATCGCATCAAAGCAGTTCAAGTGCTTTTTCCCAAGTGAAATTCTATAACTGCAGTAAAACCTTCGAGTCTGGATCCATCAACAAAATATACAACTACATCATAAAAGGCATAAGCAAACGTGTTTGCAGCTGTAGACACTTTACAGAGATCGGCACAAAGCTTTATGCTAGTGAAAAAGAAACGACAAGGAAGTATTGTAATTAAGGCTGACCAAAAATTAGATTCCACCAAAGTGGGGAGGCCAACATGTCTAAAAAATTAACTGAAATTACACAGGCAAAACAGCTAGGAAAATATTAACACAGATACACGAAAAAGATCCCCTTCAAGAAAAACTTAATTACGATGCCATGTTCCAAACAAAACCGAAAAACAGTTTAAACAAGGAGTGAATATTGGTTCAGATTTCAGAATAACTCGTTTGAATCCAAACCTTCTACCAAAAGCAGACTATTATTTATAATTTAATAAAAGGGAACAGGGCAAGAGAAGGCCTCATCAAGGAAAACAACAAGTTCACCTGGCTCAGAGCGCAATGGAAGACAAGGGTATCTTTTCCCTTGGCGGCTTCTACCAAAGATGGAATCTTGTCAAGGAAAGTGTCGCTGGCGAAGTGCAGCGATCCAGCAATGTGACCATCGTAACTCCTTTCATCATCCCTTCACAAAAGAGAAAATCTCAGTTCAATATTGAAAAAAAACCCCGGAGATAATCAGGGGATAAAGTAATAGCAATACAAAAAGCAATTTCCAAGCTAGCAGGAGAACCATAAGTTCAGTAAATGAGTGGAAAGTTGAAATCTTTAGGTTACGTATGTTTTACCTAACATCGACAATGGCAATATTTGGGCGGCGCCTGAGAGAGAGGAGCTGGGAAGATGTGATATAGGAGATGCTCTTGGCCATGACTTTGTGTGTGATCTTTTCAGTTGGTTTCTTTGCCGATCAAAATCACCACTGCTGAAGATGAGGAGAGCCGGTAAAACGACGGACCTCCGGCGATTTTATTTATCTTTTGACATGGTGAAATTTGCATCTTTAATCCCTTATGTCTTTGGGAGCATCAGTTCTTGTCCCTATTCCTTTTACGTCCCCCGTTTTTAGGTTTGCATTCTTTTTTTTCCCATCTAATTAGTTTTAGTAAACACTTAATCACACAAAACACATGAATTTTTAATAATGTAATGGCCTTATAAGAGACTCATGCACGTGTCTTGACTTCTTCTAATACTCATAGATTTTCTCAAAATTTAAATGTCATGACCAATTGTTATGTTTAGTAAAATTCAAATCTAGCATTTTTAGATTGATTGTGTTTTTTTTTTTCATTAGAACAAGCTGCAATACCTTATGTCATCAATATTCATTTGATAGATTTATCTTATCATTTGAAAATCCTATAACTATAAATATCAACTCGTGTAATAAACATTGGTGTAAGTACACTATACCACAATACATTCGTCCGATAAAAATATTACTACTTCTATTCTTATTTATAAGATGGAATTACTTAACTCATCACATGTCAATAAAACTAATTTTTCTTGTCTCAAATATGCTACAAAATTCTTAACTTAAACATGTAATATCAATGATAATTGTTGAAGCAAATTGTGAGTTACTTAGTTGGGAGTGTAAACGATAGACAAATTTTATTTGATACTTTCTCAAAAATATAAAACATCTGAATAATAAAATCATGCTTAAAGTCCCATATTAATAGGAATGGCGGTAGTACACATTAGTACATTACTACATTAGTGTGTAAACTAACGCAACTCTTTCTAAAATGGAGAGGATAGGAATTCCGGCTGAGGGAAAATGCCAAATATAGCAAATGCCAAGGACTCGCCTGAAGAAAGAAAACATTTCAATTTGGAAATTGAAAAAAAAAAAAAAAAGAAAAGGAAAAGGATATTGGGAATAAAAAATAGTAATTACTAGTCGTACTGGAGATTTTTCCTGGGTTTCGCTCCACAAAATTTCACAAACCAAAACACAAAAAGTACTTTCCCTCCAATCATCTTGTGTTTCTCAAAAGTTGCCACAAATCTCCATCCACCAAGAAAATTGAGTAATTCACTCCTTCTGCTACTAAAAAATTTCCCGTTTGAAAATTTTATCCAGCAAGATTTTGAACCCTTAGCCGTTGTGTTTCATCGCTCTGTATCAATGCCGGCGGGCCAGAGAAGCGCAAATGACGGAGAAGGAGAGGAAGGGTGGGACCAAGAGGGGTACGACCCTGATTACGCCTTCTATCTTTCGCAACATATGGGATTCGAGGACAGTGTCAGTGGTGCTGCGACGTCGTCTCAAGACCAGCCGGCCGTCGCCACTAATTCTCAAGGTCAAAGAGAAACTCCGGAAGGAGGGAACCAGCATAATCTGAAAAGAAGCCAAGTGATTGACCCGATTCCGATGGATGTTGATAATACTGAAAGTGATGACGAAGGAGACTGGAGCAGGGGTGAGATTGATGGGTTATTTTGCCCTATTTGTATGGAGGGTTGGACTACTGGCGGTGACCATCAAGTCTGGTTTGTTCAGTTCCTCCTTCAAGTCTCTTTAAATTCATCAATTTTGAGTTCCCTGGTGAATCTTTAGTACATTTTGCGTTTGTCTCTGGATGGTCAATTTACTAGTAGGGTACTACTGCACGAGCTACATTTTTAAAAGATTAGTGACCCACGGGAATGATTCAGGGATTTAGTTTGTTAGTTATAGCATAATTTACTACCGCTTTCTGCTAATTTTTTTTTTTTTTTTTGGTTCAGCTGTTAATTTAGTTACATTTTAATCACTGTACCAATGCCGTTGATGTTGCCGCCGGGTTTTGTTTTTCTAGTTGTATTCCATGTGGACACATATATGGCATGTCTTGTATCAAGAAATGGCTGCATCAACTTGGCAATAGAGGCAAGGTATTATTCTGCTTTTATCCAAAGTAAACTAAAGTGTAAAAAAATAATGTCCTCTAATGGTGGTTTCTATTGCTTTATTTAGTGCCCGCAATGCAATAGGAAGTGCAAACTCAAAGATATCCGACCGCTTTATGCATCTCGAATAGTTGCTGTTGATCAAGAGTTGCAGAAGGTATAGCATCTTCTGAAGAAAATTATAGTTTAACATGGCTCTTGGAGATCTTTTAGTTGATGCATTCTCTATTTTGCAGCAACTTCGATCCCTTGAATCAAAATGTGCTTCCTTGGAGGAAAAGGTAAGAAATGCCAGCTAATAACAGTTTACCTTTTTTTGGCAATGTGGCATGCAGTGTTGGAGTGTAATTGTATTTCTTGCTTCCAATCAAATTTAGTGTCCTCTTCTGCTGTGCACTTTGGTACCTGTTCATATAAAAGGTTCTATATTGCTACAGTCTAAGTCCGTGCATGTGCTTTTTAACAAACTTATTTCTCTCTTTTATGATCATATCAGGTAGAGGTTTAGTTTCCATCTGACAATGCCTTTCTTTGGTAGTTAAAAAAGATTCTTCAGATTGGCTGTTACACGCTCTTCTTCAAATGTATTTTCTCTTGAGTTTGAAACTTTATGCAGGATGCAGACTGGTCTAGGAAAGAGAAAGAATGGAAAAAGAGAGAACATGATTTACATGTGCAGGTGAAAGATCTTACAGAGGTATACATCTGTTTTTCCTTTTTACTAGTACTTTCTGTTGTCCTTTTTTCTGGTTAAATTTCTATTGTCCTTCTGATCCTTCAAAAAAACTGTTCTAACTCAATGCACATAATTAAGCTTAATATATTTTGATTTCTTCCTTTATCTTATCTCTTTGATGCTGGTCCTTCTTTGGTTGAAGAAGTCAGAAAAAGTTATTTCGTCTGGTTAAATTAGACATTAAGTAAAATCTTTAGCGTAAGAAGAATTTCTATTTCTGCTCTAGTTGAGCTATATATGCTCTGATTGGATTTTTTTCTTCCTCTTGTTCTTTATCTCATGTGAACTTGTGATCTTCAGAGGACAACTTATTTAGAGAAATCGTTGAATGATGCACGGAGTAGTTTGCAAGAACAACTCAACTACGGTAATCACTTGAGGAATAATTTGCTTGATGAAGTGTATTATAAATTTTTTTTTATTGGTTTAGTACGATCATTGATTGCAGTAATTTCCATGCATAATTCATAAGAAATAATTTTGATGCAGATCGTGTTAATCAAGGAAGTCCCCCTGGCTTTATAATACTGGTTAGACATCTCTTCTGACTTAAACTTTTTAATCAGAATGGTTATGCTTTTGTGCTTGTTTTTGTTATGCGCTATTTGTGCGTCTTTCCTTGTGATATACTTGGACGTATACCTATCTTTTCTTCTTCTTCTTCTTTTTAAAATTTAGTTAGGAAATTCTACTGCTCATGTTATTTTGGAGGATTGACCATTGTTTGTGAACGCGCCGTGTGTGTGATGCCGGATTTTTTTCCATTGCTAAGATCAATCACTTCCAATGCCTAGTTGGAGGTTTCACTAAGGTCCCTATCTTGCTGCTCTTCTGATTAAGGTGCATCTACCATGGTTCCTACTTTCGTTAGAAGAAATCTCTTCTAAGATATGTATTGTTTGATTAAGACCTCACTTTAGGATACCTGTAAGAAGACTGAGATAGACTACCGGCAAGGGGTTTGGCAATGACGAATTTTGAGTTCCTTTCAAGAGATTTTGTACATATGATACGATAACCTTTTTTAAAAAAGATGTTGGATGCCTTGGTGCTGGAAATGATAGATGTAAACCGTTTAAACACATTGGAGGGGCTTATGATGTATCAAAAATCTGAGAGTTGTTGGAATCATGCTGCTTCTTGCATCTTATGTTATATAGTACGAAAAAAGCGCATCAGATTGCTTTCTTTTTTAGTTGTTCAAAAAGCTCTGGCTGACCGGTAATACTTTTCAATTTTGTGCACTTTGAAGATATTGTGAAGGCTCAGTATTCAGATTCCTCTCCTTATTTAAAAGAATGAGCCTTTTGCCTGTCTACAATGTGCTCTTTTGCCTGTCTAGAGTGAGCTCTTTTAACGGTTATTATTTTAACAGAAGGAGTTACAGATGCAGGGAGCTCGATTATTTGATTTTGATATTCATAATCAGTCGTTGTTACTTGCTCGAAGACTTTCAGGAATGGGAGGAGCATACATGCTTACCAAAGTAACTTTTGCACACCTTGTATATAAATGGGCTTCACCATTGATACATTACCCTTTTTGATATCCTTCTGATTACTCTCTTTTCTTTTCTTTTTTTTTGGACAAAAATTGTGTATCAAGATAAGCTTATTGACTCCTCATGAGAGAGAAAACATCCAGCTTCCTGTAAACGTGAAAGTTGTCAAGGATCTACGTGTTTCTCCTCATGACAGATTAGCACTATTGGCTTCTTTGGGGAAGAAATTGTCTGTTATCAGGTTGGTGCTTTCTCAAGCAAATCTTTTTCTATACACATATAGATGTGTGTGTTTTGTGCAATTTAATTTCTATGAGTTTTATTCTTCTTTGAATTGTGGTGCCTATCATCACAAGAAAGAGTTCTTTGGCGGCTGTAAATCTTGTGTTGTTTGACTGAAGTTTATACCGTCTCCTGTTATTGTCACAGCACGGAAAGCAACAATACTGTCCTTACCTATGATTTACCAGTAAGATTCTAAATTTCAGGCATCCTTGTTCCCACTTTTCCCCTATCCTTCACTTGCAGATGGTATGGCATTTTTTTATTGCAAAGAAACAAAATATTTTCTGCACTATGATGTATTTGAGGACTAAAATTAGAATGATCAAATTTATGTGTTGAGCATGTTTAGCATGAAAGATTTCATTATCTTGTTCCGTTAGTTGGTGACAAGAATATCTCTGTCCGTCAGGTGTTTGGATTGTGAAAGTTTTGAAGGAATAACGATATTTATGGTGTGTGTTTTAGGAAGGAAGTGGGGTAGCACCAAGAGATGAGAATCTGAGAGAATCAGGCTTAAGATGCTTAAGGCATGTGTGTAGCTGCGTAAGAGGCCTGTAGATGCTAGAGTGGATGAGTAGAAACATTAGAATTGGTGACTCAAATTAAAAGGGGAAAGGGTAGACCTAAAAGGGCTTGGAAAGAAACTATAAAAAATAACATGAAGGGTCTAAAGTTACATAAAAATGTGTATTGACCTCCGAGCGTGCTGGCATCATATGTTCCGTAAAGCTGAATCTACATAGTGGGATGAAAGCTGGTTGTTTTTGTAATGATATTTATATTCATATGTTCCATCTACTTAGTGATTCTTAATTCTTTGATGTCAAATGCCTTGAATAATCAAGATTGAATGCTGAAGAACCATCATACAAGAACAGCCATCATTGAGTCATTTATTAGTTCAATGTTATTGACAAGAAAGCAAAGTAATTGTGGGTTTTTGCAGACTGCCGCTTGGTCGTGTGCATGGGATGTCAATAATTCTCAGTATTTGTATGCTGGTTTACAGGTTCTTGTAATGTAATTCCAACAACAAACAAACCAAACACACCCCCAAAGTAAAGCAGTTCTCTTCCTTACCTAACTTTGACTTGTTTAGTTCTTAATGTTGCAGGATGGCATGGTTTTAGAATTTGACCTGCGTCAAACTTCAAGGCCTGTGGATTCCATGGTCGGTTTAACAGATAACCCTGTTCATACCATATACTCACTTTCAGCAGATTCAGCTTTGAGTTCTGGTCGTCGATCAGTTCTAACTGCCTCCTCCGCAGGTTTATGCCATTGGAACTTTGGCAGCAGCGAAGAGAGGTATGCCTATATCTGTTTTTTTTTTTCTTTTGCAACCTATGTTTGTCGTTCTTAAGGTATAATGACTGGAGAGGAGCGGCGTTTTTCTATTTTTCTATGAGCATGTGTTTTTCAGAATGAGTGGTACAAGAATAATTTCACCATTTTGTCTTCCCAATATATGAGTTACACTCTTTAGAAAGCTAGAAAATGCTTCAAATAATGCTTAGAAAGCTGAAAGATGGAGATTGATTAATGTCTAACTTTACTGGTCCTCACTTCTTCAGCACATTAGCTATGAACATTACCTGATTAATGAATATTATGTCATGTATAAAGCAAAAAATTAATAGTTTTATAAGACATGAAATCATATTAAATTTATTGGTAAGTTAAAGTTTCAAATTAGGTAGGTATCTATAATGTGATAAAATATCATACATGAACAAAAAAAAATGGAGGAAGATAAATTTCGGGATTTGACTAATTAATTTTGATTGCAAGATAATACTAAAATTAAATCTTAATTTATCCTCCATTCTAAAGGTTCTCGATTGTTTAGGCGTAAAATTGATCACAGATAAATCTAAGTCTCCTAAAATAAAGGAAATTGGTAAAAGATAAATTATGATCTTCGTGTAGAAGTTTTGACATGTCATATTGAGGAGGAGTCTCTAAACTTTGGGTTTGTGTTTCTAATATAGTTAGATTTTGCGTATGCGAAGTATTGCTGCTTTTCAGTACAATGTTTAAGTTCAATCTGCCTGTCCAGACATTTTTTTCTGATATTGCATGTATAATGGTGTCAGTTAATATGATATTAGGATATGATCATGGATTGTAAATATGTTAAACATGTTTGTTATTCTTTGTTGCAAAGTTTCGAACTTTTAAAGATTTAATGTTCTTACCTCCATCTTTTTCTTTTTCTTTTTTCTTTTTTTGGCATTTAAGGTCTTTCTTGATACCTGAATCATTAAATCAAGGAGTTTGTATATCTCTAGCTTATGGTCCCAAAAGTGGAGATATAGTTGCTTCATTCCGTCCTAAAGTTCAAATGGAAGGTCCCACTGGCCTTTCTCAGCCACTGTCCACTCAATCCTCGTCTCTCTTGGGCCAAGCAGTACAGGGCCTTCATGCACATTACAGGAGCGTTGGAGGTACTAATAGCATTACAAGATATCAGAAACTGGGATCTACTTGTGCAAATGTAGATAGGATTCGGCTACCACAATCTGCTGTTATTGACAGAGGTGACAAGAACTCCTATTTTGCAGCTGGGGATGAAGCAACAGGTGACCTGGTCTTGCAAGAGTTGCCCACTTTAGAGTTTGCTCAGCGAATCAAGTCTTCAAAACCTCCTATTCGTGATGTGAAGTATTCACGGATCCTAGACTCTGAACTGCTTAGTTGTTTATGCGAAGATACGTTGCAACTTTTTAGATGTAAGCTCCCATGATGTTAGAATAGTAAGTAGTAAGCTACCATTTGAGAAGCTACTGATGTGTATACTTTAGGCAGTGTAGGATTCTCAAAGACTTCCTTGCTGTATATCCTAAGGCCTTTTTCGTTTTTGTAAATTATATATATCTTAATTTAGGCAGTAGAACGGATCTCTTTAGCCTGTAATAGTAGTTATAAGGCTACCCTTTCTTTTCTTTTTTTTTGGGTAAAAAGGCTACCCTTTCGTTATTCAGGTTGTTGGGTTGAAAAGGCTTTAGACTTCGCAACTGAGAATGCCTGCATAAGATGTGTTTCTTCCAATCCAGGGGATTGCTTGCATCATCTATTTTTCACATATGGGAAACAAGGAATCGTACAATTTTCAATCTTTATCCGAACATGATATCACGGGGCGGAGTAAAGTATGGTGCAGGATGATGAAGATTTCATCATTGTTTGTTTAATGTTCATGGTGTACCTTTTGCTTATTTGTACTCCAAAGTAAGAGGAGATACCTACATAGATAAGATCCTTTAATGGACTTGTGATATGCAAACGAGCGATGTACTAATTAATAAACCCTCCTTGGCATGAAATGAGAAACCTAACTTCCATTAGAAAAATAATGTGTTTCTTCAAAGGCCAAGATCAAAAGGCATCATGACGTTCCTTCCATCATGTTATATGTTTCACTTTTACAAGACTTTCGTGTGATGATACATATAACATTGTTTCTTGGCTCTTGAAATTGTGTTGTCGTTTCAAAATAATTAAATCCATGTTTGTTGCCTGTAAAAAAATAGGAACCACATTTGTAGGAATATTTTTAAAACTCGAGTATAAGGTGCAAAGGGAAATCATTAGATCATGATGACAATAAGGGAACCCTTCAATGTTGAATGCAAACGAAGGTTGATTAATGAACAACCCCCCACCCCAAAAAAAAAAAAAAAAAGGTTTTTACAATGAAAAAAAAGAAAGAAAAAAAGAGGGAAAACTTATCCGACCTGCCGGATTCGAACCAGCGACCTAAGGATTACAGCACCAACTACAGTCCTCCGCTCTACCAACTGAGCTAAGGTCGGATTTTGGCACTGGACAACAAAAATAGCATAAATACCAGAACATAATATTGGAACCCTTCGAATTCTTGTGTCTTCTCTATCAATCTATGTATAAAACCCATTATAACAAAAACCACCTAAAATTCCAAGTCTCAATCTCCTCTTAAAAGTTTCCCACAAAAAATTACTCAAAACAATAATTTTACTCATCTTGAATACCTCTCTCAATCCCTAAAATCTATCTATAAAAATTCTTATAGCAAAAACCACAAACTATCTAAAATTCTAAATGTCAGTCTCTCCTTAAAAGTTTCTCACAAAAAATTACTCAAAATAATCGTTTCACTCATCTTGAATACCTCTTTCAATCCCTAAAATTAAGTGTTAATGTGGCATCAATCTAAAACAACTGACATTAACCAATAAAGCAGAGTCAATAATTTTCTTTAACTTCCCCTTGAAATCTAACTCAAATTCAAAATATCCAATATGATTCACACAATTGTTGCGGCCGGAACTACTACTGCTGGGAGTGGGGTTTGCTTTTCAACCATGATAATCTAATGCAATTAGTCTTGCGAACTTAAATTCTCTTCAATGACTCCAGTTCCATTGATTTATGGTGGCAACAATCAAAAGATAGACATGAAGTTAATTGCTTTTAATGAGTTTTATATACGTGCATTTGGTGAAATCTGGAGTCATCTATCAAATGAGATTTTTTGTGTAGATTATTTTTTTCCCATTACACTATTTGACAAAATTGTTGCCCTTCAAAATACTTTTTGCTTACAGTTCTGGCCACATAAAAAACAATTTATAAGCTAAAAATGGTCTCCATGTTGTTTTACAAGGTGAGCCTACAATTAAATTATGCAATGATTGTGGCTTTAGTTAACATTCATGTACGAACTTACTTTTGAAATAGTTATTCAATGATTATCATAATATTATTAATAGACAATAGCATCTAAGATTACTTATGTGCTTGCTTAAATGAATCGTTTGTGCTTGATGTGATGTGGAATTCTCATCTACTGGTTGACATACGTAATTGTTACATATTACTTATTATTATGATATTTTTTTTAAAAAACTTTTTATGCATTTATACATTAAAAAACCTATTGGAAAAAACATTACAGGTTATCGTCATACATCCCTATATTTCATTTTTTATGTTTCTCTTCAAATTGTATATACTAAAATAAAAAATGTTAGTCAATTAAATATCCGTGCAAAATGTACGGGCCAAAAACCTAGTTAAATTTATTAATTTTGGTGTATAATGTGGACACGTATCGAAGCAAGATAGATGTAACATCTACGTATGGACAGGATACTGCTCCATCCTGTAATATATTTCCTTGGTCCCCCCTTAAATATCAATTAGAAGAGGGAAAAACAATTTTTCCTGGACTACGAACAGAAACATCGATGCCCTTAGACGTGAATCCCGAATCCAAAACATCCTGAGTATGTGCTGATTACTTCTTTCCGTTCGTCTCAAAAAAATTTATTAAGTATAATATTTTCATATGTAATTTTAATACATTATTAATGTAATCATCATGTCATTTGATTTAAGGAATTATATAGACCTTTGACATCGTGAAATTTATTTCTCTTCCACATATTTTTGATATATAAGCATTGATAACTGATAAGATTGCTTCATAATGGTAGCCTCTCGTTACATTTCTCCCTTATATATTTCTTCTATATTAGTATTATTTTGCCCCTTTGAAGTGAGAGTACGTACAACATGAGTTCATTATGTATGGCGATGAAATGGATGTATCATTCGGACCTACTACAGAATCAAGTACTACCAAAACTAACAATAATGGAGTTTTGTCTACTTCAGTTTAATTTAATGCATTATTATTGTACCTAAAAATCTATCAAAACTCAAATTCAAAACCAGCCAGCAACCATGCAATTCAGATCCCACGTCGCCCCTTTCACATATATGCTTAGATGGGCAGAAATTCAGAAGAGACGCAGATTGAGACTTGACCTAAGGCCAACTATCAATATGGTCAAGAAGACAAGCAGATGGAGACTTGTGATGTTGCTTAAGGCCTTAACAGCATCTCTTCTGTTATGTTTGTGTAAATTAAAACATTCAATCAGGTCCGACGCTTTAGTTTAGGATCAGATAAGAAGCCATTGGTTTGTGTTTTTTATTGTGTCAATTACACTTTCACGATTTTTATTTGTTGTGTCAGAGTGTCGATATTAGTTATTCTTGTAATCTCTCGTTTGTTAATGAGTTTCAATTCGTCTATGTTTATAATATTTCAAAAATATGGTTTGATTTTTATTTTTTTTTAAATTCCTGTTTTTGTTGTTTCGAAAAATGCCTCGCAAGTCTCAACCAAAGACCCCATTTGGTGTTTCATCTTTCGTATTCGGACATTGAAAAAGTGGGATAGCGGCCCTTTTGAATTATTAAGGATTTGGAATGTAGGGAAAAAAGCTTTTCTATCATTGTTATCTTTTAAGACATTCAGGAGTCGTCTTGATTGCTATAAGGGGAATTGGGAACAGTCACTGATCACGTCTTCTTCTGTTTTGTGGGCATGGAACTCATTTGTTCAGAATCTCTCACTGTGATTCACTGGCCCGTACGCTTTGATTTTCTTTGATTATTATCGCTACTCTTTTTTTTTTTTTTTTTTTGGTTTCGTAACAAGTTAGATTATTGACATTATCTCTTTTTAAGATCGAGAGAATAGTATTGTTATTATTTTTTTGCATTCTTATAATTCTACCAAATATCAATATGTGTGGCAACCAAGCGATTAATAATTTATATTTGGATGTTTGTTTTCTCTCAAACGTCTCTTTGTGATTATTATTTCGCTAATGGATTATTGTTATAATTGTTCCAGCTTGGGAGATCTTATCTTTTTCGGGTTGGATTAGAATTTTTCGCAACAAACATTAGATGCTGGCCAATAAAATGTCCTTTCATTTGGTGGAATGATTCATGAATTTTTGGGAGGATGTTATCATCGCTGCCTTTACTTTTGATTTTTTTTTTTTCAAAAAAAAAAAAAAGAAAAAGATGAGTACTTCGAAATGATACATGTAGAAAAGACGCAATTATTTTCTGTTAATTTGGAAATGTTTGTCTTTCACTTTTGCTATCTTATGTATTTCACTTTGTAGGTATCTTCACAAGTCAAGGTCTATCAAACTACTTTTATTCATATAAACGCTAAGAAAATAGTGAACAATGTTCTATTTTTACAAACGTTTCACTTTGAGTTCTGATTCTGTAAGCCTAATTGTTCCGCTGATGCCGACATAATAGAAGAAAACAGTGACGGAACCAGCTACTCGGATTTGAAGGGACTAACTACGTCTTCATGATCAAGATAGAAGGTAGACATATAAGGCGTAAGGTTAAACATTAATACTTTTAAAGGGCTCTCTGGCCGACAGGGGGCTCGGTATTCCCCAAGCCTCTTAAGGGTTCCGCCCCCTGGAAGAAAGTATTGAAAGTTTCTTGACTTTACTTTTCTTTCTTCAAAATAAAGTGCCGTCATTTATTTCTTATTCCCCCTTCATTATAAAGAAAGAATCACACACAGAAAAATTGTAAAGCGCTTTGAAATCATTTTAATTATTTTTTTATTAAAAAAAGGAAGAAGACTAAACATGCAAAGATAATGATTTGTGTATGAAAATTTTACATGAAATTATAACAATAAATAAAGAATAATCTGCTCAAATGGTCCTTTATATTTGGCAGAAAACTTAATTTGGTCCTTTACATTAAAAACTCATTCATTTGGTCCATTATATTTGTCTTTTCAACTAATTTAGTCCTTTTTATTTTTTTTTTACCCTTTACATTTGAAGGTTCTGGGCTAACCAATTCTTGGTCAAATCAATAGAGGCATTTTTGTTAACTTATAAATATCATATTTTCAAAATATGTTAAAAACCAAAAGTGTATTAAAATAATACTAAATATATTATATTAATTTATTATTAAAAAGGAAAAATTTCAAAATTCAAATATAATATTATCAAAAAATTGAAAAATAAAAAAATAAAAATCTGATTTTTTTTACTTGTGGGCCCAAATCAAAACATTATTTTTCTCAATTATTATCCACTACCACTAGACCACCTCCGCAACCGTGGGCTGGATCTCGGCGAAGAAAAACAAAATAATTCATGTAGCGCCCACATCTAATTTTTTTTTCTTTACCCTTATTCAGTATTTTTTTCGTTACACCAAAATAACTCACGGAAAAAAATGAATAAGGGTAAGAAAAAAAATTAGGTGTGGGTCCCGCATGATAAAAAAAATAATTAGAGGGTAAAAAATTTCGATTGGGGCTGACGGATAAAAAGAAAATTAGATTTTGGATTTTTTATTTATTTTAATTTTTTAATAATATTTATTAGAATTTTGAATTTTTAAATTTTTTTCTTATTTAATAATAGTTATAAATAAATATAATATGTTTAGTATTATAAATTAATTTTTTTCTTAATATTTATCCACCACCAACGGACCACCTTCACCGCCGCCGGACCGCTCGTCGCCGCTGTTGGACCGCCGCCGACCGGATTCCGGCCAACTCGCTGGGATCCGACCAGCTAGTCGTCGATCGCTGGTGGCCTGGCGGCGTAGGTGGGCGGTCCGACGGTGGTTGGCGGCGGTGGAGGTGGTCCGGTGATGGTGGATAAAAATTGAAAAAAATAATATTTTGATTGGGGTCCACGAGTAAAAAAATAAATCGGATTTTGATTTTTTGATTTTTCTATTTTTTTATTTTTTTAATAATATTATATTTAAATTTTTAATTTTTAATTTTTTTTATTTTTTAATAATAAATTATAAATTAATATAATATGTTTAGTATTATTTTAATACATTTTTGGTTTTTAACATATTTTGAAAATATGATATTTTTAAGTTACCAAAAATGCCCCTGTTGATTTGACCAAAAATTGGTCAGCCCACGAACCTGTAAAGGGCCAAAAAAATAAAAAGGATCAAATTAGTTGAAAAGACAAATGTGATGGACCAATGAGTGAGTTTTTAATCTAAAGGACCAAATTAAGTTTTTTACCAAATGTAAAGATCATTTAAACAGATTACTCATAAATAAATCATAATTGTCCATATTTAAGAGTTAATAAATAGTTAAAATTCAGCCCTATAAATTTCTTATTTAAATTTTTCCTGTATATATCACCACTCAATATTTGATATATTAAATTAAGACACAGTTTTTTAGTTTTTTTGTTTTTTTTTTTGAGAAGAAACAACTTCATTCACCTTAAATAGATTATGAGACACACAGTTTAATCAACAGAAACACCGTCAATAGCGCTTTGCTATTTGGTGAGTGAAAGTTGTCTGTCCAGTGTCCAGTATCTGCATACAGTGTCATGAGAACTCGTAGATAGTAATTCGTCCAGTCTGTTCAAAGGTTGACCTATTGTCACTTATTTGTCCGATTATAATAAGAATTTATAACTTTACAGTTTGCGTATCAAAATAATGTAACAAATGTTGCTTCTTCTTATTTTTCCTTTTGGACTTCTTATAGTAGCTCCTTCTGGTGTTAGATTATATATTATTTATTGAATAAAAATTCGTAGTTGCCCCATTATTTTCAATTTTTTTTTTACACAGTTAATTTACTTCCTTTTCTATCACATTTTTTAAGCATTGCCATGCCTCTCTCACTATTTTTTTTTCTTTTCTTTTTTTTTGTGTGTGTTAATTTCCTTACCTCCACATTCTTTCCTTAATTGTGAATCGCCTTCTGCTGGAGCTCTCTTTCGTTCTTGTCCCAGTCATCGTCTCAAGAAAAAATTGACGATACAGATGAATTGAAGTATGAAGGATTCATGATCTTAAATTTCTTATATCTCAAAGAAAGGAATTCATATTATTAATTTCAGAATGAAGTATGAAGATTATCTTTGTATTTATTGTCAATGGGAAATTTCCGTATCTAAATACGTACTAATTTCAAACGCAATTGACAAAATTGGTGGGAAGCAACATATAATCACACCTGAGAGAGAAGACACAAATAGGGGAATGGGGAAGATGAAGAAAAAGGGTTGATGAGTGTTTTGACTCTAAATAGTTGATTCCTCGTATAAATTTTTTAATTTGTGGACATCTTCATTAAATATTTATAACACTTTTTTTTCTTTTTTCTCTTTTTTTTTCCTCTTTTGTTTTTTAGAAATAAGTCAAATAACTGTCTCTATATCTGAATTTAGCGAAAGTTGTAATAATTGAGTACTGATTTGAGGTCATATCAGTGATTAATTTTATTTTTTCAAAAAAAAAAAAAAAACTCTATAGAAACACTAGAGTTTTGCAAGGCAACTGGCAAGTACATGGCTTATATTATCAGCTTCGTCGTATATAAAACTCCCCTGACTCATTATATTCCGTGCATTATTTATGGAAACCATGCATGCAATGAGATGAAATACATGCATCGTCCTCCTACCATTCCATGTATAATTCAGTTCTTGTATGAATACTTAAACTACTTGATACACTGATTAATTAATAAATCTTCAAATGCACATATGCACAAGCAGATAGCCCAGCAATGGCTGCTCTATTATCACTTATCACACACACACACACACATATATGGCACGTAAATGGGAAGTGATAGGTGACTATAGGTAAAAACTTTACAAAGACCATCTTATTCTTCTACTTGTTTTGTTTTTTTTTTTTTTGGCATTAAAATGATGCTTTTATTGAAGAACTGACAAGAGAATACACCCAAATGGACACCCATATTGTTGGTTGCCCTCTCACTTATGCTATTTTCTATCCTTTTTTTTTTTTTGCCCATCCAATCCTCTAATTTATTCATGTACAGACGTACGTACCCAGACCCAATATCATCAAATTACAAACAAAAATCCAACACACCAAAGAAAATAAAACAGAAAAAAGAAAAAGAAAATATTGCAATTTCCTGCCTGCCCTCTTCTTTTTCCGCGAGAGAGAGGCTTTTTGGAGTATATATGGACGCTTTTAACTGCTCTTGGCTTGTTGCTCTGACAAACAAAGGACCCATCTCAAGACACCCCAAACGGATCATGTAACCACAACAACATTCAATTCAATCATAATACCATAATTAAACTTAATTATGTTTTGATAATTTTAGCGTTTTTTTTTTAATGTTTCAACTCCAGCATTCCGGTGTTTGAGAATGGTCCCTTTTGTTGTCCCTGCAATAATCGTACACCAGGTATCGACTCTGGACCCACTGCAAAGCCCTGTTCTGCTGCCCGGTCAGGCCGCCTGAACGGTACGGAGAGGCCGACAGCGGCCGGCACCAAGCCGGCGCGTAGGCGGAGCATCCGCCGGCTTTGAAGTTGGTGAACCTCCCGACAAAGGGTTGGTACCGGTAATCGATCTTGTATTTGCCGTCCTCCGTCGCCCAAGATGACGCATCCCAAATCGACCCGTAAATCCACATTGGCCGCAACGGGAATGTCCGTGAATCTTTCCGGGCGTATCTCCTTATCGGCACATCATCCACCAGGAATCTATAATAATAATTCCAAATCAAAATCAAGTCCGATTAGATCAATCCATTTTAATTAATTAAGGCGTTACGTTATACTAGTAGTCCGTCAATCAATCACACTAAAAAGAAAAAAGCACTGCAATCAATCTGAAGTCTGACTTGTGCACAAATCACGAGTGGCTGAAATTCAATATCTGTCCATGCCAAAAATGCATGATGAAATGATGATCAGATGATGGGATGGATAGCTATATATCACCACATGCAATTAATGCTTAATATCCTAATGTGCAAGAATCCGTCTTACATTATTGTCTTTTACTAAGTTATTACCAATTATAATAATGTCGGACTTTAATTAAATGATGATTGCCATTGGTTTAACTATTACTATCAAACCAAAGTATGTAGCTTTTATACACATATATAAGAGCAGAGGCTAAGATATCCGACAAAAACATGGCAATTATTGATCTAAGAACCACTAATCTTGTTAGCTGATTTGGCAATTGCTGATTGTTTGGATTCAATTCTAGAAGGACCAATGAACTTAAAAGACACAGTTTTTGTACTGTTGGCCGCATGGAAATGAAGTGAAGATTTTTCTTTCTTCTACTATTGCTATAGACTTTATTAGCTATCTGTTAATATTAGTGCTGATTTTCAAGGTAAATAGTGGTTAAGAAAGTGATTTGTGTAACAGTAAGTAAGTAAGTATAATTGCTCACATGATTTCCTTGGGATTCCACAAGATTGCGTAGTGATGAAAATCCTGGGTGGGATCGAACCACAAATGGAACTTCATCTCTCTCCCCACGATCCGACCATCTCCGCTTCCCAACACGTACACATTGGTCTGCAATGTGTACGGCTTCCCGAACGTCGTACCCAGGAATTCTATGTCTACTTCGTCATGGTACCCCGGGTGAGCTTCCGCGTTTGAAAGCTGCACCATATAGCCAATTATTTCATTAACAAATTAATTAACCCGTTTATTACAATACAACAAGAGTTTTAAAACAGGGCTCTTTTTTTTATTTTTTTTTAACCCCCTTAATTATCAATCTCTTACATAGAAAGCGGTGATAACTCCGGCAGTATAACCAGGTTGGAGCTTGATGGATGCGCCAAAATAACCCGATCGAAAGGGTTTAACCGACTTAAACCCGCTGCCTGAAGAATTCATTCAAATAATAATAATGATGACAATTAATAGAGATTTGATGATTAATTAACCAAAAGAAGGCAGACCAATGATGACAATAACAATAACATTTCACTATGCAAAAATGGGAAAAGGAAAAAAAAAAAAAACCTGAGGAACTATCAAGCCACATGGTAAGGCCATTATTGTCAAAGCTTTGATGATTAGGACCCCAGAGAGTTCGATAGCCTTGGTAGAAGGTCATGGGCCTGAATTTTGAACTCGGGTAGTAACCAGGGGAAGGTGGCCAATCTGCATTTGCAAAATCAGGGACTACTAACACAATGAATATTATGATGGGCAGAAGGATTGTGGGAAATTGGAAAGAAACACCCATGGTTTTCTTCTTTTCTTTTTTTAGGCAATTGGCTTAGCTAGCTGGACCGCAAAGGAGTATGGAAATGGAAGAGAAGGTACGGTATATATGCTGGGGAAAAAAAACTGAGTGAGTAATTATATAGTACGTCAAGCCAGCAGGTGAAGACAGAGAGCGTTGGAAAAGCAGAAGGCCTAGCCAGTTTGTGACTGTGTGTGTTTGTAATGTGTATGTGAGCCAGAGAGAGCGCGTAGTGATGATTCATCAGAGAGAGTATGGCGTTTCGTACGTACAGTTGATGTAAAATAAAATAAAAAGTCGGGTAGGGCCTTATCACCAAATATATGCATTTTCATGATTGAGTTGCATATTATTGTTACTTCTCAGAGTTTCTTCAACCTTAACAGTCATGGTAATATACCAATCTTGATTGATTCTGTCATTATAAGTAAAAAAAAAAGTATAATAAATACTTCAACTATTGTTGTAATTTGAGACGAAAAAAATTTCCTGCCGGTATTTATTTCACTCAAAACTAAATTTACATTTGTTAACGTTGGTTAGCAGATCAATTTGACTTTTGTAGTATTGCACGTATATCCTTGATATTTACATTTGTTAACGTTGGTTCGCAGATCAATTTGATTTTTGTAGTATTGCACGTATATCCTTGATATTACATGCGAAGATAAGATCATTGATCAACACTTATTATCGCACGAATTATTAACCACGTAAAACCATATTGTTTTACTTCAATCAAAAGGGCATGCAGTGTAGGAGTAGTAAAATAGAAGGCAAAACAAAAGAACATGGAGAATGGAAGGACGAGGTAAAAAGGTACACAATTTAATGATTTCAGGAAGGTCACTCGCAACCACTTCACCATTCTCCCATTAAAGAGAGCCCCAAGCAGGCAGCAGCTAACTATATATTTAGCTTAGCTTTGGATGCAAGAATCTATATTTGACTTGGAGAAGAAGACGAGATCGACAACCAAATCTAGGTAGACTGTGACTGGGAGTCCGGGAGCAGGGAAGATCCCCATGAGATCATCATCAAGAGTAAAATTCTTTTCTTAATTTTTTGCTTCTTTTTTATAATAATAATAATAATAATAATAATAGTAATGTGATCATGGTGGGAGAAATGGTGCAGTACGTACGTGCGTGACCCTACAGGATCTTTGGACATGGTTCATCACTTTCCTTAATCTCCTGTAAGTCCATATTACTTTATCTACGTTGGAAGCAACAAAGGTTTCCAAGTTCTTTGTCTGATTTTTACCCCTTTTTTTTTTTTTTGCCTCTTTTGGGGCAGATAATTACTTTAAAGCTACGGATGTTTTTGCTTTGCTGGGGTCTCTGATCACTTCACTTCACTACCATTTTCCATTTTGCGTTTTGCCACTGCTCTCTTTCCTGTCAAAAAAAATTCACCGATTCCCAGCACGTCTTTCTGTGATTTTTGGGGCCCCTTGCATTCAGCAAAAGAAATGAAGGACGAATTTGTGGGTCACACTTCTTTCTGGTTTTTTCATCACTCCAAGAGTCCCCCAATCCCTGGCTGTGATTTTATTATGAGGAGAGATTTCAGTGAATTTTCTTCAATGCTGTGGGGGCTGCCTCTTCAATCCCATGCAGTCTGATCTCGCTTCGAATTATCATTATTGTGTTCCTCCATCCGAAAAAAAAAATTAAAAAAAATGGTTGTAGTATGGATGCTAAATTATTTTTAAGTTTTAGGGTTTAGTTCAACCAGAAGGATTCTTTTTAATTAATTAGGATACCAATAAGAGCATATATAATTAATAAAGTCCTAAATGCTCTAATTTGTTGTCACTATGATAATTGGATAACAACTAAGCAAGGTAATGATCGATCTCTATTAATCTCACCTTCCATGATATTGTATATAGTAATTTGTAAGTGGAAATGTTACCAACTGATCATGTATTTATTTATGTCGTACACCCGGCAAGAAAATTAATCACACATGAAAGTAAAAAAGCCAGCATCAGCATGTGATACTTTAAATTTTTCGGCTGTCCTCCTATACAAGTGAATTAAGAACACAGTGTATATATATATATATATATATATATATATATATATATATATATAGTTATACACACACACACACTTAAAAATGATATTAATCATTCAAGCTGCAATAACAGAATGATGAAAAGCATGAAAGTACGCAACCTACTCCCTCAATCCAGAGCGTTATTGATGAGAAATAAATTCATGAAAGAAGATGAAATCATAAATTGTATTGTGTGCAGCAGTACATTACATTGTCTCTATTAATAGGCATACATCAATATTAGTTAAGATCTAGATATTATAAAATTTGAAATAATCTAAACAAATAGAATCTAAATAATCCTAACTAATGAGATCTTTGACTAATCTTATCAGCCCCCCGCAAGCTCATGGGCGGAACAACAATGAGCTTGTCCCAAAGTTGAAGAAAAGTCTTCGTAGGCAGAGCTTTGGTCATAATATCATCAATTTGGGCAGCGGACGGAACATGCTGAATAATAAGAGCTTTTTGACGAACCAAATCACGAACAAAGTGAATATCAATCTCAATATGTTTGGTGCGTGCATGAGATGCTGGATCAGCAGCAAGGTAAATAACTCCTAAATTATCACACCAAAGAATAGGAGGTGATGAAGACAAACCAAGCTCACGGAAGAGAGAAGAAAGCCAACATAATTCAGCTGCAGCAAGAGCAAGACTGCGATACTCAGCTTCGGTACTTGAATGAGCAACAGTCGGTTGTTTCTTAGCACTCAAAGAGATGAGATTAGAACCCAAAAAAATGCAATAGCCGGAAGTGGAGCGGCGGTCATCTGGGCAACCAGCCCAATCAGCATCAACAAAAGCAGTAATTGAAAGAGGGGAACTCTTTGTAAGATGTAGGCCATGGATAGGAGCAGAACGTAGGTAACGAAGTATATGCTTAACAGCTGACCAATGAATATCAGTGGGACAATGGAGGAATTGGGACACTTTATTAACAACAAATTGGATATCAGGACGAGTGACACAAAGATATTGAAGAGCACCAACAGTACGCCGATACTCTGTAGGGTCAGATAAAGGTACACCATGATTTTTAGAGAGAGGTAAGGTGGGGGTTATGGGGGTAGAGACGGGTTTGGATGTGTCGAAGTGAGTGCGAGTGAGGAGATCTTGAATATACTTAGATTGAGAAAGAAGAAGGCCGGTGGATGTATATTGAGCTTCAATACCCAGAAAATAATGAAGAGAATCAAGATCTTTGATGGTGAAGGTAGAATGAAGCTCATCAATGAGAGATTGAATGATGGAAGAAGAGGAACCAGTCACCAACATGTCATCTACATAAACTAGGACAAAAGTAGTGTGTGAGGACTTAGACAAGATAAAAAAAGAAGTGTCAGATTTAGAGGAAATAAAACCAAGAGTATGGAGTTTCTGACTAAGACAGTGAAACCAGGCTCTAGGAGCTTGTTTGAGACCAAATAAAACTTTGTGAAGACGACAAACATGATATTGATATTTTGGATCAACAAAGCCTGAGGGTTGACTCATATATATACATTCTCATGAAGATTACCATGGAGAAAGGCATTGTTCACATCAAGTTGACGGCTTGGCCAATTTCGATTAAGAGCAATGGTGATGACAATGCGATTGGTAGTGGGTTTGATTACCGGGCTGAAAGTATCTGTGTAATCTATGCCAGGAGATTGATGGTAGCTTTTAGCTACTAAACGAGCTTTATAGCGCTCAAGAGTCCCATCGGACTTTCTTTTAGTTCGAAAAACCCACTTACAACCCACAATATTAGCATTAGGAGGAGGAGAAATTAGAGTCCAGGTTTGATTACGTTGAAGAGCATTAAACTCTTTAAGCATAGCTTGACGCTAGCGAGGAAATTTATTGGCCTGAGTAAAAGAGGTGGGGTCAGGTTCAGGAGGACAAGTAAGAGAGGAAGTATAGGTAACATAATCATTTAAACGGTTAGGCTTACGAGTTGTGGTACGAGTGGTCATGTGATGTCTTGGTGGTGGAGTTGGTCTAGGCGGGGAACTGGATGGTGGTGGAGGTGGTCTAGGCGGGGAATTAGATGGTGGTGGAGAAGAAAGCCTTGTTGAAGAAAGAGTTTGTGTCTTAGGATTGGAAAAAGGTACAAAAGGAGGAGGAATAGACATTGGTAAAGGAAGCAACACCCGTGATGATGGAATTGGAGAGGACGTAGAAGTTTGAGGCGTAGCATAAGGAAAATCAGTTTCAAGAAACCTTACATGTCGAGAGATGTAAAGTTTGGAACTTTTGGGATCAAAGCAACAATATCCCTTGTGTTGGGAAGAATGGCCTAAAAAGACACAAGGAATTGATTTTGGGGATAATTTGTCAGCACGAGTAGACCCAAGAAATGGGAAGCAAGTGCACCCAAATACTCGAAGGTGAGAGAGGGAGGGAGGATTGGAAAAAAGAACCTTATGAAGGAGATTTATTAGTGAGAACTTGAGTAGGATGGAGATTGATTAAATAAGTGGCAGTGGAAAAAGCTTCAACCCAAAAGGATTTGGAAAGAGAAGCATGAAGAAGAAGAGTAAGCCCGGTTTCAGTGATATGACGAATTTTTCTTTCAGAAACTCCATTTTGTTGAGTATGGAGACAAGAGATGCGAAAAGAAATACCATGATTACGAAAATAATTAGCAAAAATACCTTTCAGAAGTTCGGGAGCACCATCACATTGAAAATATTTGATACTAGTAGAAAATAAATTTTCAGTAAATGACTTAAAATTTTGGAAAGCATGAAAGGCATCAGATCTATTAGTAAGTGGATAAATCCATATAAAACGACTAAAGTCATCAATAAAAATAATAAAGTACCGGTAACCTGAAAAAGAGAGACAAGGACTTGGACCCCAAATATCACAATGAATTAAATGTAACGGCACTTTAGAAACACGAGAAGATGGAGTAAAAGGAATTCGATTACTTTTGCATTGCAAACAGGAATTACAAGAATTTATTTTGGAAGATTTAAATGACAAAGATCGAACTAAAGATGAAAGAGTTGAGTGACACGGATGTCCAAGACGGTGATGCCAAAGATCAGGAGGAACAGCACGAGCAGCCAGAGCTGCAAGATTGTGGAATGTCTTAGGAATCTTCATAGGATAGAGGTAATTGTGGATGTTACCCGCGAGAAGCGGAGTCTTGGTGACTAGATCCTTCACAACATAACCAAAAGGAGAAAATTCCATTAA